CTCTGATATATGCTTTGGAATGGATGATACAAGTATGTTTTGATCAAAGGCGAGCACACACATAAACACAACGAGACATGGATCTGGAGTGATGGTGATTAGCGAAGGATCTACCTCGTCGCCGGATGGAGATGCTATGCTGGTGGTCGAGGAGGTGGCTCCAGGAGCCGAGCTGCTGCCCAGTGTGAACGCAATCTCGGCACGGCGTGCCTGCAATTGGTGTCATATTTGTTCGATTGATTTGTTTTTAGAGAGTTAAAGTTGGAATGTAGACACACAACCATGATAGGGATTTTGATGTCATGAACCATGAACCGTCGTAGTTGTCGATAGTTTGTTGTTCGTTTATGACATGACACAAACCAAAAAAAGAGACAAATTATAGTCAGGAGGTCAATTATGAAGGATAAAACGGTCTGCAGTTCAAAGAATGTTAATATTTAAAGGGAAAATAAATAAATTATATATGGGTGGTTTTCAATTTTATCATTGCCAGAATAATAATCTAGCAAACTTTTCTTATGTGACTTTTTGCTCTCTTTTTAGAACCGAAACATATTTTAGAATGAAGTAAATTTAAAAAAATTGAAAACCATTAACCTGGATAAGAAGCTCCTTGAATTCTTTAAGATCCTAATAAATCGTGTTAATATAACCCCATTCGAAAACCTTACCTGATGACGCTCAATCAGAGCCTCAGCACCGGTGACATCGTTGGCCAGCTCGTCGGAGGTGACCAGGCTCATCATCGAGTTGATCCATGCCAGCAGATCGCGGTAATCGCTGAGGAAGCGCTGCAGATCGTATGAGTCTAGCAACTTCTCCTTGCGGGCGGTCGACTTGGTGATAATCTGGTCCCACATCTCGTTGATCTCCTTCTGCTTGGCGTAGGTCTGCTCGGCGGTATCAGGATGCGACTGCATCAGCCGGTTGGCGGTCTCGTCCAGCTGGCGAATCTTATCCCTCAAAGCGGCCAAATCACGTTCCACACCCTCGTGCTTGCGCTGCAGAGTCTGAACACTGCGCAGGTCCTTGCCCAAATCGTCGTTGTTAAGAGCATTTGCCTTCTCCGCAATCCAATCTTTGGTCTCATCGATGTCCCGGTGGAACCGCTGTACCTCGTGGGCAGAACCCAGTTGACTGGCCTTCTCGGCGGTCAACGTTTGCAGGTTGTTCCACTTCTCGTTCAAGTCCTGCATCTGGGTCTGGATCTTGAGGGCGGCCTCCGTCTGTCCGAGGGAAGTCAATTGAACAGCAATCTCATTCATGTTGGCCAATCGCACCTCGTTAGCCTTCAGATCGTCGTTAAAGTCGTCGAACTTCTTCTGGAGCACTTCCACTTCCTCCAGATCTTCTCCCACAACATCGGCGACCTGGGCGTGGTTCTCCTTGTCCCGGATCCACTGGGCCAAGTCAGCAGCCTCGCGCACCAGAACGTAGGCCTTTACGGTCTCGTTCAACTTGTTCTGACGCTCGCGGGCTAGGGCTAGCAAGTTGTCGTACTGCGAGTTGATCTGGTTTTGGCGCTTTGCAATCGAATGATTGTCCACAAGGTTCTGCTGAGAAGCACTTAATCCAGCCTCGATCTTCTTGATATAGGCGGCTGGGACGAAACCCTGACGATCGTTGACCTCAACCTTCCACCAGTCCTTGTTGTTCGAGTTCAGCAGGGTCAGAACATCGCCCTTCTTCATCGAAACCTCACGCGGGGACTTCTCAGTGTAATCGTAAAGGGCTACCACGCACTCCTTGCCAGTGATGTCCACTACGGGTGTCTCCTGCTGACGACAGTTCTTGGCCTGCTCCTGGAGGGCCTGAATGGTGTTTCCGAAAGCCTCCAAATCAGAGACCAGAGCTTCATGCTTCTTGAGCAAAGCCTCCGAAGAATCCTCGTCTTTGCCGTAGTCACTGCCCGTGGCAATTGGTTCCTTTTCGCGCATCCACGATTCCGCCTCGTTGGCATCGGCGAAGTACTGGTGAGCCTGCAGGGAATCATCCAGATCCTGTTTGCGCTGGCTGGACTTCTCCTTCAGTGTTCCCCACTGCTCCTGGAGTGCCTCCAAACGCTGACGAATATCGTCGCTGGCGAAGGGCTGATCTTTCAGCATGTTCTCTCCTGAACTGATTACATTCAGAAGCCTGGCTTCGTGGTTGTTGATCTCAGCCAGCACAGCCTGGTGCTTCTTAATCAGGTTCTGCACACCAATCAAGTCGCGACCGCGGTTCGTGGATGCAGCAATTGGTTCCTTCTCGCGGATCCAGGCAGCCTCGTCCTCCAAATCACGGAAGAGCTGTTGCACCTGGAGGGAGTCCAGAAGATGCTGCTTCCTTTCACCCATGGGGGCAGCCAGGGCGGCGTAGCGAGCCGAAAGATTGCCCTCCTTGTTGCGGATGTTGTCCGCATCAAAGTGACCTGACTCGATAAACTTGTTTGCTGCCACCTTTATGCTCTCAATGCGATCTTGGTGGGCCATGACATCGGCCTCCAACAAGGCGTGCTTCTTCTGCAGATTCTGCACTGAGGTCAAGTCCTTGCCGTGATCCTCCGACAACAGCTGACCCTCGATCTCGCTTAGCCACAGCTCAATATCCTCGATGGTGCGGTTGAACTGTTGCTGTTGGCAGGCCTCGTTCAGTTTGGTTCCCTTCTTATCCGAAGCCTGGACGAGAGTCTCCCACAGAACAACGATCTCCTGCATGCGGGTGTTGATCTGATCGGCCGCATAGTGCTGCTTCTCAATTAGCTCGGTTCCCACGTTGGTGATGTCCTCGATGCGGGACTTGTTAGCATTCAACTCGTGCTCGAAGTTCTGGTGCTTTTGCATCTTGCCGTTCAAATTGGTGGGATCCAGATAGCTGTCGTCAGTGGCGAATTTCAGTTTCTCACTGATCCAGCCCTTGGTTTCATCGCAATCGCGCTCGAACTGCTGGTAACGGTTGGAGTCCTCCAGCAACTGGCGACGCTTCGAGGACTTCTCCTGAAGAGCAGCTCGCCGAGCAAGAAGCATCTGGCGACGCTGGGCCACATCGTCGGCGGCGTAGTGCTGACCATCGATCAGCTTAGTGGCAAAAATGTCTAGAGCCTTAATTTTCTCCTCCTGGGCGGCGAGACTTTTTTCGAAGTCCTCGTGCTTCTTGATCAATGCCTCCACTGAGTCCAGGGAGTCGCCAAGGTCCTCGTTTGCCAAAAACGCCTCCTGCTTCGCCATCCAAGTGTCAGCCTGCTCTGTATCGCGGTAGAACAGCTGCAGATCCATGCACTGCTCGTAAAGGATGCGACGATCCTCCCACAGCGACAACAGCGAGCTTTTGTCGTTTTCCAAAGCGGCTAGCTTCTCCTGGATTTCAGCAGCGGCATAGTGCTCACGCTCCAGTAACTTCTTTCCGGATTCAGTGGTTAGCTTGAAGCTGTCCTCGCGGGCATCGATCTCACCCTTGTGTTCCTGGTGGCGCTCCAAGAGAGCTTCTGCTCCAGCCACATCCTTGGCCAGTTCATCGGCCGAGATGATGGCTTTCATGCCATTAATCCAGGACACCAGGTCACGGAAATCGGCGAGGAAACGGTGCAGGTAGTAGGATTCATCCAGCTTCTGTTTACGCTCGCGGGCCTTGGTGGTGAGACTTTGCCAATAGTTTGCGATCTCAGCCTGCTTATCACGAATCTGGTCGCTGTGATCGGCATGGATGGAGCACAGGCGCTGTGCTTCGGCTCCCAGGGTGGAAACCTTATCCTCCAACGCGGCCAAATCACGCTCCACGCCTTCGTGTTTGCGCTGCAGCGCCTGAACACTGGCAAGATCCCGTCCATAGTCATCAGATGAGAGCACGACATCCTTTTCTGCAATCCAGGCGACAGTTTCGTCGGCATCGCGATTGAATCGTTGGATCTCGTGAGCCCCGAAGAGCTTCTCTTGGCGCACAATGGCCAGTTGCTTCAGACGCTGCCAAGCCTCGTTTAGCTCCTCTTTGCGCTTGGTGATCGTATCTCGCTCTGGATGACCATCCTGCACCAACTTATCGGCCAACTGGTTGACCTCAGTCACGCGATACTCCTGCGAAGCCATATCTTTCTGGAATTCATCAAACTTGCGCTGCAAAACCTCCACATGCTCCAGATCCTGGCCAAACTCATCGGCAGTAACAAAAGTTTCTTTGTCCTTGATCCAGAACATCACCTCCTCGCACTGGCGTAGGAACTGCACCAAGACGAGAGCCTGTTGTAGCTTAAGGCCCTTTTCGGCCAGACGGCTGAGAAGCAGCTCCCACAGCTTGTGCAGCTCATCGAGGCGAATCTGGATTGACTCGGAGGCGAAATGCTGCTGGTTGATCATTTCCTGGCCGGTGTTGTCCAGTGACACAATGGCGTTGCTGTGGGCCGATACCTCTGCTTCGAAGGCCTGATGCTTCTGGATCTTGGCCTGCAGGTTGGTCGGATCGCGGTAGCTCTCTTCACTGGCCGCCTGCAGCTTCTCGTGGATCCATGATTCCAGCTCGTCGGCATCGCGCTTGAAGTACTGGAAGCGACGCGAATCCTCGAGCTTTTCACGCTTTTGGCGTGTCTCGATCTTGAAGTCATTGTAGCGAGACAGGACCTGCTCACGACGCTCCTGGATATCCTCGACAGTTTCAAGGATCTTCACCTCTTTGGGTGTAAAGTTCTCCATTATGCTGGTTCGTTTACGTGTCTAATTTCTTGAGTGTTTCGTTCGTTTTGATTGATTGTAAAGCTGAAAAGAGGTTATACAATAAGTATCATGTTTGATCCTTTTGTTCGGGGCTTACCTTATCTGCTTTAGACGCCGAGTTGTTTTAATTTAATACTGCTGGTGGTGCTTCCTCTTCATCAAATGTTTGACCGTGCACAACTGTAAAAGGAGGGGACACAATCAGTTTAATTCGTTTAGTCAGCACAAGCACAAATACAACTAGTAAATTACTTAATCGTTGGGCCATTCACAAGATGAGAAACACACATCCATGATAAAAATAAAAAACAGTAGTGGCTCGCGTACTACAATGTTTATTTCTGAATGTTTTCTGATATCATTCTTATTTCATAATATTTTATCATATTTTTTATTCGTTCAATGAATTTTAGCGTTCATTTATCAGAATTTATCAGCTTTAAAATTAATTAAAAAGCCAAATGTCCATTTGACCATTACTTTCACTTAAAAGTTATACAATTAGACAAATTACATGTAAGGCATGTAAAATGGTAAAATATTTTAAACATTATTTGTTTAGTCTGGCCAAACAATATTTTTAGTTAATCATAAATAAACACAAACGAATAGTTTTGCTGACAGTTTTTTGATTACATTAAAAATTCGGGACTCCCTTAGTAACGATCGTAGAATTTTCAAATTCACTTCATTGCCGACTGCCACACATGTCGATGATCACATCGATTGACAACCTCGTCCGCTTTTTGTGGCCTCAACGTTTGCACACACTAACCAAACTAAAACTGCGAAAGTGACGCATTCTACCGCTGATTAGGCTCAATCAGTTATCGCTATCTTATCGGCTACATACTCAATAAACAGTGAACCTCATTTCCGAGTTATTTTCAGCAGAAAAATACAAAAAGGAACACTTTATTTGAAACATAAATGGTAAGTGACATAACAAACACTTTTAAACTTAAAAACTATCTAGATCTCGCGAAAAATCGGCCAGCATCTCCATAAACAGATGAGACCTGGCCTCGTCTTCGTGGCTATCGCCGGAGGCGTCGAGGCCTCCAATATCTTTCCCAGAAAGAGAGAGATTCTGGAGAAGGTCAGAAAGGGTGCTCCATACCGTCGGCGGCCAGTTCTCGGCAAACAGCGGCATGAAGAGTTCGTTTAACTGATCAGCCCGTACTGCCCCTGTCTGTAGCATGGCATTCAGGAGCTTCTCCAACATCCGAAACCTATCCAAGTTTGTACCCATCTCCTCTACAAAACTTATGCTGAGCAGGCCATCGAAGATCCCAGGAGACGCTTCACTGGAAACGAACTGTGGCGACCGCCACACCAAACAGCTGGTTGAGATTAAATCATCGTCGAAGAAATTCGGTTTTCTGTTGATGAGCAACTGGAGCAGGTGTACTAATCCAGAACCAATTATGTGATAGAAAACAGTGGGCATTTGGGGAAGCAGAACTGCCAGTTGTGATTGTCGAAGTAGCTCGGCTAGATCCTCCCGACCACCCAAATTTTCCGGTCTCAAACTGAGACAATGCAGCCACTGTTGCAGCTGGAAAAGCAGCTCCGACAAGCTGAAACCTATATCCGGACTTAGTTGGAGTTCACTAGAACCACCGCCACCAATAACCGCTGCATCCGCCTTGTGCTTGTTAGAGTTGGACACCTTAGTAGCTAGCTCCTGAAGGTCACCATGATAAAATGTGGATAACAGCACGCTTGATTGAAGCCACTGTTGCAGCTGGGTGTGAGCTTGGACGCTGATTAAATGAGCATATGAAGATCGCAGTATCTCATTGGTGCTGGCAGGCAAAAGGGCCTCGAGGGATTGACTTATACGCCTGTCCAGCATCTGCGGCACCTGCTCCTTCCAACGCTGGCAGGCGATCAACCTGGCGTCTTGATAAATCTGTCTCAACTTCTGATATACCTCCTCTTGCTTCGATGAGCTGATTTCGTTGACTTTGGCATCCGCCGACGTTTTCGAAGGGAGCAGAATCTGCTGCTGGGCATCCTTGACTACACACTTAAAACTTCGCTCCGTAACGAACTCGATCAATCTCCTAGTAGAGGCATTTTGGGATTGAATGAAGGCATCAGCTAACTTACGTTGCTGCTGCTCTGTAGCAGTCAGCTCACTGGGAGCCATTCCCTCCTTTGAGGTGGCACTGCTACTCTCCTTCAATTGCTCCAATCGCGTGGTGATGTAGCGGAAGCGGCCACTCCTGGCCTGTCGAGAAGGCGTAATGCTCACCCGGAATTCTTGAAGAAAAGGGCAGGCCACGGACAAAAATTCCTCCAATAAGGGAGCCTGGCATTTCTCTTGGCAGCGGAGACCACTCAGACAGAGACTCACAATCGAGGAAGTATTGTTAACTCCGGCCTGAAGTGACCGGTGACTGTAGTATCCATTAACCAACTGAGGCTGCGCATCCAAAAGCCATCCAATGCAACTCCTGGCTATGAACACAGCTCCGGGTTGCAGCTTTTCCTCATTTATAGAAGCATACAGTCCGTAGATCAGCTCCAAGGTGGCTGTCGAGTCTGGAAGGTGCATGGTGACCAGATCGAGCATCACTAAGTATTGGACTAACCATGGAAGCGTAATCAGTAGCTTGCCCTGCCGCATAGAGCGTTCAAGTATCTCACGGAGACTAAAGTCGGGATGAAAGTGGCTGCGAAGTTGCAACTGCTGTGGACAAAGAAATTGTGGTGAGGGATTGCCATGTTGTGTGGTGCCACTGAATGGCAAAACAGTCATAAAGCCCAAAAACTTGGCCAGGATAAGCATGTTTGCCATACTCTGGGCGCGTACGATGTAAGGTCCTTGCTGCGCAGATTGTTCCTCGGCACCCACATCTTCGACAAGCTGTAGCAGATCAAAGGTGGAGTCGTTGTGACGCATTAGTTGGACAAAAAGAGCTAGCTTCAGATGCACTAAAAATGCCACCGATGGGCATGTGGCTATAAAGTCGCGAAAGAAAGCCTGCGAACGTGGAAACTGACCCTCTACACTGGAGTTGGAGGTCACCAGGCGCTGGGCTAGCTTATTGTGTCTGAGGGGATCCAGCTTTAAGCCGAGTTCTTCAGGAGATTCGGTGGTCTCGGTAGCAGATATTAATAGCTGGCTCACAAACAATTTTGCAAAGTGCGTCATGTTCACTGGATGCTCCGATACCTTAAAGATGTCCCTAATTCGGGGCGACAGTTCACTTGCAAAGTTGAATACGCGATTCAGGTGGCTAACCTCCCACTGCTTAAGGGCTTTGTAAAAGAGGTCCCTTTGGGTTTTAAAGGCTCCAAATTCATTCTGTGACGGGAAATTGTCCCGCGAGTCCTTCTCAACGTGATAGTATACATTTTGCTGTGCTTGTGATGAAGTTTCCATGGCGAATGGTGTAATTAAATCTTGTCGCTGCTGACAGGACGACTCCAGTTGTTGGAAAATCTCCTCAGGTAGCAGGCTCAATCTCTCGTTTTGAAGCAACACCACCAAAGTCCTTTTGTCAAGTTGCAGAAGTAACTTTTGCTGGTTCTCGAACAGCTTTAAGGCAAAGTACACGCAATTCTTGTAGTTGCTTAGTCCTCCTAAAGCAACGGGTGGATTTGACTCAACGGGGGATTGCCCAAAATCTCGTATATTGAGTAATTGCAGCACAAAGCTCAGTTCACTTAGCACATTAGGCACTAGGTTCAAGTCCATTAAAAGGCTATAAATTGCAGATAGGAGCTGTAACTGATTAGTATCTCTAACATCTTCCAGGCTAAAGGTATCTCCGTCGTGTAATTCATCCTCAGGCGGCCTCTCTTGCTGACTGATATTCACAGCCGCTTCGCTTTTGATTTCCTGCTTATTCAGTAACAGCGATTTTCGGGCCTCCATTTCCAGGACTGCACCTTGACTTCTATCAAAGATTTCGCTGCTCTGCGAGATACGCCATAAGTTGTTGTCGTTGCTAAAGGAACTTGTATCACCAAAGGATGAATTAGCTGAAACATTTTTACTGATAGTCATAGGAAGGACACGTCGCCGAGGTTTGGATTGTGGTGCGGACCCAGCTCCACCTGCCGTACCCGTCTGTTGATTCTGTTGTTGTTGCTGGGGCGTTGTCTTTTTCTTCGATCGCTGCTGATTCTGATTTGGTGTGTTTACTAGGAAGTCGCCTAGGCAAAAGCTATGACCTCCTGCGACACCGACTCCTCCGCCGCCGCTCCTGTTAGGCGTACTGCAAAACTGACCACCACTACCTGGTGTAGATCTTCGGCCGTGCGGCTGTTGACGAGCTGGAGTGGTGGTTGAAGTGGATGTCGTACTGCAGCTGCTTCGGTTCAGGAGAGATTCATTGAGCTGGTGCTGCTCTTCCAAGTCCCTGGCCACATCGGCGGATGGTGGCTTCGGCTGGCGAATTGGGGTCAGGGAATGTACTGGTGTCTCCGATTTCCGTGTGTAGAAATATTGCTTTGTGTTCTGACGCAATGCAGCCAGAAAGTACACGGCAAAATCTTCAAGGCTGCACTTGCTCTGTTGACTCCCCTTGTCGCCCTTCTTAAAGTAGGCAATAAATTTCTGATGCAAATGGGGGCGTGGTACCTTCTCCAATTGCGCGAGCAGCTGCTCCAGATGCATTTCTTCCGGCTTAGCCATTTCTACTCTGCAGGCATAAATTGTTGATCTATTTTCCCTGCCCCCAGCTCGAGCTATTTTTGACCTTTCCTCCCTCCTTCAATCTCTCTCTCTCCCTTTTGTTTCCCTGCAACGGAAGAGGAGAGAAGGGAAATGTTGGCTCGGCTTTTGTGGGTTTTCGTTTTCTAATTTATTTTATTTTTAGACTTGTTTGGATAGGTTGAAGTTGCAGGATTTGGATTTCATTTTTATATTGACATCACTTTTTTCACACACACTAAACTAAATCAAAGTTTACTGCACGAAAGACAAAGTTTTCAAATTTAGGCGGAGATGACATCATCACCGGTACTAAGAGCTATAAAAATGAAATATTGGTTAGGAAAGATGGGTTAAAGTTCCATGGGGGATCAGGACTAAAGGTATTACTAATTGGTCACGTATCGCCAAAAATTTAGAATTCTACTAAATAGAGGTTCACAGATAAAGTAAGACAGAATAACTACACATTAAACAATTCATGGCCTAAAGTTATAGTATACATATATTTAGTCACATTATTGGTTACCTATTTATTTTTAGACTTTAATAGATAAAAGATTTATTACACAGAAAATAGATGGACAAAACACATGAAATCCAATTACTAATGGTTTCCAATCACCACGATCTATTGTACACCCAATATAAAATGCAAAGATAAGGAAACAAAAGGAATGTTCGGAATTCGCTACACAATTTTCTTAAATTTCAGGAAGTTCTAAAATCTTTAGATTAAATTATTGATACTAGTTAATAATGATTATTAAAAAAAAGCTCAAATTCAGTAGAAAGTATTAATTTCAAGCTCTGAAGTAAATTGAACCCGTTTTCTAGCGATTATTATTATCAAATTTTAAGGAACCATCGAGTATCACAAACGAATTTAGCAATTGCGATAAGGAAATCTATAAAATGTCCGGAATTTAGCAATAGATTACTTAATATTTCGAAACGCCCTGGGTAGAAGGGGTCAAACAGTGAGCAGTGACATCATTTTGGGGAGAGGGTGGGTTAAACATGCAGACAAACAAACAAACAACACACATTGCCGCAGGAAATTGAAATAAATCAGAGGGAGACAGAAACAATTCAGGGCTTGGCAGCCATACAAAGTCGGAATACACACACACGCATGGAAAGGCAATTTACTGTTTATCGCGGTGGCAAACAAAAACAACAACAGAAAACGGCAAGTGCGAGATCCCACCTTAAAAAAAGAGAGCGAGAGAATACACCGACGAATCGAGAGAGAAAAAGCGAAACATTAATTGAAGTGTCTATCAGAAAATAGCTGAGGATGACGTAATGCGCACAGTTTGGAATTATGAGCAATGATGGAAGAGTAATCTATTTATGCTAGTATCTGTGAACCACAAGATGGAATGGCCTTTGCTCGCAAATATATCCTATGTCAACACATGCATTGACACAAAGTCAAGGACATTCCTCCCACCCAAAACAGGTTTTGCCAAATGTAAAGCAAACAACACTTTTGATTTACTCGTATTTAAACTCTCTCATAAACACAAACACGAAGATAATGCTTTCTCTCTCTCTCTTGCTTTCTCTCTGCTGAAGTTGCCGCACCACCACCACCCGATGACGTACACGCACACACACACATCAATTCTCTACTCCTGCATCACTCACACATGCACAACTGGAGTACCAGATACTTTTTCTTTAATTGCAATTGGAATCCAGAACTTAAACAAAATTTCATAATTTTGATGACTAATTAAGCGCTGGCATTGAACCTTTTAGTTTTTAGTTATGGCCAAGAATATTTCCCCACTTTTACGCTGTTTAATTGGATTTTTAAGTCGCCTACGAGGGTGTGGCGTTGACCCGAAAAATTTTCACTTTACACGCAAACCGAATTTCAATTGCAATTCGAACCCACATAACAGAAAGCAACGAACGAAAATTTTTAATGAACTTACACTTTGATGGCAAATATAATCTTTCACAGTTAATTTGGTAATTTAATTATTGATCTTCAGCAGTTATTCGGAATTTTCTCGGAGCGTCTTAATTTCACGGGACCGCACCAGGGCACTTTTTTCGGGTTATTAAAGAGACCAGCCAAGGCGTACAAAAAAGTACCGGCGTACCACCTTTTAGAGATGTACCGATACTATCGAAGCACTAAGTTACAAATAATACGGGAATTTGCATAAAATACAAAAGATCGTAGGGAAAGTGATTTTTTTTATTAAAATTTTCAAAAAATATTCTTTGGAATATGAAAATATTAAAATAACGAAATAATTTGATTTGTATCGATAAATTAGTCAAATAATAGTATAACTTGTATACGGTGTTTTTTGGAAAAGGTTATGAGGTCACACTAATTTCCAGAGCAATCCAAAAAAAGGAAGCAGCGGAAAAAGAAAAAACCTGCAATTTACGCTTAACGGAAAACCAAAGTTTATAAACAGCAAAATGGTGGACTACAGCAAGTGGAAAAACATCGAGGTAGGTCTGCCAAGAATGCATTATATTAACCCCTCTTAATGCTCACATTCCGTTTCAGATTTCGGACGACGAGGACGACACTCACCCGAACATCGACACGCCTTCCCTGTTTCGCTGGCGACACCAGGCCCGCGTGGAGCGCATGGCGGAGATGGATCAGGAGAAAGACGAGTTCAAAAAGAAACGCCAGAGCTTTCAAGCGCGCCTCATAGATGTTAAGGAGCGAATCTCAAAGAAGGAGGGCGATGAGGAGGCTCTAAAGGTGGGTCAACAAACCGGATTTAGGGTTCACTTGTTGCTAAATTGTCTAAGCCTGGAATTTCTGATTCTTTGGTTGATCAGACGAATATCATTACTGTTAGTAATCGTTTAAGTTAACCACCTTTTAGTTCTTATCATTTTCCTGGTACTTGCGCAGTTCATCTATTTCAAAAAAATGAGTCATTTGAACTGGATTTAAAATGATGTTGCGATCAAAGTTTATCGTTTAATCTTATATTCCATTTCATTCCATCTAATTTTCATATCTAATCCTCATTTTTCCACAGAAAGAGCTAGAAAAGATTGAGGCCGAAGGCAAGGAATTAGATCGCATTGAGAGCGAGATGATTAAAAAGGAAAAGAAGACGCCGTGGAACGTGGACACTATCAGTAAGCCCGGTTTCGAAAAGACCGTGATCAACAAGAAAGCCGGCCGAAAACCGGACGAGAATCTTTCAGAGGAAGAGCGCGAGCAGCGCATGAAGCAGTTCGTCAAGGAGAACGAGAAGCTTTGCAAGCAGTATGGCATGTTGCGCAAGTACGACGATTCCAAGCGATTCCTGCAAGAGCACCCTCAGCTGGTGGGCGAGGAGACGGCCAACTACCTGGTGATCTGGTCAATCAACTTGGAGATGGAGGATAAGCATGAACTAATGGCTCACGTGGCGCATCAGTGCATTTGCATGCAATACATCCTAGAACTAGCTAAACAGCTAGATGTAGATCCCCGTGCCTGTGTCAGCTCCTTTTTCTCCAAAATCCAGCACTGTCAGCCAGAGTATCGGGCCCAGTTCGAGAGCGAAATCGCAGGTTTCAAGGGACGGATCCAAAAGCGTGCACAGGAGAAGATTCAGGAGGCGATAATACAGGCAGAAGAGGAGGAGCGCAAGGAGCGTCTCGGACCTGGTGGCTTGGACCCAGCCGATGTATTTGAATCCCTCCCAGATGTAAGTTTTAAAGGGCAGATTTTAAGGGAATCCTCATCTCACATTTCATTATTGCAGGAACTGAAGGCCTGTTTTGAGTCTCGCGATGTGGAGCTCCTGCAAAAGACTATCGCAGCCATGCCCGTGGACGTGGCCAAGTTGCACATGAAGCGATGCGTAGACTCTGGTCTCTGGGTGCCCAACGCCGCTGATTTGGAAGGTGACAAAAAGGATGACGATGATGACTCAGATGACGCCGCCGGCGGTAAGGAAAAGACCGACGACGACAAGTCGGAAAGCGCGGCCAAGGAGGAGCCAATCTACACTGGCGTCAGCACAGAGGACGTTGACTGATCGCCGCATGTTTCCATCTACACCATAGCTCTAATATTAATGTAATGTCCACATTCATATTTCATCCATAACCAGCTTCCCGCGTTTTTGTATATAATTTGAATAAAGTCCGAAAAATTCTCAGTAACCTGTCAAATACTTTGAGCAGATTATTGCCAGTTGTTTACATTGTTATCAAGTAGAAACAATGAACCGGCCGGAGCTGGACTATTATGCGGTGCTGGATCAGCCCAGAGCAGCTACAAAAGAGCAGATAACTCTGGCATATCGCAGACTGGCCATTCGCCTTTGTCCACATCGCGACAAGAAAGACGAGCAGGACTTTGTGCCGCTAGCACAGGAGGGACGTCTCACGCATCTCTCGCCCATGGGCGAACCCAGGCAGTGGGCCTATATCAACATGGCTTTCGATGTGCTGGGCAACGACCTTTACCGCGCCATTTACGATCGATATGGAGAGGCGGGTCTGTTTGAGGGAGTGATGCTGCCGAATGGATATTTTCCACCTTACCAATACGATGGCGACCACATGAAAGTATACGAGAGGGTCTTCGGGAGCTACTCACCCTATGCAAATGTAATTGATGCCATCGCAAATCCGCCGAGCCTATACAACACTAGGCAGCATGGCATAGGGGTGCGCTCAAAGGATTCGAGCACGGAGAGAATCATCGAGCTGTCCCTGGAGGAGGTGCGCACTGGTTGCGTTAAGCTGATGAATGTCTGGCGCCAGGAGATCGTAGACACCAAAGAGTCAAAATTGGAGAAGCGGAAGCATACTTTGAAATTAAACATTGCCCCTGGAACAACGGCCGGAACTCGCTTCTGCTTTAAGGAGGAGGGCGATCGGTATCCAGCCACCATTCCTGGTGATATTATCTTTATAGTTGCTGATAAACCTCATCCAAATTTCGAGAGGAGAAACCACCATGATCTAGTCTACAAGCATTACATTGACTTGTGCCAGGCCTTCATCGGCTTCACCTTCTTTATTTCCACGCTGGACAGACGCCAGTTAAAGGTGGTCATAACAGACGTAGTACAGCCGGGCTACATCAAGGTCATTCCCCTAGAGGGCCTACCGAAGTGCCGCAACTTGAACGCCGTTACGGCCATCAAAGAGGCCAACAAAAAGATTGATCAGTTCGGGGATCTTATCATAGAATTTAATTGTACGTTCTCTTTTTTTGTCATTCATATATACATAATTTTCTTTTTTCTGTAGATATTTTCCCCAAGTATTTGACTCCACATATGAAACAAATGACTCGCGAATTTTACCGCGAATTCAGGAAGCTGGAATGTGATCTACTGGAAGAGGAGGAGCGGAACATGTCCTGATGGAAGTATCCTAGTTGGTTGTATGCCTTTAGAGCTCCTGAAATTATGCGTACAGCTTAAATAAATTAAAATTTTTCGTTTAAAGTATGTAGATGTATTTGATGTATTGTAGATGTAGATTTAATAGCTCTCTAAGATCCAAATCCCACTTTAAAGATATTTTTTGAAAGCAAGTACTTAATTTATCTCATATGCCAATTTTTGAATTTGTTAATTTAAAAAGGCTTAACGGTTAGCCTAAAAGGTGGCAACTTTGATAAAGTTATCGACTGTATGTCAAGCTAACAACGCCAGAATCAAATGTTTGGTAACCCTATTCATCAGCTGTTCGAAAAAAGAAAATGCATTTGGCATTCCAGGGATAATTAAAAATCAATTGCAGCAGCAGCGCACAGCAAGTGGCCAAGGAAAAGAGTACACACGGACGGGGGAACACCTCGCGGCATCCAAAGGTGTAGTAACTGATCCACAGCTGCTCCACTTCGAGCACAAATTCGATTACCCGTTTCGCAGGTTTAAACAAAGTGTGCCAACGCCACAACACGCCCCCACCCAGAAGACCATAGAAACGCCAGCGGAAGTGGGATAGAGACGCGGATCACGCTTCACTGGCCACTTGCCACTCATTAATAGCTGGCCACGCCCACTGCCACAAGATGCACCTTAGTGCGGATATTTCCAGCGCCCTGCAGCAAATCGAGGCTGTGAAGAAGGGCATCGAAGAGTCTGATGACCCGAAACTGCAGATGCAGACGGCCGAGAGCCTCAACACCATCCTAGGCATCTTGCAAGACCCCGTATTTCGCACCATCGTCCACGTTCAGGACTCGCTCTCTGAGCTCAATGCCCAGCTGGGCCAGCACCCGTCCATGTTGCCCAACGATTTTGACATCGATGTGGCCGGCAATCTTGTGCTCAGCCTGAATGGCGGCGAGGTGATGTACGACTTTGATGAACAACGGTCTTCTTCGCACTCCCATTCGGCACCGGGTAGTCCGGATAAATCTGGAGGCGTCGGCGAAGAGCCGCGCCCACAGAGCCAGAACTCTAAAAGCGCTGGCGTTGCGGATTTGTACGCCACGGACTACGCCCAGATCCAGGCCATAGAGCTGGTGAACGACGGCACGGGTCTAGGATTCGGCATCATTGGAGCCCGAAACTCTGGAGTGATTGTGAAGACCATTCTGCCAGGTGGGGTGGCCGATAGAGATGGACGTCTTCGTTCTGGGGACCACATTCTGCAGATTGGAGATGTCAACTTGCACGAAATGGTCTCCGAACAGGTTGCTGCGGTATTGCGTCAATCTGGAACCCACGTCCGCCTGGTTGTCGCCCGTCCCGTCGAGCATAGTGTGCCTACGCCTCAGTATGCACTGGAACCAGGCACGGCTGTGGTACCAACCCGCGTTCTCGTCGATCCTGCCGAGCTGGAGCGGTACCTAATCTCTACTGGCTATCCGGAGATATTTGGCGAGAGTTCCACGGCTTCCACTCCGCAGACCACCACAGAAGATGATCGGTTTGTGTATCGCGGTGAGACCTCCATGCTGATTGATCCTAACATCGACCTCGAGGAATTGCTGGCCCTCCCTGAGACGGAGAAGCTGCAGGTGGAGCTTAAAAAGGATGCCAATGGCCTAGGTATCACGATTGCCGGCTACGTTTGTGAGAAAGAGGAATTGTCTGGCATTTTTGTGAAAAGTGTATCGCCGGGATCAGCGGCAGATCTGAGTGGCCGCATCAGGGTCAACGATCGCATAATCGAAGTGGACGGGCAGTCGCTGCAGGGCTACTCCAATCACCAAGCCGTCGAGCTGCTGAAGAAGTCTGGTCAGGTGGTAAATCTTCGCTTAGAACGTTACTTGCGAGGTCCTAAATTCGAGCAACTGCAGCAGGCCATCGCTGCTAATGACAAGCTTCCATCCAGTGCTCCTGGGACGCCTTCGAGGGCACCCTTGCCAACTCCAGTGGCCACCACTTCATCGGCCACAACCACACCTTCACGCAGTATAGCACGCGAGTTGGAGGAGGAAGCTTTGCCGGCACCAGAAGCTTTCATGACCACTCCGCCGACGATGACCACCACCACTTTGAGCTCGTTTGGAGCAGGAAAACAACTGGTAGCAGTAAGGGATTCCCTGGATGGCTCCACGAAGATCATACCCACGGAGGTCGTACCCTTGGCGGATAAAACAGAGGTGAGTAAGCAGTAATGACTAACTCTCCATTTTAATAAACAATCCGAATGTTGTAGGCCAAGAACAACGGTGTGATCACCCGTCACAAGTACTACACTGATCCAGAGCTCTCCGACGACGCAGAAACCGAGATCATACGCAAATGGCAAAAAATTGTAGGCTCCGATGTAGAGGTGATTGTAGCCCAGATCAAGAAGTTTGCTGTTGGCGGTTTGGGAATTTCCTTGGAAGGAACCGTGGATGTGGAAGGAGGACGAGAGGTACGACCCCACCACTATATTCGTTCGATCTTGCCCGATGGACCAGTGGGTGTAAATGGAGTTCTCCGCTCCGGAGATGAACTATTGGAAGTAAATGGAGAGCGGCTTCTGGGCATGAATCACCTGGAGGTGGTGGCTATACTGAAGGAACTGCCATTGGACGTGCGCATGGTCTGCGGTCGTAACAGAAACACTTCACTACTTCCCTTCTCTGATGATACCCTGAAAAAGCTGAGTAACAACTTTGAGAACCTTTTGCCCGCTACTGATCGCCTGGTTAAGGCAAAATCGGATGGAAGTCTGGCTACCGCTGGTTCCGTGGCCGATGGGGATTCAGTGGCTGCCGCCGCCTCTTCGTTTAGCAAGCTCAAGTCACGTTCGCTGGAGCCATTGACAGGACTGGCCATGTGGTCATCTCAACCGCAAATCATCGAACTGGTCAAGGGCGACCGCGGCCTGGGCTTTTCTATTCTAGATTATCAAGATCCGCTAGATCCAAACGACACACTAATTGTAATCCGTTCTTTGGTTCCTGGAGGAGTGGCTCAATTGGATGGACGCCTCATACCAGGAGACCGTTTGCTATTTGTGAACTCTATCAATCTAGAAAACGCCTCGCTGGACCAGGCTGTGCAGGCTTTAAAGGGTGCATCAAAGGGCGTGGTACGTATTGGTGTAGCCAAGCCACTGCCGATGACGGACAACTCACTGAAGGCTTGCAGCAATGCAAGCACCACTAGCGAGGAGACTTTAGACGCGCAGTCGTCGCCTCCTGCTCTGCCCACAGCTGCTCCGCCCGCAATGCCGCCCACTGCCTCCAAGGGAGCTGAACCGGATCTAATTCCCGACTGGCGGAATTAGGTAGTTACGACGTAAAATTCGAAACATTCCAGGCAGCTGAATCTTCAAATCTGTCTCTGCATCTAATCAAATAATGTTGCATCGGATCTAGCTAGATTTTTGCAATTAAGTTTACCGAATTGTTTTATGTATGTCTTAAAGTCTTACGATTTGTTTAAAAAAGAAAACGCGTCTCCGATTCCACAAAATTTGATGGGATGCAAGATCACAGGACCGATTGTTATTACCGAATCAAAATGTTATGCATATTATTAGCACCGAATTGTGTTTGTCCCCCAAAAACGAGCATTTCACAAGCATGCAATATCTGTAACCCTCTAGTATTAGTAAATGAATTTTAACATGGTATTTCCAGAGTGTATGTACTTAAACTAAATTAAATAATGTACCTTCCATACGGTCAATGAGTATCACTAGGGGAGCGGAATTATGGCCTTGGCTTTGACTTATTGCACCCGATTCAACTGACGCTCGATTCTCATGTAATTTCGCCTGGACAGAATTCGATCCCGTGCGTAGCTAACCAGGTAGCTCAGTAGCCCAACTACGAAGCACAAAACTTCGAATTTCAAGAAGTTCATCTGCTCGATCAGTGCCACCCGATCGCAGCTCCTGGTAACGATCTCCCCGCTCTGACATCGTAGGACCTCCTTGTAGTGCGTGTGGATACAAACCCCTAGACTGCGACTGACTATGTCGAATTCCGAGCACGGATGACACTCCTGTACCATCGTGTACTTTTCATTCCGCCAGCATGTAGAGTTGTCCTCGATGACGAACTGTGGTTCCCGACGACGAGGTCCTTCTGCCGCGTATCGGGATTCAACGAAGAGGACGAGAATGGTGACCACCGTAAGAGCTCCAAGCCCAAGGAGCATATGGTGTCGCTGGCAGTTTTCAAGCATTTTAGAGGCGGGAAGGTAGCTCTATAATCGGATAAAGTTCGAAAACCAACTGGAAAACAAGTTTAATATATGAATAAATTTCAAGACATATGGATGAGATTACTAACTCTTGTTTTGTTTTCTTTTTCGGTTCAGTGTGACCGAAGCTAAGACTTAGTGTTTCTTATCCAATACCTCTTTGGAACCAGCTCGTGCCGTTATTAATACCAAAATAATTAGCTAAAACCTTTTTTAAGTTAACGCTATCCTAATTTGTATTCAACTATTATTTTTAAATTTTGGCACTTTGTAAATTATTACGTATTATATTTAATATGTAATTAGGGAAAAGATCATGAAAGGTTATAATTATGATTCGCTTGGTAGTTATAAAAGTAACCAGTTCTATTCTAGTTCATGGAAATACTAAAGTGTTACCATAGAGGTACTAGCCCAGAACTAGTTCGCTGTTTACGAACAAGAATGGATGCAGACCAAAACAATTACGGACTATAAGCACAAAGCAGACGGGAGAAATCTGTGAAAATTTTTATAAATCGCGTGTTGGCGCATTGAAAATGGTGCTGCGATCGGGGATTATAATTCCGTTTCAGTTTCGCGACACGAAGAAGCTGTTAATGATCGGGGTTCCCGAGGAAAACCGCAACCTAAACATATGGGACCTGAAGAACGTGGGTAAGCAGTGGTATGGATGGGGGCCATCAAACTAGGAGCGCCCAAAACGATGGAATCAAAAAACATGGGAATCTAAAATTAAATAACTAATTCCGTCTCCACAGTGCGGGCCGCCTTCGGAATTTATAACTTTGAATTCCGGAACAAGAAGATCGGCTTCAACATCCCTGATGAGCTGCTGCTGCACTATCTGGCCCAGAGGCACGACCTCACCAACTTCGTTATAGAGATCAGTCAAGGTAAATAGCGTTTAAGTTACGGTACGGCTAAGTCGCGATTCAATTAGCGTTTAAGCATTCGAGTGAGTGACTGTTAACTGGAAATCCCGAAGTCGGAGTTTTCCAGAATCCGGGCTTATTTGTAGATCCGTTGTGTTTATGTAGACGCGGCGTGCGCTTCGCTTGTAAGTCTCTGCGATTGCCATCTGTAATAAATCCCAAATTGTAAAATGCTTTCTCTTGCAGCCCTGGACGATGGTCACGCAAAGGAGCTGCTCTCCTATGAGCCCTCCTGCTCCATGGCCGTCCTGAAGCAGCAGCAACAGCAGCACCTCCAGGCGCACCACCCTCATCCCCACCAGCATCACGTGCCACTGCCACAGCGTTCAAACGAGAGCGCCTCGCACCACGCCCACGAATACGTGCCTGGCTCTCAGCCCAACTCTCCAGCACTGGGAATGAGTGCAGAGGCTGTGGACTCGCCACTGGAGCAGCAGGGCAATAACTCGGGATCAGAACCCACGGATCATACGCACAAACTCCGCCTGGGACAGGCCTACTCGGAACGGACACCAGAATCGCTAACCCAGTCTATCGATCCCATGGACATCATACCCAAGTCGGAGTCCGAATCGGAAGTTGAGCGTCTGCAGCGGGCCTCAAGATTTCTGGTACGCCAGGAAGCCCATCAACAAGCACAACAACAACAGCATCAGCAGCAGTTGTTGCCAGGTCAGCAGATCTTTCCCAGCTATTCGCACCCTTTGCCACCGATGAATGCACCGAATTCCTCCCAACAGTCGCCCTATACGCCGGGTCTAATGAGTCGCTTTAGAAGTGAGAGAAGCCCCTGTGCCAGTCGAAAATTCGTTTTTAATCCCTAAATATTCTTTTTAAGAACGCGGCGAACGCATGTCAAAGGACCAAAAAGAGCTATACGTAAAGTTCTTCGAGGACAACCCGTGCATGCTATCGAACCACCGCCGTCACGATGGCCTCACCGAACCTTTGTGGGCGAAATTGGCGCATATGCTTAACAGCGTACCCCAAGGAGCCGTAAAGAACGTGGAGGACTGGAAGCAGACTTTTGATGCCTGGAGGTATCGCATCTTCATGTATACGCGCTACAACTCCAAGCTAAGCATGTCTGAGACAAGCGATCCGAAGAACTTTAAGCCCCTGACAGCTACCGACCAGAAGGCGTACGCCATGTGGACCAGCCACAAGCACATAGCGCCGCAGGACTACGAGAAAATGGATATGTTTGCGCCGCTGGACGAGACGACAACGACGACAAATAATTACGACTACTAAATCGGGATCAAAGTGCAAAGGATACAACTGTTAATGTGTACTTTAACTAGTGCTAAGAAATACAATACATTTTAAGAGAAAAAATATGTGTTTTCGATCTTGGATAAGACTAGCTATAATGTGTTTTTTAGAATGATCTCTCCCATTAACTAGTTTATGTATTTATATATTTCAGTTTACGATGTCGCTTTGGACAACTATGTATTAAATCGGCAGTGCCGCTGTGGGGACCAGAAAATGCTAAACGACTCGCCGACGCCCGAGGAGCCCACCAATCTTTGCCAGCCCAGTAATGTCCTGGAGGCAACGCCCACTCCGCTAATGACCATGCCACCTTGCGGTGACGAGGATCATGAGCATGAACACGAACATGAGCACGAACATGAGGAGAACATGAAGTACCGGATCGACAAAGCCAGTAGTGGAGCCGCCTCGGCGGAACTCGGCATGCCAGCTTACGAGGTCTGCTCGCCCAAGATGGATTACGACACGCAGGACGAGATGCCGGATTCGCCACACTCCCAGCAGCTTCCACAACCGCCTTTGCCTTTGCCTGCGGCCTTGCCGCTCCCACCGCCGCCCACTTCCCACCACCAGCATTTGCAACAGCAACAGGAGGTATATTCCATCACTTGCAATTTGTTGCGCGTGATTTAAGTCACTTCTGATTTTATTCTTTAGGAGCGCATCCAGCAAGAATACATCATCCAGCAGCAGCAGCAACACCATTATGCTCTTCTCCAGCAACAGCAAGAGCAACAGCAACAACAGCAGATCCAGCAACAAGTCAACATGGCCATGGGAACGACCACAACTAACAACATTCGACGTAAGTGACCCTCATAAAATTTATACAACCAATAAAGCTAGCAAGCTAATGACTTAAGAATAGTCGCGTGCTAAGATATACCATGATTAATTTTACAAAATGTGCTTAATGTTTTTCTTACTTCCGTAATAACACAGTACATTTCTGAAATAACTTTTGAACATATTTTATTTTAATTTGCCATCGAATTAAACACTTTTAAATATATTTATTTTTATTAATTAATAAAAATAATAAAATAATTTGCGTTTTCCATTAAAGTACAACATATTTCACGTTTCAAATCAAAGAATCCATAAATAAAAAAGTCTTTAAATTCGGCTCCACGAATATCACATTAGCGCATTCCAATTTTATCAGATATTTGTATAATATTTGCATTAATTCGGCCATACATTTGAATAATGCACTTAAATATTTTTACTGATTCTGTAAACAATGATGTTAATTAGGTCTCCATTGATTTCTCGTCCGCAGAACGCAAGGAGCGCATGTCCAAGCGGCAGAAGGAGCTATATGTGCACTTCCTGCAGCAGCACCAGTTCATCAATGACCATCGGCGCAACGATCCCGTGCTGGATCCCTACTGGTTGAAGCTAGCTAATCTGCTGAATGCAGTGCCGCAGGGCGCTGTTAAGCACGTGACCGAGTGGAAGCAGACCTTCGACAATTGGCGATACCGCATCTTTCTTTACGCGCGCTACAACTCCAAGCTGCAGGATGAGGAGGCCCAGAATCCTCGGAATTTTAAGCCTCTGACACGGACCGATAAGCAGGCCTATATCATGTGGATCAGGAACCCCGATACGGCGCCACCTGATCTCGACAAGATGCGCAACGTCTTCTGTAACCTGGAGGAGACGGTCGTGCAGCAGGAGTAGATCCGGGGATTGCCATTGTCCTAGTTGTAAAACTTCCGATCTTTCTTTGTCATATTTTAATGGTTTTTATCGTGTTAACCGTGCGTATGTGTGTCGCTGTTTTTCCTGTTATGGGAATGCATTTTTCTTTTAGTTTTTGTCATTGTTATGTTTATATGAATATTAAACATGTGTTTTTTCTGAATGGAGCGCTAATTTTAGTCGGAATATGCACGAGATTATATTTATACACCGGCCAAGCAGTTCGTTTGCCCCAGCTGGTGTTTTGCATATGGTATAGCCACAATGAACTTAATGCTGAACAGGTTATGGAATTAATAAGTGCGTGGATTTGTTCAACCCGCAGTTATGGCAAGGATATCGAATTCAAACTTAAAACAACAGCTTTTTGGCCTTGATGGATAGAGTTGTTTTGAGTGACTATGACAAACTCCTTTCAGAACCAGCTCCATTTGTATTCCTCCGTATCTCCATCTAGACACCCACACCCACAGTTTCGTCTACCGATGCTGATTAATTCGCTGCCCGCGGCGGTACAGCATCCAGTGTGTGGCTTGTACTTGTCACTAATCCCCGGCCATTAATTATTCGTTCAATCATATCCGATATGCCTGATGCCGCCATTCAATCGATACTTGACAGCTTTCGTTGGGATTATTTCTTTATTGGCAAATCCCGATAATAATTCCTTCTTTTGCCGATCTGCAAATTAGTTCCAGTGTTTCTTGAACCTGAACCTGAAACTGAAAAGGGAGCCCCATTGATTAGCATATTGTTAATTAAAAAGAAATTACTTGGGTTTGGCCTGGCATTGGCTTTTGTACATTTTATTCTTCTGATTAAATGGCAATTTATCATAAATTATTGCACTTAATTGTGTGCAAAATGCAAAGTGCTGCGGGACCATTTAGAAACCTTGTTTTATTGGTAACAGAATTGTGTTACATAAATAACTAACTTAAATGAGCGTATCAGCTTGAGAGATATTACAAATGACTCGTAATCGTGGGGTTCCCCTCCGTGGGCCCCCATCGCCTTTTGTCTGTTATCTGCAGCGTCGCCAATTGCCATTCCTAATAAAGATAAATGAACCCGCACTCATTCCAACCGATTCACTCCGTTCCAAAGGCATTGAGTTGGGTTATTGGCTGTGACTTTTGCGGCCGATTGCCCCCGTATCGGAGCTGGGTTCTGGCATATGGGTACATGTGAAAAAATATGATCTTTTTTAGATGTCAACTGGAGAGACTATACAAATATTAATATGCGTTATAGTCAATCTGTATTAATTAAGTTCGCTAAGATTATCAATCATTTTGTTCGCTATAAGTAGTATAGTCTTTAAAAGATAAACTATGTTTTTTTCGCAGTGCATTTAATATCTACTGCGTCAGTCAGGCGTTCAATATCAATATTTCAGCATTCAGCATTTGCATTCGAGAATTCGTAGGCCGACGTCTAGGTGGCATTCGTTAGATGTGCCCGTGTATGAATTATGACAGGTGGGGGAAAACAATGCGAAACTTGGTGGCTGCCACGGATCGGCTCATGTTTAATTCATCTGTAACTGCATATGGGGCGCAGGGTAACCGGGTAGCTGTTCTCAGATCGGCCGTCGATAGCCGTTGACAGATTAATTCGAAGTTGCGAGTCCAGAAACCAGAAATATGAGCCGTGTCTTAAGAACTGGGTGGAGTTGGGCTGGGCCGCCGATAACGTTTCGGTTCCTAACCCAGTTTCCGCCGTCTAATCCACTCCAATCCCCCATATTACCATATATTAGCCGCTCACTTTCAATGGTAATTTATCAAAATTAAAATTATCGCATCAGATTAGTTTGCCTAGCAAAATTCTCCCACACTCTCACCAAAAAAAACCAAACACTTAGTAAAAGACCAGCAGCAGTTTAGTCCCAAAAAAAAAAATAGCGAACAAAAACTAAAAACTTCATCAGATCAATCATAAAGACATAAAAAATGCTGTAAAAACGATAAAAACACCATAAAAGCGATAATAATCTTTTGAAAGACCTGTTTTGCCCAGCAATGATCAGAGCAGACCAAAGACAGTTCCATAGCCCAACCACCATCACCGCCCCACTGCACCACACACTTTACAGCACCAAGACATGCAGAGGGAAAAATTTATAGTTTTCAAGATAGATTTTTCTATATAAATATAATTAAAGTGGAGGTATTAAAAACGATACTTATTGAAATAGCTTAAAATCCACATTAACATAACTTAATATTCATTCAAAAGATTTTTTATGCATCTTTTTAATTGGAATCCTAAAGTTATTTTCTTACTGTATACCTTAGCCATATCTTACCAAAGGCAACTTGTCAGACCGAAGTGATCTTAACAGACATTTCTGTTGATTTACTATTCGAAGTTAAACACACAGACACACACATAATTGGAAAAACTTGTGTATGCTAATCGATAGGCGAACTGATTGATATGGCTTTTTAATTGCATTTACAATTTAATTGACCTGAACTATCGCGCCGCAAAAGGCGAAGCCGAAATCCCGCAGAATCACTTAGCATAATTTTATGTCTTAATGAGGAAACCGATCTTCCATTAAGCGCTACATTGTGAACCCATAAAAACAAATTAAATAACTGCAAAAACACGAGAATTTTGCATCGACATAAGGCGACCGATAAATATAACGAGTGTTGGCTCATTAACTTGGCCAGCCAATAAAATCAAACTCGGTTGACATCCAATCAAATTGATGGGGACAAGCACTTCAATCGTTGTGGGGGCTGTTGAAGTGTTTAATGAAAGAAATTAAAATACGTCAGCCTTCAGCTCATGCGTAAAGACTCAGCCGTCTCAGACTATATCCGATTTCAATGTCACTCACGTAATCGCTCTCCGTAGTGCCATAATTGTGGTTCAGTGTGGCTCGAGTATGTATGTACATATTTGTGTGTGTGTGTTATCACTGAGTGATTTGTTGAAGGAGGTCAGGGATGCCTCACACCCACGTAGGCCTAGTGGATGTCTACTATTGAAAGTCTGTTCAGAATAAAGTCAATCAAGAAGTTTATTTAATCAATTATGTAGACAGAAAGAAAGATCCCAGTCTGACTGTTAATATTTACAAATGATCTTTACGAGCTCAACGAACATAAAAGCATCTGTAATCAATGCTAATTTATTTTCAAAGTATTTACAAAAATACATTTATTGTATTTATTCATTGAATTTAAATTACTTTAATGGCAATAAGTGAACATATCAAACGCATTTGAAAGCAGTATGACATTAGCATTCCTTAATTTATCAAAATATTTCTAAGTTAAACAAATCGATAATAAATTAACAATGAATTATAAACATCAAAGTATTTTTCAGTTGCATGGCAAGCACATAAACAAAGTGTTGGGTAATTAAAATGAAAATCGGAAATAATATAAAATTGATTGGCTTAATTTATTATACATGTGTCTGAATATTAAGTTATGCAAGCCAACATAACAACAACAACTTTGCTTAGTCAAATAAAATACTTATTACCGAAATGTATTATTTTATACTCTTTCAGTAATTACAAGTTTAATGCTCATACTAATAAAGACAGTGTTTATTCTTGATTTAAGCAGCAACATGTTTACCCAAATGTTGGCAACATGTTTTCAAGAATCCAATGCCGGAAACGGCCCTAGCAACATGTTGCTGGTTGGGCATGGGCCACATATGAAAACTGGCTGGTAAAAAGCAAGAAAAACAGCGCTGAAAAATAGAAAACAAAGCGAAAAACAGCCGAGTTGGTGCTCGGGCTCGGGTTTTGGGGTTCGGGCCTGGCTTGAAGCCGTCTGGCTGATTCGCAAACCAGCTGATGACCAACAGAGGCCGACAAATCGGGAGACGGAGACTTTGTGCTGATGCTACCACATTCGCTGCTTTCAGTGTGGCCCGTGTCTTCAATGAGTTTTGTCACGCTTTAGCGCAAAAACAGCGGTTCGATATCGAGATCCCTACGCCAGCAGATATATATAAGACATATAGTATATATCCTCCAGACATCAGCCGCCAGCAGCAAAGTATGTGTCGTCGTGTCATTTGATGAGGCAAACGTGTAAAAATATAAGCCGCGTTGTGAAGTTCTCGTTAAGTGCAAGAAAGAAATAAAAAAATAATATAAACAGAAACAGAATAAGAAACGGAAAAATAAAAGGAGCCTTAAAGTCAGCAAGAGGAACAAAAGAAACAAAAGACTGAGGCAACGAACTTGCGTGCTGCTATGCAGACAATTTATAGCCTGCAGGCTGCGCAGCTGCTGTCGCAGGCGTGTTGAATTTATGCAAATAAATAAATCAATTCCACAGAAGATAAATAAAATTGAAGGCGTTTCGCCGTTTTGCACGCACAAAACACTTTAAGGCATTTGTCAAAGCAACCGAAAAAAATATGCATAACCAATCTAGAGAAAAATCTGTTTCCCGACCTGCCATAAATTAAACCTCGCCCATGACTTTTCTCCCCAGCGAAATAAAATGAAATAACATAATACTGTGAAGGGAAGGGAAAATCTTAAAAAACGCTTTTGGCCTCTTTAAATGCAACAACTTGAAAATGAGTTTTTGAACAGGCCGCATATTATTATTATTATTATCATGAGCAGCCAACAATTCGCATTTAGTTTTGCTTTATCTCCGTACAGCTTTTTCTGTTTAATGTGCCGGAAATGTTTTCTCAGCGCTGCGGATAATTGTGGGTACTTGAGGTTGGGTGTTGCCAATGATTATAAAACCTTGTTAATTTGCACAAATTGGTTTTGCATTTGTCAAGACCAGACGTAGCATCTTCTACTTCTACCAGTTTGTCGGCTCTATAAAAGTTAAATGCTTAATTTATGCACATATCATGGTTCCTTAAATTGGCCGCAGAGCAACACTTAAGGTCACCTGATCTGCGGGCTTATTACAGCTGGAAACGGGTTTGCTAGAGATTCTACTAGCTAGCTGGTGACCTCCAGAGCCTCCAGTTTTGACGCCTAAAAAATCTTATGCCACAGAGTCCGTCTAAACATAGTCACGTTCCGACTGTTAGCCATGACATGGGCCGGCTGCTTTTGGCCGGACAGTACATACTGGCACGCCTTCTTCCTCGGATATTTACGATGGCAAATAGCTGGGACTTAGACGGCACTTAAAATGCGTGGCATGTGGCTCGCATTTGGCTCCACTTTGCGACACTGTGTAGCCAAAAAGACCAAAAGGCAACCCGCCAGCCGCCAAGCCACCACGCCAAAGGCAATTGAAAATTAACCGTACCTTAGATTTTCAAGAAAATGGTAAATGGTCATTTAAATTGGCTCCAATGTTTACGCATGCGCGACAGATCGTGCAGTACACCCCCTCGCAGAGTCGACCAAATATACCCTCTTATCAGGTTGGCCATGTGTGGAACGAATCTCGATCTCGATCTCCGTCAGAAAGCCAAATGCTGCCATGGACACTGGCAATTGAGACGCCAAAAGACGCCAAACTGACAGAGTCATCGTCATCGCGGACACAATCACCGCCAAAAGTAACCATTCACTAGGGTCCAACTAAGTAAGGGGATTGCATAATGACCGGGCTCCAATCCACTTGATATTTACCTTAAATCTGATTTGATATTGTCCCACACGTCATTCGATATGCCAGACTCGTCTACAATTACCAGATCTGATGATCGGCTGTACCCGACTTATGACTATTACATATATATATAGGACAGGTCGAGTGGTGCTGATTAAGGCTGACCAGGTTACCAGGTGACCAGCTCGGCAGTTGCTAAAACAAATTAAAAACAAATCTGAGTGTAGAGGACAGCCAAACAACTTTCTGTGCTAAAATGGTTATGCAAACTTCAAGTGCAACGAAGTGATTGTAGTAAAAATCAAAACCTTCCTTTCAATAATTCAACTAATATTTTTGCAGTTAAACGACTTAGAAGTTTCGGGTTTCATTTGACCAAATCGAATCACAAAATGGTAAGTACTTAATAATTATTATTATTTATTGTAATTTTGAAAAAGATTTCCGTGCCGTAATTGAGTTCAAACACGTGTAGATTGACTCGTGTTTTTGGGTAATCAATGCACGTATTTATGCGTTCCTCGATTCTGTGTTTGCTCTCACATAATTTTTGGATTAATTAAATCGCCAGCACGCTCATCCAACGAAATTGACACACACTCTTGGCAACTGCATAAATTTCGCATCAACGCATGAGCAAACCCAGGCATTCGTGTCATTGGACCTTGCCTTATAAGATGGCAAATATAAATATATATTAATTAGATATACAAATTCCTCAGCTTTCTCAAAGAATTTCAGTTTCAAACCTTCCTTTAAGAAGCTGTCAAAATATTGATATAAGTTCTCAGCTAGTTGGTTATTTTCCCTTTAAGTTATAAATTTACATGACTTTTTCAGTCACAACTCTTGTGATGTCACATTATGTTATATAGAAAACAAAACAATGTAATAAGATGTCTTCCCATAATCTCAACTGCACCGCCGAGGGCAAACCACTCTTTCTGTGCACAGAAAGTGCATTTGACAAAGGCATTGACCCAGAAGTGGGCCTGCGAATGTGGTTGTCGATTCTTATTTATTCCATACGCATTGTTCTGTGGCAAGTTTGTTTTCCGAGTCTTATTTGTTCGGTTATTTAGCTGCTGCTGAGCCGATGTCTCACCGGAAATGAAAACCGTCCGCTGGTCTGAGCGAAATCAGCGTCATTAATTGTCAAAATACGCAAGGCAAAAACAATATTTGTGCAACATCATTTAGGTAATTAACGTGTTCGATTATTTTTATAATTCTGTTTTTGGCGATTTGCCACAGACAAAGAGCCCGCAGCCAAAAGCATAATCATATTAAAATGCAATTTGTTAATTTAAATGACTTCCTTAAACGAAATGGAGAAGCTAACACTAATGTTGTCCGATCTTGGGTTTCAAATTGAAAAATAGAAAAAATATTTCCTACGATTTATCAGCCACCATTTAGCATTATAATTCAAATTATGGGTTATGCGATTGACAAATCATACAGCCCGCCTGAATTACATTCATGACTTAATGTTGATTTTATGCAGAAACCAAACAAAGCTCAAATTATACAAATTAACGGCCGTTTTCGGTTTGTTTACAAAACAATCAAATGCAACTTTGGCCACGCTCCGAAATCATTTTCAACGCTAACGGTAGCACATTGACCTGGCCAAATCCATTGTCTTGACCACTGGGCCAGCGTTGGCCCATTGTTTGGGCTGGAATTGATTTGATTCGATTCGTTTCGATTTATTTATTTTTCCCATTTTCACAACATTCCTGGCTAAAAGTTCAAGACACTTAACTGCCTGACAGGCATTAACTTTTGGGTCCGTAACCGTTGATTAGGCGTGTTGACTTGCAGTTGCGTTGAGATTTATGATTAGCGCCCGGGTTAGTTGAGCCACTAAAACAACAACCAAACTCAATAGTGAATACTGAAAATCGAGACGCATTAAGTGCCCTACTCAAAATGCAAGTTATTACGTCTCGAAGGTTTTTTCGGTCTTTACGTATTTTTCCATTTTTCCATTTTTACTTTGCGAAACTCAAACGCCCAAAATGCCAGAAATTCAATGAGCCTCTGCTATCGAGATGGAGTCAATCAACTGGCCAGCTGGAAACCAGAAATCTCCAATTCCAACAAAATGTTTTGCCCTCCAGCACACCCTGGGACATATTTATGGCGATGTCGATCTCCAGCCCACAAAATCTGGCAGCTCCTTTGGAATGTCCAGAATGAATGACTTTGCTGAAACTTTTGGGGAGATCTCCCACTGATACCTTTGTCCAAATTGGTTACACTTGGAGTCGGGCGAACTTTAACATTCTTTAGATTGATTTGAAATTACAAAAGACTACACAAGTGTTGGGAAAAATATAAATAGTGGTGACTAGAAACTTTAATTAGCTTACAGATACCAAAAATTTTTTGAAATATCCTGAAAAACAAGTTACTAAATATACAACTTCTTGAACTTCTCGAACATATGAAAAACTGTTTGGATATCTCCTTGAAAAACTTCGAGTCCAGTTCAAAGGCCGAGTTTATCTGAATATCTAATATATTGCGCAACTATCGAGATGCTGCCCCGGCTTCTGTAACCGCTTCTCGAGTCATTTATCGAGTTTATTTGCGAGCAAAGTACGAGAATTTAATTTGCCAATTTTTCGTGTTAATTAAAAGTCGGCCACGCCCCTTGCATGTTATGTCCGAGCGAGTGAAATCAGCAGAAATTCAGCATCTCAGTACGCAAAAAGGTCAAGTTTGCTGTGCTCCGTCAGTCTGTCTGGGAACAATTCCGATGGCGAACAATGCCAGTTGTGTAAATAGAATCGCAGAATCCACCTACGAGTACACATCATGATCTTCACAATAGACGCCTTTTAAATGTAGAGAAGAACAAGAAAGATCTGAAATTTCGTTAACCCCATTGAGCAGGTTCAAAATGCGCATTTGGCAGCGTAATTGAAATCAACATGATGTCTACTTATTTATTAATATTCTCTGATTACTTTTTTCTGGCCACTTTTTGTTTGCGCGACTGATTGACTCCCACGTCGGGCTTGCTTATAAATTTGGTATTCGATTTGCAAATCATTTTTTTTTTCGGCCATCGATTATTGTTTATTATTCTTTTGTTATGGATATGGACTTGACTTGGGCTGAACCCCTCTGAAATAGCATGGGAACAGTGTGGCAATTAATCAAAGTGCATAATCATACTTCTTTTCTGGCCTGGGAAAGTATGCAAATGCAGAGATTTCATTAATGAGAAGTATTTGTCTTTGCCATGAGAAACTCAATATTCAAAGGGGAGAGAAAGCTTTGCGGCTATTCTTTTGGGCCATGCCAACTTCAAAAGTGTCTATATCTAAGCGCTCTTTTGTACCACTTAAAAAATATACAAATCACTTAAACTCTTCAGTTTGTAAGGCGATACTAGACATTCTAAATTTCGAAACTCTAGAAACACTTTGAGGCTGCCCCCTCAAAGGCAATCGATAATGCGTCAGCCAAGCACCTTCACCAAATCCAAGACAAATCGCTGCCAATCACCCATCATAACTCAAGACACATCTGCCACCGAACCGACAGATCGAAGAGGCTGCTGAGCCGATCTCCCGGCACAAGGTTATGTCGAAATATCGGTTGAAATGCACACAGGAAACAATTAGCGAGCTACTATGTATGAACTTTTTTAACTAACATTTGTTAGATTAAAAAATGTTTAGGTATTTAAGGTAGTCATGGATCCTAAAACTATATACACAGGCAAACTCAATCGATTTCAAGCATTTATTTCTCGCTGTGCAGACGGCAGACTGATGAGGAAGCTTGAATCGAATATTGTTTTCGGTACTTCACCTCTATTTTGCTTTTGCACACCCAGGTACATGCCAAACACTGTGTAGCAATGCACTGAAAACCGAGTCTAATGGCAGCAAGACAAAATAACTCGAACAAATGCTCATAAGCTGGCAGAAACATAAAATGGAAACGAGTTTGCGGGTCTGTGACAAACGAGCGATGCCAAAAAATAAAACGAAACTACAGCCACGAAATAATGATTTGGCGTCAAAGAGCCATGTTCAAATTTAACGCTAGCCCCTTTTCGGGCCTTTTGGGGGTGTTGTGGGGCTGTTCCAGGGGGCTGGTGTTTGTTCTGCGATTTATCAAGGTTAGTTTGCTTAATTGATGGATGGTTAGCGGCTGCCATTGCATTGAACGAGCGACAATTCGCCGGGCCTTGAACCTCTCCTCAAGTCTGATGAAGATGGATATGTGCCTGACAGAACAAGAACTCGACTTTACTTTAAAACTAAAACTGAAACTGAATCTCATTCGGAACCTGAATCGGAGGCTAGGCCAGCGCTTTATATGCAAATAAGAGCGCGTTGTAAAAAAAAATAAGCTAATTACGTGACACGCTTCGGCTGTTCAACATCGGGCAGATGAAGTCATTCTTAAACCCTTTATTTATGATTCTCGACTTGTAGTGAAGGTCAGCAGTCGGCCACTTGGCCACTGTGCTTGGCCCCAGTTCAGTGATCTGCCGGATGCCTTCTCTCGTTCTGCACCAGAAGCCATTAAGATGTAAATTTAATGATCACCTACGGCGCGATATCTGGCATCCAGATTTATGGATGATATTTTCACGCTAACGTTGGGCAGATAACACCCACCACGTTTCGATTGATAAAGCACTAAGGCCGATCTGCATTCTGGCATTTCCAGCTTGTCGGAGATAGTTGCTTACTTACTTAAGCGGATGTTACTTGCTAGCTATGACTAAGCTTAGTTTATGCTTGGAAAATCCTCCTCGAAGAATAGCTTTTGTAAAGATCAAGCGGATAATCAAGATCTTAAATAGCAAGTAATTTAATAATGGGGTAGAAAAGGTTTCTAGCTCTCCCTTTGATTAGTTTTCTAGTAGTTATTGTTCAGATTAAGAAGAGCCTAATGCGGATGTTACTTAGTGGATATGACTATGCAAAGTTTATGCTTGGTAAACCACCTCCAAAGAACAACTTGAAAGTTGAAAAATCATTAAAATTCAGCACTTAATTATAGGCTTTTGCATAAATTTAGTTATTTTTGATTGTGTTTCTTTTTAGTTTGTTTGTTTCGTTTTACATAATTTTATGATAATCGTTTTATTTCGATCAGCTCTTTGTGATTATCGTTTTGTAATAAATTATCATCTGATTTCGCTCATCCATTTCCAATCGTGATCGCTTGATTATCTTCTCATGACCTTTTCAAAAGCTATTCCAATAAGGCCAGAGAGCATAATTGATTGTGGGATTCAATAGCAACGCCATAACTGGAGTAATCCCCTCTTGATTTCTTTCTTTGGAAGTCAGTTCATTACCTAGCACCTATCACCTTATGAGTGTGTTGATTGATCACTCTGACTGATGAATGATCTGTGTTTTTGCATCTCTCCTTTGCTTTCCACAATGAGATTTCGGTAATTGTGAATAGATGTTGATATCATTGACTTACTTTTAGCACCCACTCCTGGCACGATTTCACAGTTAAGGGAAAACCATTCATCATTATCGCCTTGGGGCTTTCGCCTTTTGCCCGCATTGCAAAAAGTGCAATTCACAAATTGTAACTAGCCGATGTATATGGCCCATATTCATAATTAAACTGCAGTTTTTCTGCCCGCACGAACCACAAAAATACTCGAAAAAAAAAAGCAGACATGGCATATCTAACTACTTATGAGGGGTACCCCCATAAGCCAATATAAATTATTTCAATTAAGGCGTTTAAAAAATGATTATGGCACACTTATTATCGAATTACAATTCGAACGAGCCGAATGCAGGCGTTAAACTTTGTTTCGCCTTTTCGATAATGTTGTGTAATAAAGGAGATTTACAATAACTATAAGAGACTATAAGATCTCGGGCGATTTATCCAGTCGGCACACCACCAGACCACCACTTCAGCAGGCCAAAATCAGCTAACCATAATCCACACTAAGCCACAGTCAGCTGGCTAAGGAGGCTTTTCTTTTATTTTAGCCACATTAAATTAAATCTAAGCTTGACCCAAAAAAACACAAGCACGAGCTGGTTGTTTTGCTTTTTTCAGTTTCAGTTTTTTGGCTGCACAAAATTTCGCAAACATATTTTGTCTAAGCACTTAATTTGAGATTGGAACAAAGCATAACTGCAGCTTAGTCAGCTTGATAATAAATGATTATTTTCGGTCTAAACTGCGTTAATCAAAGTTAATGATAATGCGGTGTAATGCCGACCGTGTGGTGCGGCGTTTACTTAGTCTTTATTGATTGTTTTTAATTAGTGAGCAGAATTTCGGTACGCCCGCGGCGGGCTGCTGCTCATTACCATTACGGTTACGATTACCATTACCAGATCGCGATCAAGATCGTTTTGGTCGCTGAGGAGTGCCTGGTATTCGGAATTACGACCCAAAGGAGAGTCCCCATTACGTAGGTTCGTTCAACCGTTCAACTTCGCAGTTCTGAAGCCATTAAGTGGCCAAGAATAAACAACGAGAAAAGCAAAACCAAAATCCCAGGTCTCGCAGCTCTCCATCTGCGATCTAGTCAAGTTCAGGGTCAACACTATTTTGTCTGTCGGAAGTGACACAGCCAGCAGGGCGACCATTGTTACACAAATCCGAGTTTATGGCTTCTCATGCCGCCTAATAACAGGTCTTGTCAAACTGGAGCCATTAAAAGGTTTTCAAAACGGAGCAAAACGTGTTGAGATCTCGCTGAATTCGAATAGTTGTCCGCGCCGCTTTGATTTCTGTCTCGAACTTATGCTTTTGAATACCACTTTGGACTACACACCGAAAAAAATGATCAAAATACGACGTAAATGTCGCGAGCCATGGCTTTTATGAAGATTAATAGTCTTTTAATCAGGGGTATCCCATGGGTTAGGCGCCTATTATTATGTCCTAAACTTGTACTTAACCATAGATCAAGTTTAATATCAAACATCTTCACTTTTTTAATGAGTTCAAACATTTAAGTTCCATCAATTAAAAGTCACCATTAAATAGTCAGCAATCTTTGCTTATATAAGCAGCGTGGCTGTCATCTGTTTTCTGGACTCGTTTCGGCTTCACCTTATTTTTATGACAACCTCCGCCATGGATTTAGGATAGGATAGCCGTCACTCACTCACTCACTTGGCATGTACTAGGCATCGATCGTTAATGCCGGCCTTGATTTTAGCGTGTTTTTATGATTGCACAAAAGCGATGACGGAGTCGATCGCCCGAACAGGTATTGCTGCAACCGCCGGCTCTATGCCAATATGCATTGTGCATAGCAAATAAATGCTTGTCAATGCAAAATTGTCAATCAATTAGCCAAAATGGGGGATAGCCGAGCCCGCTGACAGTTTAACCGCTGCCTCTTCGGGGCAAGTGTCGTACATAATTGCTGGTATTAGCCACCTCACGATCCCACATTGGGGTTATGCTGTTGTCAAACATTTAATTTATGGACCAATGAAATCGAAGAGAATTGCTCAATACGATTGTGTCAAATACTGATGACGTGGATAGTAAAATATTAAAACATTATCTTAATTTCTGTAAAAGAGTTTCTAATTTTTCAGTGCACCATTTCATAGAATTAGCCAATCAATTGTATTGTCAATCATGAGAAAAATGGCAAGCGAAATAGATCGATTTGTAGTCGCCGAAAAAAAGAATCCCAGCCCCTCGAATTGGCCAATTGAAATAAACCGCAAGTTGTCCTAAGTCTGGCCAACAGATGGTATCCATACATCAGCGTTATCGATACCTTTTTTGGCATTTACTGTGCTGACAAATTTGTAGCCAGATGCCTATCCTCCCAGCCGGGCCATAACTCTATGCCGTGACGTAACTAATGGCCATATTAAGCCGCAAAGGTTTAGCCGCATATTACTATATATTTATTGCTGGCCGATTGGGTGCGTTTTGCGGTGGTCTTAGCCACTAAGCCACACACTTCCTCGAGGCTCATTAGTTAAGCAAACACTCGACACAACGGGCAATCAGTGCGAATATCGGGAGGAAAACAGAACCAGCCATAAATAATGCCACATTCTGCTGTGTTAGCCATTGTAATCGATTTGAGAATCGCATTAAAAGTGTCAATCGACAGGGATTGTATAAAAACTTGAACCGAATGTAATTAATCAACAATAAATCTTTTATTTGCGCGGGTAATTCAATTAACCCAACAAACAGTCGTCATAAATATTTATGGGCCATTGCGATTCATAGGCCAAACATCTGAGCAAAGTGCAAGGCAGTAAACGAACAATAAAATAAATAATTTCTTTGAATATTTAAGCTCTTTTTTACTCACAAAAAAAGCACAAAAACTCAAGCAGCTGCAGCCATTTAACACTTGACATTGTTTTATTAACAAGAGATGTGGTGTTTCTGTTTTGTACGTAATTATTGTTATTACATTCGAGTTATACACACTCAAATCGAGTTCAAGTGCGATGTGTTTGTTCGCCTGAAACTGAAGCTGAAATCGAAATTGCAATTGATTTTGCTGTGTCTGTGTCCAATTTGCCAGGCGACTAAATAAAGCGATTTTAATTGATCATCGAGTCGAGGTTGCGTGGATGATAAGGCGAAGCGGGTTTTATGACATTTGTTTTTGAATCTCGTATATCGTATCGCCTAATCTCGATCTCGAATCGGGGGCGGTCGATATCAGCCTTTAGAATCGTGTAACAATTTGCCAAACACAGCACAATGCAAAGCACTTTCTTGCGAGGATTCACTCTCATCCGAAACTCGTTTTCCAGCTCACTCCTTGCCTGCTGCTAGTCGCCACAGTCGCCAGTTTCAGCCTCCAGGCACAGGCCATCCGGGTGGACTGGGGCACCAACACAGGACCGATACAACCACCTCCGCCGCGCACCACACCGCAACCGCCGAGGAAGCCATACCGGGATCCAGCGCCCGTCTGGGAGGACCAGACCAATGACATACCCAACCCCAATCCCTATGTGTAAGTGCAAACGGGTTTCGATGTTCGACAACCAGAAAAACTAGCTTCAAGGGTCAGGCTATTTATATAAATAATTTTTACGAAATAAATTGAAAATCTGGTATTTGCTAGTTTTCGTTTTCAGCTGTAGATGTACAGAAAATATTGATTTGCCTTTGCCAATTTTCCTGATTCGAATTGCATTCGACTTTGTTTTACTAATTTAAACCAACTTTATATATCCCCCGACAGCTACGTCCTGCCACCTCCATCGCGACCAAGGACCTGGGCGATTCCCGCCGGACCCTATGCCCCGCCCAACTACAACAACCAGCCACCTAAGGGCAACAACTACGGCCAGCTGGTCTCCAGTTCTTACAGCGGCGGAGTGACCTCCGTTCCCGGACTGGCTGCCCAGTATGTGCCCGGAGTGGGCATCAAGTATACGGCGATCGCGATGCCCGACAAGCTGCAGGGCAAATACAACGCAAAGACCAAGAAGTACAAGGCCTACGAGAAGGCCAAGTACGCGTACCCCTGGAACTATGTAAGGCAATACGAGAGTCGCAAGCGTTATCTGCGCTACTGAACCGCCGATACCTGATATGCATTTAGAACTACCTATATATAAATTGTAAAAGAGATTAAAGCCAGACCTCAGACACTACCCCCGCTTTTGACACTGTAGATTGCAAATGCCTTTCAGCCAGATCAAAAGAAACCCCGCATCGCAAACATTCCGCTCACTCTTCCTTTCACAATCATCTTGCTCCAACCACAACCACATCCACATTCACATCCATGTCCATGTCATAATCGCATGCATCATCTCGTTGCAGTTGCAGCAGTTGCCGGTGGAGGAGAAGGCCTTGGAATGGCAGGCGGAGCTCGAGAAGCGGTTGGACGAGGAACAGGCTCAGTCTCAGGCTCTCAGTTCCTCCACGACAAGCACCACTTCCAGCACCTCAACAACCAGCATCACCACGACAACACCAGTACCACCTCCACCTCCACCTCCATCCGCGGACAGCACCACCACTGCCACAACATCGTCGACAACATCTACGAGCACGCAGCAGCCCACAACAATTGCCAATTACAAGCTGGCGCACGAGAAGAGCGCCCATCTGAAGAAACACAGCAAGCAGAAGAAGCTCTTCCAGCTGCGCATGGAGCAGGAGAAGATGGCTATGAAGAACCTGCAGCAGGAGCAAAACTCGTTGTTGCAGACCAGTTGAGCGGGGGGGCGCGACAGCCGCCAGCAAAACAAGAAAACATTAAAGCGAACATTAACTTTAAGACTTGCCCACAATGTTGTAAATAACTATTAATAAAATTAAACATCCCATAATAAAACCTAATCGAAATTAAGGAACTTGGCCAACGAACTTCAGATGGGCATGTGTGGTAAACATGGTAGTTGTAATTAAGGAACAGATTTACGCAGAAAAACAAAAGACTTAGGCAACGAACTTTAAATGGGCATGTGTGGCAGCTATAAAGAAGCCTAAAAAGTAATTACTGGTCGGGGTAAAAGAACAATAGAGGCTGATATAATCGAAAAAGGGTCATAACATGGACTTGAGATGGGCATCATAAAACATAATTGTATTGAATTTTTAACTAAATTGGCAATTGGCAAATCACTTAAAAATGAATAAAAAAACAGGTAAGGTTGAAGAATTTCTAAAGTAAGTAAATATACATCTCTTAAGAAACATATATTAACTCCTTCCTCATAAATGCTATCTATTTCAACTATATCTTATCGCGAAAATCAAAAGACTTAGGCAACGAACTTGAACAAACTAGTTACTTAACGCAAACAAACCTAATTAGATAACAATAACCGAGATAAACGAAAGTCTTAGGTGACGAACTCAACTAATACATAAAAGACAACTCTCAGAGATACGAAAACGAAAAATAAATATAAGTAATAAGGGAAACTAAGCTTGTCTGAGGAAGATGGCGCCTAAATTAGCTTTTAATTGCTCGCGAGGGTCAACAAAAGGGCAAGCCAGACAAGGTGAGCTGTCAAACGGAATAACGGACCCACCGCTGATTGGCACTTTCCTGAACGACTTTTTATAGCCGCAGGCTCACAAAACTGGGCACAAAAAGCTGGGCCAACCAAACATACGGCAATTAGCCGGCGCAATTAGCGGTGTCGTTGAACGGCGGCGGCTTCTGGGCCATCATTTAAGCTGATCACAGAGCGGCGTGCGCAGACCCTGACCACGAGACGTCAGCGGCAGCAATGGAAACAATATAATTAGCACGAAATGCTAACAAAAACACAATCATTCTTTTTCTGCAGTCCAAAAATATTTGATTTATGCCCGGCTCCTTTGGCATCGTTGGGTGTCGTTAACCAAATTTCAGTTTGTCAACGGGTTTAGTAGCGCAAAAATACGTCAACAGCATTCGGAGGGGCTTAATTTATTATCATTAAGCTTAAAATTCATATTCGGCTTGGGAAGTGAGCTAATATCAGCAGTAGCTGACGGCTTGAACGAAAAGCTAAGTGTTTGACTTAATGCCAACCAATTACTCAGGCTAAAAGGCATGGCCACAAGATTGGTTTAAAAATAATAGGATGCTAAGGGTAGCCATAAATTTGTTTTCACAAAAGCAGCTCAAAGATAGCAATCAAATCTAGTTGCGCCTTTTTTTGTTTGCCAAAACAAAAACCAAATAATTTTATTCATTCATTCCCATTAGCTTGAATTATAGCCCCAAAATATTTACATTTTAAGTTTAATAAAATTGTCCGTTTACATTTTATGGGCCCCTCCCGAAATCAATTTAAATTTCAAATTAGAATTCGCCATTTAACAAGTCAGCGAAGTCATTGAAAGACAATTAAACATTTTGCAATTTACGGTTGCGTAAAACAAGACAAATAATTCGCTTGTCGCTGGCTGTTTGTTGTTTTTACGGGCCGGTTTCACGCCGCTGGAAGTCTTAAATCACAAATGCCACAGGCTCGGCCAGGGCCAGAGCCCGGATCGGTTGCCTGCTCCGGAATTCCAACGCCTGATGCACCCGACTGTTCCCGGTTCGCTGCTCAACGACGGCCTTGAATCCCTGGTTAGGTCCCCGCACCTCGTAGTGCACACTCCGTATATGTCCATTGGGTTCCAGGTGGGCGTACGATCCAGAGACGTGGTCTCCATGCCGCTGCTCTCGGTGCAGGATGTGCACCTGACTGCCCAGATCAGAAATATGATACTGATGTGAGTAGTGGAGCTAAGATGAGATATGAAAGTTATGTATGAAAAATATTTCTAATTTGTTTTCTTTTTGTAACAAAAAACGATATTTGTTCGACTGAACAATAATATTTGGATTATCAATTAGTACATTTAACAGGTCTGATGAGGTGATTGATATTGTAACAGCAAATAAACATTTTGAAATCAATAACAAAACAACTTAACAGCTGCATTACATGGCTAAAATACGAGTTTGAGTTGAGTTTTTGAAATGTAAAAATGATTTAGTCTTACTACTCAAACTATGAAATGCCTTAGAGATGGATTTTAAAAGGACAGTAGGAAGTTAAATAGAAAAACAAAAAATCTAATCAAATATATTTGTTACTTTGTACTTGCTTTAAAAATTTAGATAGCTGTAGTAGTAGTTAAGAGGAACAAAGTGAACCCATGTTTTCGAGAACTATAAAACCAAGGCATTAAGTTCTCCATTCGTGTTTTTGTTACATTTACCTTTCAATGCATTGAACCAGATATTGGACTCACCCGTTCCTCGTCATGATTTTGGCCGTAATCGTTGTAAAACTCGATATGCTCGACCGGACCACGCTGCGTATGCGCAATCTGCAGCAGCCAGAGGATCACGAAGCCGACCGACAGTCCATATGCCATGCTGACCGGACACGTGGGCATGAGCTGCTGCCGAAATTAATTTGATTAGAAACATAACGAAACGGTCGAGAAGAGTGGGAGCCCAATGCTGACCGGAGATTGGCCCCCGGAGGAGTGGCCGGGGTGAAAATCATTTGCACTTTGCGGTTACGGCAGCAGTTGAAAGCTCCGAGCAGCCACTTCCTAGCGGCTGCAGCGATGCTGATTACATAGTCACGTTGTTAACTACATCTTCACGGTGCACAGCAGCCCAAAAAAAAAAAGCTGATGTGGATTGGATGGTGGACGGGTGGACTGGAGGAGCGGTGGACCAGCAGGCTGCTGCATGCCACAAGTTGGGCAATCAAGGCGAATCAAAGACCAGCATCTTTCACACTTCGTTAGGGGCCAGAGACTTAGTCAAGGCAATTTAGTGTCAAAAAGCGAGCAGTCGATAAAGACAAAGGCCCCGAACCCCCGGCAATATGCACATTATGGATCTTTGCGATCTTTGACGGTTGGCTAACATGCCCTAACGTGACTGCCCGACTGGAGTGGATTGGGCTGACCCAGAGCAGGCACCTGGACCCTTTTTTATTTGCCGATCCATGGGCTCGGCTTTGTCTTCGAGGAGATTGCCGTTTATGAGCCGCGAGTGGCAAACTTTCTTTCTCTTGCATCATGATGGTTAACTGATTTTTTTCCTTCTTTTTTTTTTTTGGCTATTTCGAGGCACGTTTCCCTGGCAATGCAAAGATTTGAACAGCAGGTGACGCCATCGCCATCACCGCTGTCCAGTTTTGTTCCAGGTCTTCCCACTCGGATGCTCAACAGTTCATAAAAACCAATGCCCTTTTGATTGGTTACAGCTGTAATTGCCCAGGGGGACTTTGTGAAAGGCTGCAATGGCCGACAACCACCGACAGAAAATCATACTAAGAAGTCTAAGATGAAGAATGAGTTTCTGTGCAGATTTTTCTAGGGTTTCTGTGGGAAATTAAGGCTGAATTCGAATAAAATTAAACTTAAAATATTAGATAAACTGTTTGTTGCATTCTCTAAAAAGCAAAATTATATGAATATCAATACTAAAATTCATGCTAACTAAATAATTTATCATTTCATCGTAGCTAGTGAATCCCCTAAGCTTAAAAATACCTTTTTTCTGCATTGCTTTTTTATTTAATTATTATTAATGAAGTAACGCATTCGAAACTGGTATTTGGCCACCTCAAACGACATTTATAAAGACATTTATCAAAGTGGCCACCATGTAAAACTAGTTAGCTTGTGGTTTTTGTGACCTACAAATTACCACTTTACTAAATACCCAAAATGAAGCTCTAAGACTAATCCTTCTTTAAGCTAATTTTGTTTTTCGGTGCAGCACCTGATTCTCCGCTGGTAATAGAGAAATTGTCTAATTAGACTCCGACTCCAACTTTCGATTGGCCATGGGCTGAGCTACGCATACGCCCCGTTGGTTGCGCAATCGCAGCTAACTAGATTAATCTGGGCGGATGGTGGGATGCTGGATACCTCTGGGCCACGAATCTTGGCGCCCAAACTGGGCCCGTCCAAACTGTCGTTAATTGCGGGGTCGGCTGGGTGGCTGACTTCCATAATTCACAGAATCGAACCGATAATCTACGGTGGGTCAGGGCACGTTTTTGGCCCATCTCCGACTTGGAAATGCCAAATGCACTGGGGAAAACTGCAGATTTTAAGGCAACAAACTAAGAAAAAACAGGCTGGACCAGGACAACTTGTTTCGTTTGACTTGCTAATTGCACTGTAATAAAATGAAATGAAATGGCGAAAGAGAAAAATCGGACGACAAAGCATTTTCAATTTCATTTTCATTTCTTTTGCTGGAAAGCCTGGACACACGCGCTCCATTAGGCCCGACAAACATGCGGCGAATGTTTATTCATAACTGGACCGAATCGACTTGGGGTACGGTTGGTCCAGGCCAGGCCAGGCCAGGCCTGGTCCATTTCCAGATGGTGGCACATCTACGGATCCAAATCCAGATCCAGAGACAGCCGCACTCGGTCAGTCAGTCGGTTTGTCAGTCGGTCGGTCGGAAGCCAGGCAAGCTGATGCGAAAAATAAAAACACTTACATTTTCTATTGATTTGTGGCCAGATTTCTTGTTTTCCTTGCTTTGTTTACATAATGAACTGCCACCGAGTGTTGGCCGCCCGACCCCCTGGACTCCCTGGCCGCAGTCATCCATACCCCCACTCTTGACCATTTCCAGCTCCAACTTTAGTTATGCGGGTGCCAGTCGCACATAACATTGCTCAATACCCTCCGCCGACACTCGAGATCGGGGGCTATATCTCTATCCCCATCCCCGCCCGCTTCAGCTTCGATTTTGTCGTGCCCAGATATATAACCTTAGTCAATGCTATTTGTTGCTATCTTTATAGCAATCGCCGGGGGCTGCCACACTCGCAGCATCATAGCCAATGTCGCCGCCAATGCTGCGCTGAGCTGCCGTGCTGCCGTTAGGTTTTAAATAGTGGAAGTTACTGCGAACTTCGCTTAATTGCCATGGGGGAAAATATGAAATGCCAGCAGAGGCTGGGGAAATGGGCGTAAAAGATGACAGAGAAAGCAGTTGAATTCGCCAATTGGCAAAAACGTCAAATTCGTTGATACATTTAGAAAGGGACCCAATGAAAATGATCAACTTTTGAGTAACAGAAGTGAAATTGCAATTAAATGTTAAAATTATCTACTCGTAGGTTATTATATATAATTAATGTCATTATTAAGTTTTGGGACTAAGATAGTTGTAGAAGTTTAAAGGTATATATTTTATATATATATCCATTTGGTGTCCAGTTTAGAGTAACAATTAGATTTTTATAAACACATCAAGTTGAACCTAAAATGGCTAACCACGTTTAATCACTAGTTTAAGTTCCCTATAACCCTGCTTAAATAGTTAGCGGGTTGAATAAACTTTAATAGACCTGCTTGGTTTATCTCGTTTCCGTTTAGGAGATGAATTAAACCCAACATTCTACGACAAGTACGGTCATAATCTGGCTTTTCATCTTCCGCATCCCATGTTGTTGGCCACATTCAGCGACCTGGTTCACTCACTTCCCCTTCTACGAGATCTCGATCGTCACGGGGATTACATAATGTCATGGGTACCGAAGAAGACCGCTTTCAAGGCCGCACTCGTGACCACACTTGGCTGAGCCTTTCTTCCCGTTCCCGTTCCGATTCCCGTTCCCAATCCCAAGTTGCAAAAAATACCGGCCTTTTATGGCCTTTCCTGGCCAAGAGTCGTGTTGCTGCACTTCCCAATTAAAATGCACGGCTGGGATAGGACAGCTCAAAAGCGGACCGAAAAGCACTCTGATGCGATACGAATCAAAGCGAACAACCGAGCAGCGGCTGCCGACCAAATGGGAACCCGTTTAAAATGCACCGAATTTACATAATGTGCTCCAAATGGGCAGCGGGCAAATATAAATCTCGAGTCACAAAAAATAATCGAAAAACCAGAGCCGCGAGCAATGGCAATGACAATTGCATGTGACAATTGCGGAAAAAGGCCAAAGTTGCCAAAAAACAGAAACAGAAATTTTTGGACGTTGGCAAAGTTAAGTTCATGGAAATCCGAAAGAGCATATGAAAGTATCAGTTTTCCTGGGCATTCGAAGGGGAAGTTAGTATTTGTTACTTCAACTTAAAATTGAGCTGAGCCTGAAAAGCGAATCTAAAAAGTGATATTGATGTCTGGCAATTTATGTTATTGAACTTTGCTTTATGCAAATTGAAAAACCCTGAGTAATTGTAACAGATTTCTGGGCTTGTTTTAATAAGATTTTTCATCATTTTTGAATGTTTGAGAAATGAAAGTCCCGAAATTAAGGAGGTCCCCCACCACCTAAAAAAATCAAATCAAACGACTTCCTTCCACAGAGAGCCACTTACTTTTATGTTGCAAGTTGCTGGTTGCCTGTTGCTAGTTGCTAGCTGCTAGTTGCTAGTTGCAACTTGCCAGTTGCTATGTGTGGGCCGTAATATCAATGGCAAACACTTGAAAACTGAACCACTTTGCTGGGCTGCCACGCTTGCTCTGAAGTGCTTGGAGTGAAGTGCTCTTGGGTTTATTTACGACAGCCGGCAGATGAGATGTGTCTGGGATTTTAGATTGTCAACGCGGCTGCTCGGATTCTCCTGCGCACGAAAATCGTGGTGTCGCTGCTCTGGTGCCCCATAATTATGTGCCCCTCCGTGTGTGCATAAATAAATCTATATCTATATCTATATATCTCCGACCGACTATTAGATCATTCTCTTTTGCAATTCTTCCCCGTCTTCTTCTTCAGCCTCTGTGATTTAATTAACTTTTCGCGTACAGAAATTGCGAGCAGTTCCCTGAATCGGATTCAATAATCACCGGCAGCCAACAAAAGGGCATGATGCCGCACTTTGTGCATACCCGGCTCCACCACAACAACAACAACAGCAGCAACAACACACAAAAACGAGCTTGTAACCGCAAATTAGTTTCAAACATCACACAAAACACAAAAACAGGCTTCAAAACTGCATCAGCGATCGGCAGCCTTGCAAAATCCGAAAATCCACTGCAATAATAACCATAGCCCCCTCTATATCCCCTTCTATATCCCAGACCCAATCGACAAACGATGTTCGCCTTCATTCTGTATTATTACTCGGGGCTGCTGCTTATTTTTCGGTTTTGCGAGCCGAGCTCAGATTTTTCAGTGCTGATAGTAAAAGTGACGCATCAAATGGAGCTGCATGGGCTTGGATGTAATTAGAGGGAACGAGGGGTATATCCGATTCAGAGATCCTTACTTGCATTAACATGAGATCTAATCCAATTCGATCAGTTTCTAGTTACTCAAATCTGGTTGAAAAAGTTAAGGAAAATAAATCAAATACTTATGATCTTATAATCTGTTAGATTACTGCACGTAAAAGCTTCCTTTATAATTTAATAGCTGGCAAATATCGCACTAAATAATAATTGCAAGGCAGTTAAAAAAATAATATATTAATATGGGTAATATTTTTTAATAAATAACAACAAAATCAATAACATTTTGCATGGCTGTTATATAAGTTTTACTCAAAGTTATCAAATGGCGGTTATAAAAATACTTGTTTTTAATGATGATGCGAGTCTCTTGGGCTATAAAAGTGAATCACCAATCTACACTCTTACTTCTTTTTGGCGACTTTAAGCCTTTGATTCCAGTATTTCCCCAATGAGTACTGGCTAGTGTACCCCTTAAGCCAAATGTTCTGATCTGCTGTGCTATGAGTCAATGACACAAACACTGGCATACACATGTTTATAACTCATTTTGCAATATTGTTTGAAAAGCACACTAAAAACGTGTCCCAGCGACAACAATCACTTTGAAAGGGTCGTGTGGTTTTGCATCTTTACGGCCGACCTGGTCGCATGGGCATCAATAGAATCCTAAAAAAGTAGTTTTGCCACTATATCTCGCTGCTTTGTGTTTTGTAATGTTTGAATGCTAAATTTGGTAACTCCTCAGCAAGCAGCCACTAACTAAACAGCCTCTAACGTCAATAATAGAAACCAAAGATCTCTCGGTTTAGCCGGTTTGGGATGCTCAGAGTTTGGCTAGCTTTTATGACTTAATTTTGCGCAGCCTCACAGCAAAAAAAAATACATAGCTTATTGAAAACATTATTTGCGGTCGGCCAAACGGGGTACAAGAGGGTTTTGCAAAAAATAGATTTATTTGTGGTTGCACAAATCGATTCCAATGAACGAAGTCTGATCGACGGCTATCAACTGGGAGTTGGGCACGTGGTTGGGCTCAATTAATAAGTTGGTTTGTTTTGCCACTAGACGGAAGTAATCATGGTCGATTATTTTAAATTGACTGTTAATGAAATGCAATTGGACTTTGCCCGAATGATTTATTACATTCGATAGAAGACTAAAATTGGAAACTAGGTTTATGTTTTCTTCAACTCCTTCCTTATTTTTATTAAGTCTTTGTTTTCGGCATAGAAAGAACAAGATTTTATCTCTTTTCATTACAGAATTCTCTCTCTGAAATCTTTAAGTTTTGCTTTGAACTGCTTGCCACCCAGCTGAAACATTTCTTAGCCACGAAAAATGAGGCTTAAATTATTGGCTTGGCATTTAACATGACAGCCACATTAAATTGTCCACTTTGGCAACCTGTGAGCCGGGCACATATGTACCATACATACACATCAGTATATATACCAGTAGTACCCCGATATATATGGCCATATGTTATATACATATATATCCAGATAGGCTGCTGCTGGCGTTAGCTATAATTGAGGTTTGACGTCTCGGGCCGGGTTGGGTTCAGACTTTTGCTCCGGGCCCCCAGACCTCTTGAGGAAATCCAGGCGACGACGGCTTATCCGGGGCAAAAAAACAATTTTTATTTAACAGCTTCAGTTTTGGTTTGTTAATTGTCACTTTCATTGGAGTCCGCACAATCCCAGCAATTTTAATTCAATCCTAATGCGCCCAAATGATTTGGGATTGGGCAAGCCCGACCGAACGCTGGACTCTGATGCAATCACACTGGAACAAATTATTGTAATACTTTGTCTGCCAAATGCAGCACATAACTCAACTAAGATCTCTCATTTATTGAGCCGGCTAATCTGCGTTTTATGCAAAACAACTCGGTCCGAGAAATGTTTGCCTGAGACCAGTTCTTGGCCCGTAACCTTGGGCCACAAACACGACGCTAAGAAGACGCTTCCAGCTCCAGCTAGTGTATATATCAACATCCGCTGTGTAATTGCTCAGCGTCAGCAAGAAACATTGCGTGGTGCTAGGCAGCTGTCCAGTGGTGCAGTGATCGTTGGCTCAGTGGCTCATTGGATCAGTGCTGCTGGGCAATTACAAGTCCCAAGAACCATTAACAGTTATTAAGATCGAATCCAAATTCAATTTATTTGTTAATTAAACGATTGGCTAATTCTATGTTGTCTCGTGTACGCAGATTAGCAGCCATCAAGATTACAGCTTAGATATGCAGTTAGCCGACTTTGGCACCCCGGTCTTATGAGTGATATTTCGCTGAAATATTAAGTATACGTTGCGGTGTTACAATGTCTGTTCATTGCTGACTAATAGAAACACAAATAAAAAGTGGCATAAAAATGCATTTCCAAGTCATTTATGACTTGATTAAATAACATTTTGCTAAGCAGGCAAAAGTTGGTTAACATTTCTGACTTAGAATAACCTATCCCGTAAAGTATGCAAGGTAAACCGACTCCTAAGTTAAGCCAACTTTGCAACCCGTAGTTTGGAAAAGTTATCCAAGTCTAGCTTTCGTTTTCAGCTTAAAGCTTTTTTATCTCATTCAGCCTTTATCTTATAGCCACTTTGACCATTTGGCGGGTCAGCCGAAGCCACCGGAAGAAAAGTTTGAGACCCCCAATTAAGTCAGCGAAATGGGCCATCTAAACAAACAATGAAAATAAAAGCAAAAAAGAGGCTTATGTAAGTTAGAGTTTCAGATTTGTAGACCGTGAAAATGTCTTGGTTTTTGCTTAAGGAAAACGCCAACGGAAACGACAGCTTTGAATATTGAACGGCAATATTTCTGCCTTAATGAAATGCAAAGCTTTCGTAGCGTTCAATTGGCCATGAGACACATCGATTAAGGCTTTCCCAAATGGGTAGTGCAAATTGAATTAATGGTTAAGTTGGTAAGTGTAAATTGTAACGCCAACATGGAAAGCGGAATCTGAGATCTGCATCTTAATTATCTAAAGCAATCTGCTCATTATAAATTATTGAGTTGAATTTTAAATAGCTAGAAGAATGCATTAAGTAGAGTAACTTTTTGCCTTTTAAGTCTCAGAGAGAACTTAATCTAACTAAAAGCATTTTTCGTTCTTAACTTTTACCGTAACATCCTCTAATGATCAGAAATAAAGAGCAAGTATGAATCATGAAAAATAAAACATAAATTTTTGTATTTCCACTTAAACAGTTTTTTCGAATCTTTATTTTACAAATTTGTTGCATAACTTAAGTAAGATTAACCTTGATGTGTCCCCTTGTTTTCGATCGCGTAGCGTAGATCTCAAAGTTCCTTTGCAAGCTACACTGAGAGAATCCGATGAATTTCCGGGTGGAGTACAACTAAGTGGGCTTAAACATCTACGAAATCAATCCGCTGGGAGCTCCTAGTAGTGGCCCGCATAGGGACTCGCGTAGTGGCCGTAGTGATCGCTGTTGTACTGGTCGTACTGGGGAATGTACTCGTACTGCTGGCCCTGGTTGTAGTAGCCATCATCGTAGTCGTAGTGTATGGGGGCAGCTGCCGCCGGAGCATAGTGCTTGGCCACTTGAAGATCGAACAAATATAGAAACTTTAGCTTTTCTGCAGGGGGAGCGACTTAAATTTATTTCGCTCGTCGGGGCTGTTGTAATAATGACCGACAAAAAACTAAACTGCGGTAACAGCTGTTAACCGTTTGCCATTGTTGGTAAGTAGCTCAACTGGCAAACAAAAATAAATAAACTAGCAATTCAATGCTGACCAAGGCATTTTCTTTGGCCATTTCTCTGCCCCTTGCAAATAATTTATTTGTGCACGAATTTGTCAGTCAATTGGTCACAGGTGGTGTTTAGTTTTGCTTTGTTTTTCAGTTTTTTGGCTGCATTTTTAGTTTTATTTTCGTTGCCGTTTTGTATGCAAACAAGTTCGTTGCCTAAGTCTTTTGTTTTGGCCGCTGATTTCTTTCGCCGTGCGTTTTGCTGATAATTCTCAATTAAAATTGCACCGCAGCACCCACAACAATTATGAGTTTTCACATGAGTATCCAACCATGTATTCATTTCCCAGGCCCAAAGCGTTGCGACATTGAGAAAATTATGCTAAAGTCTTTGAAAGTGTGAGGCTAGGGGCGCAGGTAGCAGGGAGAAGGGAAATGGCCCAAGAAGACGCGGCAATTTTCGTGAAAAATATGCTGCGGTAGCTGTTTTTGTTTTGTCTTCTTGAAGATGATGCACCTGACATAATCTGTGTGGGAAATTCGAACCCGAAAGTGCATAGACAAAGCTAGATCTTTGGCTCCGATCGGAGCGAAGTGAGGTAACCCACTAAAGAGGCGTGTCGGCGGATTAGTCAACCATATGATGTTACACATTACCAACCCAGTTACTAGCCATGATTCAGCTTAGCTGCTTGACTGGCCACAGATGTGAGACTAATTGCAATTTATTGAATGAAATTGCCAGTGCAACCAGTGAACCAGTAACACCCAAGCTAGAAATGATGAGATTACAATGATATTATGGTAAGTTATTCAGACAGTTCAGAACATTCAGTAGGCTGCATAGTAATCAGCGTCAAAACCAAGATCATCATCATCACCGTTGTCGTCTTCGTCTGGGCGCAATTTGCGATACTGATTGTTCAGATAGTTGGCATGCCGCCTGAACAGCTTTAGCATGCGATATGTGTTCATGCCTGAAAGAGCGAGCAGAGAACACGTGGAGATGGGTGGGCGGGACCACAAGAAGGGGTACTACGCAGGAGTGGGGGTGAGAAGAGGTGCCACCAGAGGTGAAGGCCAACTATAAAGGTGCTGCTAAACCCATCTCTATAACTTAAGTTCCCCATATCCTCTTAAACCAATCTGTATCCTTCCAAAAAGTTCTTAACTTACCATATGGGGCCGGGGAGGCCACCACCAGTGGGGCATGATGGGCCACTGGAGCCACATGCTTCACCACCTGAGGTTCATAGTGAGCCAAAATGGGCTTGTGGGCCACAATGGGATTGGCCACTACTGCCTGGGCATGAACAGTGGGTCCTGACTTGGTCACCACAGCGTTGAAGCCGTGAATGGAGTCCGCCGTGTAGTCCACAGTGCGGATGGAACCATCGGGCTCTACCAGAGAGTATTGTCCTGAAGAAGAGCATGTAAAAATAGAAGGTTTTGGTTAAGTTTTCGTTTTCTTACCTTTGACCACGTCGCCATCTCGAGTTTCGTGTTGTGATTTCACATCCCCAGTGCTGTGATCAGCCACTCCATAGTTAAAGGCGTATTTGGGATGGTCCTGTTTATAAAGAAAAGTATTTAAATTACGAAATTTAAGAATTTACAATCACCTAGTTTTCTAGAACTGAACTATTAATTTGTAAGCCACAACAAAAAGGATTTTGATATTATGATTTAGTTTAATTCTGTTTGGATTAACTTTTACTTTTTTTAAAGCAGATGGTTTAATTTTCATAGCACTGTCCTTGACCATTTTATAGTCTTAACTATTAGTTACTCCTCACTCGCAATCCACTCTAAAACTCACATAGTAATCCAGGGCATATCCCGGCCGCGCCACAGCAACACTGGCGAACAGCGCCAACGAAAGGATAACGAAGCACACGAAGTTTGCCATTTTATGTTTTTGGGTTATACTTTTTGGTTCAAATGAGTTTGAATCGTAGAAAATATTTGCTGGAAATAAACACAAAAGTCGTATCCGTTAGAAAACACTGCACTGAATTAGGAACCGTTTTTGAAACTTATTTTTTATGAATTTACTTGGAGTATTTCAACGGCACCAGATACAAACACCGCCAAGCTGCCCGGAATACTGTGGCGATTCTAAAAGCAAGTTTCCATTAAATAAGCGCGAAATGTGCGAAAGCCGCGGGCAGCGCAGTCGTCGTTGGCTGCGAAGTCTGCTGAGAGCAGCCACAATGCCAAGACTCTTGGTTTCTCAGTCAGTCGGCTGTGGCGAATGGTGATCCAGTCTGCTGAGCCACTCTCCTCCTGCTACGGCAGACAGCCGGCCATGTGAATGGAGTTGCAGCAGATCCATGGGATGTTGCCACACGCAGCCGGGTTCCACTGACTCCGCTGAATGGGGTGGCGTTGTCTCTGTTTTTTGTCGGCCGATCAGCGACACATTTCTCAAATCCGTTGCCAATCCTCCAGCCATTGTCAATGAAGTCATCTGGAACAATCACTTCTTTTCAGCCCGAGAATTATGCGAGATTAATCATTGGACTTAATCATTAATTTCCTTGATTTCTGCAAGAAATGATTGTGGCCAATTTATCTAACAACTTAATGCCAGCAAGGGAGACTTAAGCCAAGACCGAAATAAATCGCTGACAAGAACCGAAAAAATGTAAATCAAACACAAATCGGGTCAAGTTGCTATTGCAGCACAATAAGGCCCTAGTTATTCGGCACATGCGAAATTCTCAGTGATCTACTTCAATGACAGCGGCCCAAACTAGTAACCACTACTGCAGCTAGTACAGATACTGGACCCCGCTTAAGTCTTTTGTTTCTTGGCGTTCAGCTTGAAGGTCAAGCGCATTAAACTAGACTTCAAAGTTGGCTTCTATTCTGGGCTGAAATGAAAGCAAAGTCTTCAGAGCAGGACAATTTATGACAAGAAATAAATGATATTCCTGAGTTGTTGTGAATCTGACCTTTACTTTGCCTCTAGCCATTAGTATGATTGGTAAAATACATTAACTAAGAGTTATTAAAGCTATTTAAAATAGAGAAAATAAGATGATGCAATATGTAAATTCAAAAAACAAATCTTTTATATAGGTTACGAATTTTTAAACAAATTAAACAAATTACAAAGAAAACCACATAATCAAGCAGCTTTTGATAAAGTTAAGCATAGGTCACCTCTACCAAAATAACTTACAAGCTACTCTCATCTTAAGAAAAGCATTTTGAGACAATTTTTCAATCTTTAATTTATGGCAATTGCGCACCCTTGAGCCAAGACGAGAACGTGCCAATTGCGGTCTGTCTGGCAGCCTACAAACTAATCCAAATTATTGTCAGACCGCAGAAGCCTTAACTGTAGTTAGTAGTTGGTGCAGCATGGCTTTTTGTGTGGCTAATAATGTGGGCTAGTTTAATGTCCAGGTCGGCATTTCTTGGGCATTTTCACACAATTAACCATGGCGAGGGGCGTGCTAAAGACTCTAATTAAACGGCGAGGAGTGCTTCAGAAGTAATCCCCAGCTGACCCGACCAAAAAACCAACAGACCTTCGCTCGCTTGGAAACAATTGTCTCTCTTCGACGACTGCGGTTTTTGTAAAACTAAATACTAGATTAAGTCAATTTGCATGCCGCCAAAAAGCATTTTGCTACCTAGACTTGGGAAAATTCAGCCAGCGATTGTCGGCGTTTTCCGAAGGTTTTCCATATGTAGCCGCAGGTTTTTCCAGCCCGTTCTTTTTGCTGACTAAGCAGGCATCTTGACAGACACATGTGCGTGGCTGGGCATTGTTTCTGGTTTCTGGCAATTAACTTAAATATATTTAACCGATGAAAAAACAAAGCAAAAAGAAAATTCATAAACGGAAAGAATTCTTCTAAAAATGTTCTAAGACTTGGTATTTCAAGGGCAATATTTATGTGGGATGGGAATGCAGATTTTATAAGGAAGTAATACATTCTTGTTGGCTGAGTTTAAGTAAAGGATTTCATAGAGTTGATTTTTAGCCAAGTGAAGATCTGCATATGCTAATGACTGTGGGCCCTGAGCCTTACTCTGGCTTTCATATAAAATTCAATGAACTTAAATTAAGTTTCTAGGAGGAGCACTCCACCGAGCTGCTCCCATGAATCTGCTTAATTTCCATCGCCTGAATGGCCCCTCATTGGCAAGATCATTCTGCACAAAGTGCTTCACTCTGTGGAGTTGGCAGTGCAATTACCATGAGGTCGCAGTTTTGGCCAAATCCAGAGACGAGTCATAAGCTCGGATCGAGGCTGGTGACTTTGACTCGGTTTACTTTGGTCACCTAATTTCAGCTTGTTTGCACACAGACTAATTTGACAATGGAGCACTCGGCGGACTTCGACAATCGTCTTGCAACATGGGGAATGGAATATGTCTGGGATGGCTGGTGTTGCAAGTCCAGGGCCTGGGAGTGTGGGCGGTTTTCGGTCTTGTTTCTCGGGTAATACGGCCAACTCTGGCTGTCATTGTTGTCGCCCTTAGTTGGCCATGGTCCAGTGACTCCGCCTCAGCTGCCGCATCTCCAATTGAGTGACCATTGTTAGCCAGGCCAGACTGTGTTACAGAATGACCCGTGGCAAATGCTTTCGCGTTGGCGGCAATAAAATGCAAATGAATGGCTGCCTCTGGATCTTTTGGCCTCTTCCTCCGCCGCTGGCCAACTATAAATTTCGCACCTCGGCGGCCAATTTGCTGCAGACTGTTTGCCATGCATCAAATTAACGGCCCAACTAATCCAGTTAACATTGTTATATAATTGACTCTGACAGTCGACGGGCTGATTATGCACTGCCAACTTCAGCAGTTGGGACGGCTCTTAGTTTTTAGCTCGATTCTGCTTAATTATGTCCGATCAGATGTCCAATATGAATCAACAATTAATGGCATTTTTCAATTACGCAGACATTCGGACGACATTTAGCTTTTAACAGTGGTTCAGGTGGGCTTGAATAACACTGCGTATACGTTATGCGGTATTACCAGCTCTTTGAAAAACGTAAAAGTTGCGCAAGCTGGGACCGTTTGATTTGTTTGTTCAGTAGTACAAATTAATAGAAGTATCTGCTCACACTTTTATCTACTATTCAGTTTCAGCTATTCTTTGATCACTGTGCAAGCATCTCCAAGTCATCTCTTAGCCCCTCTGCGCATCTCCTGAGACCAGTAGCCACTAGTCGAGGTATTTTATTATCTATAAATTGTATCAGCTTCGATAGATGCATATCTTAGAGGTTGCATCTTAATGCTGCCGCCACATACAGCCTCTCAGATACAATAAGTGCAATCGAAGCCATATAGAGAGCACGTGTTGGCGACAGTTTATTGAGGCAGTCATCTTGAATGTCAACTAGTCGGGCTCAGCAAAAACAGAAAGAGAAACATAAAGCCGAGACTTTAGTAACTGTCATTTATCTATGAAGAAGTTGCTGGCCACCTAAAGGTTATTGGAGCAGCAGCTATAGATACAGATTCAAGTGAACATTTTACTTCTCGACATTGAGTTTTTGGCACAAGGGAGAGGTACTGCATAGGTACACCTGTCGTGAACTCAGATCTAGTTAGCCAGCGGAAACTTCCTTCCGGCATTTCCCACTCTGACCTTAACTGCTAGAGAATCCGCCCCCCAAAGGCGGCACCTGTCCGGTCTTAGTTTTAGTTTCTCGTAAAACTAAATTAATGGAGTCCACGTATGAGAGATTCACCCTTTTGTTTTGGTTCGAGCTCGAAAAAATGCGCACATTTAAACGGTCCGCTGATCACTGATCTCTGATAAATTCTTTTTCCCTCACCCGGCGTTTTTGCACCATTTTCTCGGACGTCTCTGTTATGACCGCTGGGCATTTGTCTAAACCAGACCACGTTGTGCCCATTAAGAGATCAATATTTGGCTTTGTTTTCGTTTCGTTCGCACGTTAAAAGTGACGGAAATGCGAAGATTTGTTGCATGCGGAAGCCTCTCTTGTGACTTAAATGTTTCAACTTATGCTTTATTCGTGTATTGTCTTTGGCTAAGAGACGCCCCCGAACTTGTGACCGCACTGGAGGGCAGCACCTCCGGGGGCACCTTTCTGCGGTGGCTTCCAGCGGGCCATGAAAGTAAAAGTGCGTAAGTGGATAGGAAAACTGTGGCTTGCCATGTGCCGCCTATCGACCTTGGCAAGTTGTGAATTTGTTATTGGAAATGTCACTTCAGATGACTCGTAAACTTGATGAGCATTGGAAAACACTCTTTTTAAATTTATTAAAATATTTATTTTAATTTAACATATATTTCGCACCATTCAAAGGGTTTGGTTAAACCGTTTTTACTTTTTTGATGTAAATGAAACCAATTGGTTTTTAAAACAAACATATTACGATCATTATGTTGAAGAATTCCTATTGAAAAGTATTTAACTGTTCATTTTTATAACTTTTATTTGACTTTTCTATAGCTTGAAAGTAGTCTTTGTATTTTACCTTAACAGAAAACAGCCAGAAAGTATACATCTAAGTCTAATATTTTTCTAAGCCTCTAAGGAACAAGTTCAAAGCCAAGCTTTAGTTTAATAAGAATACACACAGCCCAAAAGTTTTCTACAATAAAAGGTAAATAAAGCTTACATAAGGTTGAAAGAAACCTCCCAAATATCCTAAAATCTCTCATCTTTCTCTTTCAACATTACTTACAAAAAACTATATGTTGTTTAAGACTAATATTTGTACTTAAAACAAGTTAGTTCCACGTTTCAGAACTACTTTATAAAAATACTTTATTACATCTATAACTTGTGATTAATTATCCATAAACAATGAGCAAAGTAATCGATGGATGTCAAGGCAAATCCAAATCATTCTGAAGATATAATGCTCGTGTTTCGAGTGCACAGATGTCTGAGATCTTTAACTGATAAATAATAAGGTAATGCGATTCAACTAGTTACTGGCTAAGCTAATGCCAATCAATCGGCTTACCTTCACCTTTTCGAATCACGCCCACAAATTAGCAGCTCGATGATTGTCAATCAAGTGGCGTGATCTCGGCCAAGTGCTCTGCCCATCAATTTCCATAACTTTCATAATTAATGGCAACCATAATTAGTTATAGGGGTAGAATCGATTGTGGATGAAAAGTGAATGTAATCTTGATCGGTAATGTATTCCGTTTCATTGGCAATTAAAACCACAAAGTTAATACATTTTTATTAGTAATAAAAACGCTTAAGAAAGGGAAACAAGTCCTAGTAAATTAAGTAGAATTTCATTTGCAACTTCTTCTTGATAGGAATAGAAGTTGCTTGATGCTTTTTTTGGATTAGTTTATATATTAAACTTTCATAACTGTTTTAAGCTAGAACCCATTTCTTTGCAATAAAAATACTAAAAAATTTGAATTTTTGTAATTCTCTACATTTTGTATTTATAGCATTGTCAGCAGTTTCAGCTTCAAACTTAAAGTATACACAAAATTATTATAATACATGTGTGTTTTTTTATTATTTTTTTGTTTTGTTCGTTTTTCTTCATCTTTTTCAGGTTGGTTCTTCTTCGTGGGCGTGTGGCATGATGGGCGTTTGTTCTTCACTCGATTTCTTCGTTATTTACAATAAAAGAGAAGTTTGGATAACAAACAAAAGAGAGAATTGCGCGAAAGCTGAGACAGAGACGGCAATGTGTGTGTGTTCGAGGGAGATAGATGCTGCCGGGGATAGGGGAATCCCCGTGCAGGCGATGGACATGACTGGGATACTGAGTATTATAGCAGGCTTCGTCAGTGGATCAATCATCCGTTTTTTGTGAGGTCGTCAACGTGCTTAATAAATTACAGAAGAGTGGTGTTGGTGGTGGTGCATGTAGTGCTTCAGGTGGTGCATTTTGCAGCTTGTCCTATCACCTTAGTAGTGGGCAACATGCGCGTGGGCGTTGTGGGTGGCATATCCGTAGGCGGGCACGGCGGCATGATGCGCCAGGGATCCGGCGTAGGGAACGGCAGGAGCAGCGGCCACATGGTGGGCAATGGCTGGGGCATAGGCCACCTGGGGAGCAGCATGGGCCACAACGGCGGGAGCGGCATGGGCAACCACGGCGGGAGCAGCATGGTGGACAGTGGGGCCGGTCTTGTGGACCACGGCGTTGAATCCGTTGTGGTCATCGGCGGTGTACTCCACGGTGCGCACCGAACCATCGGGCTCCACCAGGGAGTAGGATCCCTTCACAACATCACCATCACGCACCTCATGCTGGGACTTCACATCTCCGGTGTGGGAGTCAGCCACTCCGTAGTTGTAGTGGTACTTGGGGTAGGCCTGAGGATTGCGAAAAGAGTCCATGAGAAGTGTGCAGATTTGCTCGGATCGGGTGCTAATTTTATGTGCATGCCACACGCCACTCGGCACAGCTGGCTATGCTAATGGAGCTGGCGTGGGAAAATGGCCAAATGTCAGAAGCCACGATGGCCCTGGGCCAGCATCCAAAGAGTTGGCCAGCGGAATGGGTGATTGCCGCCAATTGATGGTGGTGTTAGTTTTAGGGCATATTAAGTATAATTTTATGATTGCCTGTCTATTGGTTGTAATAAATGTGAACATCATGGCCCGGCTAACAGGTCGTATGGGTAATTTTTATAGCCAAGGATTACATGTCGTATAAGTAATTTTTTAGTATTCTTCTTAAATGTTCTTTTTAGTTACTCTATGATCTTAAGAGCCCCTTCCTGAGCTACTTTGGCGGATGGTCAACTTACATGGTAATCGATTCCCTCGTCGTGGTGGCCATGACCGGCATAGATGGCCGGGGCGGCAGCGTAGAGACCAGCACCATGTCCGTGGAGGACTCCGGCGGAGGCGGCGCTCAGGACGGCCAGGCAGATCAGGGACTAAATCACAGAAGTATGGTTTGGTTGAATTATTATATTGCGGATTAGATCACAGGGCACTTTAATGGATGCTGGGCTATCCTGTTCACTCACTTTGAAGAATGCCATTGTGAATGGAGTTGGTTTTTGGGATTTGTTTTGCTTTGCAGACGCGAGTGTGTGCTGAACGTTGAGCTGGATTCAACTGATAACTAGAACCAAGAAGGAAGCCGCTTTTATATACAAGACAACGCCCGAGCGGGCCAGACACGAACCGAGGCACAGAAAGCCGAATGCGAGTCGGTCAGCAGCAGCACAACAAAAATGCCAGGCAAAGCCAAGCTTTGCGGAGCGAAGCCCAAGAAGTTGAAGCCCCCGTAACGCCCCTGCACACCCCTCCCCCACCGGCGATCCACAATTATTTAATGCTTTTCGAAAAACGAGAGTGAAGTTCAGTTCAGTTGGATGTGGAGCGGCTGCTTGGCTTGGTTTGCTGTGGTTTGTCTTTGGAAATTGTCTGATTTGTGAGATAACCTGCGATGTATGTAAATCGAAAAATATGTAATTGTGAAATGGAAGGGAAAACTCAAAACTCAAATTGGATAATGCCTAGTCGACATTCAAGACGCGTTCTATCGGCTAATGCTAGGCAAATATTAACATATCAAATTGGCCATTATTAAGGCATATTAATTATGAAATCATGATCAGAAAAAAGGTTGGCCATCTATATATTTCCATCTCCCATCACGATTTAATTGAAATGGCCTCTCTAAGCCGCAAGCTCCCTCGCAAAAACAATCTTCGGGCACGAATAAAATTAGCCGTAAACACAAATATTTATGAATAAAATAAGACAATGGCTGAAATAAGTTAAAATTGCATTTCGGTGGGCGGAGGTGTTGCGTCCCCTCCCCTCGGCATCCCCTTGGCTATTCTTTGGCATGTTGCAATTTGTTCGCTCGTCTGTTTCGTGGGTTTCCAAGACGATGTTTTCTACGTTCTATGTTTTCTTCTTTTTTTAGTTTGCCTGCAGCGGGCGTCGTCTATCAAATCTTGAAGTCAATGCTATTCTACACTGGAAAAATAACTTAAAAGGATTTTCCGTTTTAAATTAGAAATCAATTTAAAGTATTACCAAAAGAAGAAATTCGATTTATCAAAGATTTCCTTGAAGATTTGACAAGTTTTTAAGCATTTCCCAACTTTCTTCTATCAATTCATGCTTCGATTATTTCTCAGTGCACTAGCTGCTGTTCCTACTGCCACTTTTTTAATTGCCATGTAGGCCGTTTTGCTTATTAAACCAATCTTGCGCAAATGGTAAGGCGAGAGGGGTGCGGAGGTATGGAGAGGGCACCACCCGAAGACGCTGTGGAAGTGGGGCGCACCGTGGCGCCACATCATTATGCCCAAAATATCCGCCATTGCAGCCCCGGCTCATTACCAGGCAAAAAATATGAAAAAATAAGCGTTTTGTTTTGTCATATTTTTGGGGCTGCCTTGCTTTGTTTTATGGCATATTTGCTGGGCTTATACTACGTACTTGCCCTGCTTTGCCTCATTTAATAAATTGTCTCGAATTAGTAAGCTCAGCTCTGACAAAGCCCCTCCTGAGACCCCTCTACGCCTAGCTGGTCATCGCGTACTAAAAAATTGAAGTAATCATCTCAAGGTTAGCACGACACAGCGACGACGAACGGCAAGCGACGTGTAACGGATCACTAACAGCTGTAATCGCAGTGGTAAGATCAGGAGCGTAGACTAAAAGGGGTAAATATTAATCTTCAAAGTCATCTTAAGTGCTCGATTCTAGATGCTGTAAGTGGTAATTTGAATAAATAGAAGCTTATTTGGAATGTCAAGTGTTTTATAACAATGAAAGAAATTCTGGAAGTCTCTATTCTCTTTTCCAAGTAAATATAATTTCTAAGAATTTCCCAACCCCCTTTGTAATCCCACCTCTAGAGACCCAAACTGAATCTCTGAGCTCAGCTTCGGCTGCCTGAAATAGACCACGATCTGATTACGTCCTTTGTTTGCGGAAAATGACGCACCACCACGGCCAATTAATTGAATTTTTGCAGTCGAGACTTTGAAAAAGTAGGTTTAGATTGGATTCGAGCAAAAATGCAATAATTGATTGCCTTTTGATGGAGGATTGAGCCATATTTGGGAAGAGGTAGGGCCAGTGAAGCCATGAGGAATGGTGTAGACTGTTCGATAGAATACCCCCGATACTGACTGGCTATCCAATTTAAAACCAGTTCTCTCCACTTCCTTGATAAGAGGTTTCGTTTCCTAGGCATGCCAAGCCGTTAGTTAAATGTGTGGAAATTCCTTAAACAATCATAAGCCATTCACAACACCAGAACCATGTCTAGTCAAGGCATACGAAACTAGACCCCACAATGACAATTGCAAATTCGTGAATGCGAAACTCTTTGGCCGTGCTGCGCGTTTCCTTTTCGATTTAATTATTCACCCCTTCCGCTAGAGTTCAGTCCGTGGAACAGATCCGCTTCACATGTGCGCAAATGTATATCTTAACAGTTATGAGTCAGGCGAGGAGTTCCAGCAGCCAGTAGCCAGAAGCCGGCGGACCACCCAGACCAAGTAGTCAGCCGGATTCGCAGAATCACAGAATCGCAACGCCCAAGTGGCCCGCAGCAGTTGCAATCTTGGCCCGATCTTGGCTCGTCATGTCAGCGGACCAACATCCAAGATCCGAGATCCGAGTCTCTGGCCACTCGAGTTGAGCGCCCGGCTGAGTGGAGAGCTGCAGATCTGGCCATATTTTTCTAGCTGCGGGTGCATGACGTGAACGGTCGTCGTGATTCCGAGGTGTCGGCTAAAAAGTCAGAGAGCATTTGCTTGAACTACACTGAGCTTATATTATAACTTTTCTCTCTTTCTTAATACATGTTATATGCATAAGATTAACAGGAATCTAAGAACCCGGATCTCTGTGATTTGAATACTTTAAGTTAAGGTTACAACTCTTTTCTCCCAGTGCACTTGGTTAAGCTCAGCTGAAATACCTCAAGTTGATATATATTCAAACAAATTTGTTGTAATTAAAGCAATTTGTGTGCGTTGCCTCAGTTGCACTAGCTGTTGGCCGCTGATTGAGTGGCAAATGTTTGCAGCTTTTCCTCGCATTGTTATTGTTTTTGTCGTGTGAGCGCAATATGCGAAACAAGTTCGTTGCCCAAGTCATTCGTTTGATTTTGAGTCTTGAGTTTCGTTCTGTCAGCTGCCTTGCGCAATGAATGGCCGATGGTTGTGAGTTCACAAGTCAACAGCGAGTGCAGAACGTAGGTTATAATTTAAATTAATTATGCAAAACCGTATTGCAATTAACATATTGAACTAAACCCAAACGACTCATGGCAATTAACATTTACTCATGATTTGCTTTGATCATTTTCGACCAGCGGCTACTACTTCGCTTTTGTGGTAAGAAACCGCAGAAAAGAGGGGGCAATAACTAAATAATAATAAAAAAGAAACAATACCAACTGCAGTAATTGAACAAACTGGTGACCTTGACCAAACGCCGAATGGAATTCACGGAATATCAAACTGCAATCAATAAACAAAAGAGTCCAGCTGCCAGGTAGAAATGTTAGGAAAGACGTAATTGATTAATGAAATCATGGGGGCACATTATGCTTGTCATACACAGTTCAAATCTGATAATAATGCGAAGAAAATGTGTTTTTTCCTTCCCTGAAAAGGTAAAGTGCACCCACCAAATGATACCAAGGTCAAAGCAACTTGGACTTCAATTTAATCGTATCTGATGGCTGTAGCTCTAAGCTTTTCCCCTACCATTTGTAATTTTTGTAAACGCTCTCAGATCTGGGATCTGGGCTTCAGATTTCTGACAGCTTAATGCCAAAACTTTCGGTGGGCGTTTGGCTTATCAGCCGTCCAATTACAAATGTGAGGGGGAGAGGCCAGTAAACAGACAACAGCTTAATCCGTGCAATTATGTCGCTCGAAATTTACATAGATCGCTGGCATTGTTCCGCCAGCAGATCGACCTTCAGGCAGTGGCCCAGACCGGGCTTAGAATGGACCTCCCCCCACCAATGGCAATTTGCCATGACCAGGCCGAAAAGCGGGACCCAATCCTCGGTCGAATTCGGTCTGCATTCAGTTCGCTTTTCGCAATGCATTCACTGCAGTCCATAGTTGGGCGACTAGGCGGCTAGGCGACTGGGCCACAAAGGGGGCGTGGCGCTTTACAAAATTTCCGCTCTGGGTTTCTCGTATCGAATTGGTTTCTATATGGTTTTGTAATTGTCTGGCCATTGTCATTTTTGCTGTTGAAATTTGTGGCTCAGTTCGCTGATTTATTGGCTCTCGATAAAGTGCATTGTTCGGGTGCCCTGGCATGGCCAATGCTTATCGCATTGTGTGCCATATCCGGCTTAGAATTGTTCCTACAATTCGCGATATTTTATAGATATATATTTCATACCTCGCCCTGTTGCAACAATCGAGAGTGGCAAACCACAACAGAGATGTCTCAAAGCCCCAATCTGCCGCATCTTATGATCCATGCGCCCCCATCTCTCGTTTGGGTTAACCGCAGCGCAATTGTTGGCAATCGCTTCTTGCACAACTGCGACGTGTGGCTGCCCTGTAATCAAAGATTGAACTCGGTTTACATGCAACTCCCTTGGAGCCCCTTTTATCTTTCTGCGTTGCGTGGGTGTCGACGCCTTGTATCTATCGCCCAAAACATGACAGTCCAGTTTTTGCAAATACCCTGGAGGTGATCTACGGGCTGGAGGTGGTCTCTGGTCCACCAACAGGCTTGCCTGTTTCTTCAACAATGAAAGATCTAGAATAACCTTAAGAATGAAAGAAGGAAACCTCTAGAACAATGATATAGGATTGCCAAGTCAGTCTGTTGAAATATCAGAAGAAAACAATGCCATTAACTTTTATTGCCATGTTTTTAGCTTGCAAATTTACTATAATTTCCTGCAACAATTTGTAGCTCCCTGAGTGCAGCAGCCAGGGCAAATTGTTGCCCAAGTCTTTTGTTTAGTTTTGCATTACAAATATTTTGCCACTTGCCCGGGCGAGTCATAACCACTCGGCGCTTATGGACCAGAGCTAGTAACGGATTAACCATTGTAATGTAGTTCAAACAGCGCATTCACCCATTAACCCGCAATTGCCGGCGGACATAGCTTTTCCCCTTTTCCACTCAGTTTTCCATTTCAACTGGACACACCCAGAGCCGAACGACATGCGGAAGATCTATCATATTTGGGCTAAGGAATGGACCAAGCTGACCATTTTGTCCAGCCGGAGCAGGGACAGCGGTGGTGGGTGAATGTAGCCCGAAATTCGTGAGGTTTTACTATGCACAGTTTGGAGTTGCTTGGAGATTGCTGGTTGAGGATTATTTATTTTTAAATATTTTAATGATTTTTTTTATACGAAGTCGTAGGCCAACACCCTCGCGACAATTGGCCCCCGCCCGCCGAGGATTATGTAAGGCGGTTTCTGTTCTCTCTCTCTGTCTCTCTGTGCGGCAAAACGCTTTCGAAAGTTGCAGCTGTTGGATGCAGGCCGCAACTGAGACAGTTGAGTCGGTTACTCGGTTACTCGGCTAGCTCCACATGACACAATTTGTTAACTAGATTATTATGTAACCTAACTCTCTCCCTGTTCCCCTTTCGGTGTCTAATCAAACAACATGCAAGCAGCCGCCTTGCTGCATATGCAAAAATAACAATTAGCCATCATTTTGATGCCGGCAACGAGGCGAAACAAATCCCAAGACTCCAGTTCACGCCACTCCAATCCACTTCGGTTGCAGACAGGCCGAGATGATAATTAAATCTCTTGCGTTGATGGGTTGCCAGGCCAAATTGAGTTGACATCTTGTATGAGTCGAACATGGCTAATTGATGGCCATTCGCCGGGATTAAAGTTGGAAGTGTCCGTAGAAAGAGTCTGACCAAAACCTCATTAGAAGCAAATGCGGAAGCTGTACCGAAGTTATGCCGAAAAAACCCTAATTTATATTGCTTTTTTCCTCTCCTAATAGATCATTAATTATATGAAAAACAAAAGCCACGCAACACACCTCGAATGCTATTTCAATTTCGTGCAGACACACATCATAAATAAACATATAGACAAAATCTTGACCAAAGTGATCGACGGTTCTTAACTCATAATCTCAGCTCACTTTCGGTTTCGATATTAAAAGGCAATTCATTTTTTCCGCCACACCGCCTGTTGATTGTGTGAGAAACGCTGCAACTCCCATTCGCGGATGATGATTAATGGAGCCCCGCCGATCCGAGTGTGCCCCCATCTGGGATGGTCTCTCTAATGGCCCACAATTGTGGCAATCGCTGTAATTAGCCATCGGCTATGGGCTGTGTTTGTATTTCTGCCTTAATTGTGTCACTTTTGCAACGGCCCGCCTCGCAAATAGTTCATTTGCACAACGATGGCGAATTTGTGTCAAGTTCAGAGCCGCTGAAGCAGCGATTTAAATTTCCACGTCTCATGAGGAAACTCGCTTTAGCCGGCTTTCAATTTCTGCAAATTTATGGGTTTTTTATGGATTTTCCATGTAGCTGCTTGGCCAGCCAGGTTGACATTAAGGCCAAACGAGTTGTGCGTTTACGCACGATTCTGCCACAAATGAATGAATGAAAACTGTGGCCGGCAACTCATTGATTTGGTCACATATATGTGGCACGTGCTGCTCAGACAGAGTGTCTGACAGACACGCAGTCTAGGGAAATACTGAGCAGTGTGTCAATGAATAAATATGTATTTGAATTCAAACTATTAATGGTTTTTTAATTTAATATCGTATCTTAATATCGTTTTAGTGTAAAATGACCATCCATTCTGACGAACGGAAGCTTCTATAAAAGAAAGAAGGAAGATTACCACAGAGAAGGGTTCAAGTTAAGGGTGCAGCCTTGATTTTCGCTAATTATTAAAACATGGATACAATTTTTATAATACCAATAAATCGAATTATAATGCAATTAATCGATAGTTTCATATATTTCTCTTAAAATATTCGTTCCAAAAGTATGAGCTCCAGATGTTTCGTGTTATCAGAAGATTAGGGGTCACTGATAAACTCTTCCGACCGCATGTGTTTTAGCTTTTTAAAAAAATAAGAACTGTTCCCGACAGACTCTTGGAGAATACTGAAAAGGTATGGATATATATGAAGATTGAACGCAAATTGGGTAATTTTTATTATTATTAGTGGATTCTTTAGTCTGCAACTTAATTGGAATTTCATAATCAAAACTTGCTAAGGCATATGCTGGAGAATCAGAAGGGTCATTCTGGCTTGGAAGACGTCAGCCTTTGCAGTGAAGATGAGAACACTTTTCAGGCCTCTTTGGAAAATATCAATATCGTAAGTAAGAAGAAGGAACACAAAGGTCGGTAGTCAAGGTCAGATAAGAAAAACGCTCCGATAAATCACTGGCTCCTAAACATCAGAAGTGCTGTACAGTATTATTTCAATTTCTCTATCCAGACTCCATCCGATAAACGCAATAAAAATATAAAATAAGAAATGTATGTTATACTAATATTCTGGTAATCTTTTAGAACGGGGATAGTTCCAACGGCGACAATGATGACACCCTTGCTGAGGTAAGCCGGATGAATTCTTTAAGAAACCCATTCATTGTAAAGATAATTCCCTTCAGAGCTTTCCAGACGAGGCAGACCCGGCAGTCAATATCGCCACACGCGAACGATTCTATAGGATGGTGTACCAGTCCAAGCCAGCGTGCATTTGGAACACTGATAGGGAGCTGCTGCACCGGGAGCATAACATCACCAATCGGATTGAATGGCGGAGCGGCCACAACTCGGAACAGAGCTTTATCCAAAGATACTATGGGTCAGCACTAGTAGTAACACAGTTGACTCTAACGAAGACGCTGAACAGCTGTCGGGTTGCCCACATGAACTTCAACCGTGACGGAAACTTGATCTGCTCCGTCACCGGTGGCAATAACATTGTCGTCTGGGATTGGGCTAATAATAAGAAAGTGCACCGATTTCGTCCGGGTCATGGGAATGACATCTTGGGTGCTAAGTTTATCGAAAGCGGCGGAAGACTGGACATCGTCTCCGCCAGCGAAGATGGTCAGGTGTTTCGGACCATTATTCCGCCCTCTGGAGGAGCCATCACTGCCATGCGCCTCTACAACCATAGTAATATTCTAACCTACCCCAAACCAAAGATCGTACTAGTGCCGCACAGTCAATCCGAGATTATGAGTGCGGGAAGGGATGGATGGGTTAAGCTCTTTGATACCCGCCTCAACAGCGGAGCCACCGCAATGCTCCAGTGCATCGGACATGACCGCAGAAGGATACCCCTTGTCACCATCGCACATCACCCATTAGCTCCGGAATTCTGCGTAGGCGGGGATGATGATAGGCTACGAGTTTTCGACAAGCGAAAGTCGACGGAGTCTGTTCATGAAATAGTTCCCGGCAATTTTAGTAATGTAAGTATGATACATCCTCCAAGGCAGCCATTCCGATCTCTAGTTTCTTCTTGGGTGCAGATCGCGGACATCACTGACGTCAGATACAACCACAGTGGAAGCGAGGTTCTGGCCTGTTTCAGATTTGCTGGCGTCTACTTATTTGACAGCCGGAACTACAAGGCAGGAGAGTATCTAAATTGGTTCAAAGGGCGATAGTAAGTTCAGTCTGCATCCTTAACTTCCTCTTTTAACTCTTCCGAACTCCAACGACAGTTACTCGGCAAACTTCTTTGGTCCACGATCAGAGTTCATTATCACCGGTGACTTTGACAGTATAATTTTCTGGGAGAAGAAGACGGAGGCCATCATTGGCAAGCAGATCAAGAAGGCCGGGCGGATCTTGTGCCTGGAGGCACACCCCTGGTATCCAGTGCTGGCCACAGCTGGCGAGAATTCGCCAGGCATCCACTTCTGGTTTCCGAACGGCTTTAACCTTGACGACCAAAACGCGAACTAAAAGCAATATCGAAATACAATTTTTTCCATTTATAGGAAGTTTTAGGTTACTATTTTAATCTAATATAATTATTTAATTATTTATTATTTTTTCTTTAAAACCCCATTGGTTTCGGTTTTCTTTAGGCGTTTTGAGTGGCAAACGGTAGCCCGTTCCCCGAAAGACTTAATGGCTTCATTATATTAGGGAATCCGGCTACATAAATTACACATTTTGCTCGGGGCATTCACATGCCCGAGCTGCTGCGACCAGAGCCACTTCATCATCGTCCAAAGTGTGGCCTTGTCAATGCCGTTTCGGAGGAATAATAATAAAACCCGCGCATATCTGGTGCAGCAGCCAGTAAACAATTGCGATTGTTTTGCAGTTGCAACTTCAACTTCAGTTGCAGCCACAATTTTCTCACACGATTGAGTCAGTTTCGGATTGAGTTTCGGAGTATGGAGTTTTATGGTTCGGCGTGTGAGAAATGCCACGATCCCCACCCATCCACTTGAACCCAGGCAATTAATGTTACGATTTCAATTTTTGGTTGGTTCTGAAGTATCCAACTCTTTCGCCGACGTGTAGGTGGTGGCGTGGTTTTGAAAGTCCAATTAACACGAGACTTAAACAACTGAATTAACTTAATTAAGTGCCTATTTGGTTTACTTTTACTTTCGTCAGATCTGCTTCTCTGCTCTGCTGATCAATTAGCCTGACCCTGAAATTGTTTCGGACTCGTAAAACGCTTAACAGTTTAGTGCTTAATTACCTCAGATTTCCCGACGGGGAGCTCCAAGTTTATGGTAAATTAATGTGAGGGCCAAGGAAAACACCAAAGATCTAAGCAGGTTAAGATTAATGGTGTAGGAAAACCTATTAAAATGATTCCAAAATTGCATTTATGCATGGACATTATCAATATTTGCTAGTGCTTATTATTGGATTGTATTAAAATGATTTGAAAATTTCGTTAAATTAACCAAAATTGGAAGTATTATGGTCAAATAGATTACTGATCTTTAATCTCTTGAAATTCCACTTTGATTAGTTGAAAAAGTCATCATCTGCCACTCCGAAATCTGTCACTCAATTCTCGCTTAGCTTTGTGGGAAGTTCTCAAAAAAGAAACTATATAGATACACGCCAACTACCGATTAGCTGAGATTTTATATTGAAATGTTGGATTCATAATTCTCGAGATCAGCAGACACGAGCAATTTGTCGAGAGATTGTAGCTCGTTTAATTACAATAGAATTTGCATTCGACTAGAACAACAGTCAGTATGTGCTGAAGATATAGCTATATACATATAGATACACATATATATAGTTATGGCTGGGCATGAATCACTTGAAAGCGAATGCCGAATGCTCGGTAATTGCGAATAAATCGAAATGCATTTCGTGTAAACGTGTTAAAGAGCATAGACTAAATGTGAGGCACAGCCGAAGGTCGCGAGTGGTCAGCTACGTCAGCGGAGCAAATCCATTGAAATTGAAATTGAAATTGTAATAGTAGAATAGTAGTAACAACTGCGGATTTAGATTTTATTCAGATTTTCCCACAGCCAGCGATCGCGTTTGGGCGTTTACTACTGCCAGTTGGCTTCGCTCGATGCCTTTTAATGGCCAACGGCGCCACCGTGACATTAAGTGGCCAACTATAAACGCGATCGACTTTAATATTTCATATCCTGCAGACACTTCAGTTTGGTTCCGTACTGCTGCTCTACACCCACAAGAATCGGATTTTGGCTCGGCTTCTGACTTTTCAACAAATTGCAGTGGCACTTGGCCTTTGCAACTGCGACCTGGAGGTCAGACAATCCGTAAACACATGTTGGTTTGGCAATATGATTTTATCCGGTCTTAAAACGAGTTTTGTTTGTGCTGAAAAACTCATTCTTAATATCTTAACACTTTCTCAGAAGTATATTAAGATGTATCTCTATTCTCACGACTGTCCAGATACTGAACTACAAAGTCAATATGTAAATCAATATGTAATTAGCGTCAAACGGGGCGAGCCACTAAAAACAATTAAGTGTTGCAAATAATAGTAATGACACACTTTAATTAACTTTTTATCGTGCTTTGTGGTTGGCTCAAATTGACAATAAAAATCTGGTGGATCAATTAACTAAGAAGTCGATACCAATCAAAGTCTGCTTAAAAAGAGAAATCAAATCAAGTTACTAATAACCTAAGAAAACATTATATGGATATAAAAAAACAAATCAAAATTAAGGTTAAATGCTAAATGAAATATCTGTAACACCCAAAGTTGGTCGTCTTTGTATAAAATATAACGAATAATAAGCTAAGCCTAAAAGCTGGCTTTAGATTTTACCAAGCAAGCTTTAAAGTCCAAAAAGTCTTTGAATACCTTGAGGAGCTTAAAGATTTGTAAATCAGAAACTAACCCAAGTCACATACTAGCAAAAAGCATTTAGTGGACCACCTTCGGGTCCTTGAATACCATAATTATATAACATTTATTCAGGAAACTTGGCCACATATCATTCATGTGTGTTGTTCGGTTTGTTTTCAATAAATATTCTTTGTAATAAGTAATGCTTGGCTTAATATCTAACAACATTGTGTTGGTTATTACTATTTAATGTATTTCGAATACAACAAGAATCATAGATAATATTTATATTAACAACTAATATGGAAATACTTCAGTGTATGCATGGGTGTGTGTGTGTGTGTTGATTTGCAGAGAGCAGGGAGTCAGATGTGTGTGGGCGTGTTTAGGTCGAGAAATATTTTATAAATACAATGTAATCATAGTTTCTAATTAAATTCTGTAACTAAAATTAGAACAGTAGACAATACTTGGCATTTGAACGTTAATCCAACAGTTTGTGACAATGCAAATTCTTGGTTTCCTTTAGAGGATTTATTTGACTTGGACTTTGGTTTGTCTTGCTTTGCGGATTTCTAGCTTTAGTTCCCTTCAGTAGGGCTGGAAGCCGGCATTGCGTTTGCGTCCCATGTTGCAGATCTTGAAGTGGCAAGGCGACATATCTAAGGGGTTTGGAACACAAATGGTTAATCAACTTCCCTAGGCTATGGGTTCCAATTCATGCAACACTTACATTGTTTACGAACTAATTTTGGGAATCGGAAATAAAACACATGAAAATAAATCAAATCAAAAGCATAAATTAGTCAAACATGCCACATTTAAGGATTATTTCAATTTGTTATGGGATTTTGTTCAGGGTGTTCATGTAAGATCAACCCTTTTTCCCTACTCAAATAACTATTACTTTTCAGTACTCACATTGAACATTCTTCTTGGTGTTGTGGTCCTTGAGCGAATGTCCAGGCACCACCTTCTTACTGGGCATATTGGTCAGATCGGTCACGACATTATAGCGTAGCTCATCGCCGCCACCATTATCTCCTAGCTTGTGGAGTCGGGCCAGCAAACGGGTGTTGGGCGCCTCTGGCTCATCGCTCTCCTGGGTAACTCCAAAGTCATCATAGTCGGCGGTCAGAAGGAGATCCCTCAGCGATGGCCATTTCCTGGCAAAGGTTGGCAACCGCTGTTGTTTCTGTTCTTGCTGCTGTTGTTGATACTTCTGGAAGCCAAAAGTAGTACCAAATCAAAGATTAGTTTTCTGCGATTAAGGTGAGGTGTGAGGTGACCTGTTCTTACCAACTGCTCGCCATAATAGTTGTTGTCCTCATTTCCGCCTCCTAGAAGCTCACTGAACAACAACTGCGTGTTGCGGGCTGGCCGAGGCAAGGCATTTCCCGGTCCAATTGCAATTGACAGGAGAACAATGACAATGGCCCAGTGGACAGTGGAGCAACCACATGAGGTGGGCGACGACAGGGCTGACATCCTCAACTGCGGAATTCAAAATCAATTGGGGTGTTACATACTTGGCTTGAGAAGGTATTTTTAGAGCCTTAAACTTAAATTTATAAATAAGGAGAGACTTAAATAATTAAAAATAAAATAAATGTTCCTATTCAAAATGAAAATTGAATTAAAAAACAGAAAGTGCTTAAAGTGTAAACAAAAATTTGACTAGAATAATTAGGCTGGATCCCTAGACCATCCCCGAAACACATGACCCAGCCACCCTCTTTCCTAGGGTACCCCATCTCCAGGAGCTGCCAGGACCCTCCAATGCTTACGCAAAGGGTTTCCTATTACAAACAACACAAGTTGGCAAAAACAAAATGAACGGCGGCAGGCTGAGTAAAAATATGCGGGAATGTTTCCAGGGGTTGCGGCCCACTCGAGGTGTTGGGTACTTCAAATAAGTCACGTTGCAGTTGGCCAACAAGTTCTCGGCCTGCTCAATGGAATCAGGGCCGTGTTCCAGTTAAAAGTTTTGGCTTTCTTAATGTTTCGCCGCTTGTTCTAAATACAGCCGAGGGCTTCTTTGATGGGAGCTCACGGATTCAGGTCACATTGCAATATCATCACTTGATATGCTGCGGACACGGGTCATCAGCTGGGGCGCAGGGGGATGGGGATGGGGATGCCTCTCGTAATTGACATTTATGAAATATTAATGGCTAATTAAGCTCAAGCTTTGACGTCGGGAGTGACCGGAATGCTAAAGGTGAGCGGCGAGCTCATTATCAAATAAGGAGTGGGATGACTTTTAAAAATTACAAGTCATTTGGGGTGGTTAGTAAACGAAGGAGTGAGTGGGCTAACAAATGGTCAGAAGGCTAATAAGTTAAACTAATAGATTGTGGTATATTATCTCTTTCCCTGCATTTCTTTCTTTGTTTTTCTTACTTGGCAACATAATTTCCATTTTTACGTTTTATTATCAAAAATGAACGAACTTTTTGTTGCTGCCGACTGATTCCAATTTTCTTGTATTTTTTCTACCTTTTGAGAGCAAGTGCAAGCGATAAGCGGCTTTTTCATCTCGATCAGTAATTTATGTCGCAGAGTAATCGCGCCAAACGCATTTTAATAGCCTAATAAAACAAAAACAAAAAAAAAAAAGAAAAATACTTGCCCCTAGAGCTGATAATACACTGGTGTCGTGGCTAATTTGCGATCCCCAGTCAAGAGTCATCTCTATTTTGGTTTTTGAGTCAAGGCCTCGCGCGTACAGATTCCGTTGAACCCAGGGGAGGGGCTTTTCCCCCATAAACATAGTGCCAAACTACTATATCGAAGTCAGCACCTGTCGAATTTATTTGACAGTTTCCCATGACTATGCACGGGTTATTAAAAAATGAAACTGAACGGTGTCCGATAAGCGATAAGGTGATTGTCATCTATAGCAAAATAGGCCTCACTAAATTGCTAATTATGATGGGAAGGAATATGTACAGCTATGTTCATAATAATGGTGATATGTCATTGTTTTTTAAACTGCTTTTCTTTCCTTAACTGATGTCATATTACTAGTGGAAGATATATGCACTATCTAGTGCCTGATTACTGGCACAATATAATCTAGAACTTCCAGAACCTCTTCTAAGATAGATAAGTAACAATACAAGTATTTCGTGCGCAAGTGAAAGCCTAATCTATGCTCGTAAATACCAAAATATTCAAAAGAAACATTTTTAAACACAAACTAGGCTGGGGGTCTCAACTTCTGTGACCCAAATCGTATCAATAACATGGAATATATAATAATAAAATCGTTGGGCTACGTTCTTTTATTTGCCCGCCATTAAGTGCGTCATCGGGAGCGTCATAAAATATCGGACCACAAGCAACGTGGAGAGCTAGGAGCTCGTTCTTATCAAGAACAATAAGTTCAAATCTACTGACACGCCCTCTTTTTCTTAGCTCCTCGTGCTGTGTAAACAAAACTAATCTCTATCTAAATCTAAGTTGGAATCCCCCTCCTCCGATCTAAAAAAAACTACGCAATACCTTCCGATTCACGAGACTTTATTTCCATTCAAAAACCTTTCGAGTTCGCCTTTCCTTTGCGGCCCTGATAAGACGGCTACAATTATTTTTTATGAGTGCGGGATTATAATTAAATTCGAAAATCCCGCAATGACAGTTCTGAAAAACGCTGCTGATAATCTATATATAAATATAAATATGTATAAGTCTTTATTATCAATGAGGCAAAAGCGATTTTCTTGGCGCCATTCAGCTGACCCTTGAATGGAATTTAATGATTCGATTTAAGGCGATTTAATTATTCTAGAAAATGGCAATTAAATCGCAATCCTTACTATAAATAGATCGAGGTTAAGTTTACTTAAGTCTACGTAAACTCTCGTCTTTATAAGCCTTAATAAAATTTTTAAATTGATCTTTTTTATTCACTAAATGACTTACCTTTTCCAAATTAAATTCGATTATTAAAAAGTTTTACGGATTTTTCAAGTTCTTGGCACTTGATCTAAAAGCCAGTTATTTCCGGTTAACACTTTCCACTTTAACTGTACTTTTTTACTGTAACTGTACTTTTTTACTGAATTTTCGAAAGAATATATTTCACATTCGTTCAGCTTTAGTCCAACTATAGCACTTGGTATTCTCAACAGATTACTGAGTCAGCTTTGTATTATAATTTTTGCTCCGCCTGGCGAATCTTAACCGTTAGCTGTGACAATGCAGAATAAACGCAAATCCGATGGGAGCATTTGTTTATATAGGCGCTCGAAGACCGACGCCGCAAAAAGGGTAATTCAACAGGTACAAATAAACAACCGACGACTTTTCCACTTCGGAGGTGACAGAAGTCAAATGTTCGTGTGGGCGGTTTGGGGAGGTGGTTTTCCGCCTACCCGGGGTCAGGTTTTCGGGGGCTTGGAATGGGGTACGGCTGCTCGAGTACTTGAAAACTTTTTGTAATTTTATTTCAGCGCTGCTAATTTGGTAACAATCTCGGATTTGGGCACTCGGAGTTCTCGGATTCTTACTAGACGCGTTCTGGTTAGTCGACGAACTAACCCAACGGATCCCACCAGAACCGACTCAAGTCGGTTGGAGCCTTCGGCTCCGGTCTTCGTGCGTTTGTCGTGCCACGCTTTTGACAAATCGACCGATAAAGCCAAGATTTATGATCAGTGTGCCATATAGTTAGTGGGGGCTGCGCTACAGCACGGGGATGGGTCATATAGGTGCGCTTATGTCAGCAAATTAAATCACTTGAATTATGTACCGATCTGATCTTTGATCCGAAAATACTTTACTATCTAGGGGTTTACTACCTCGCCTGGTTCATTGACTCAGGGCGTTACTTTTTCAAGGTGATTTAGGCAAGGTTTTAAATAATCTAAGTATTTATAATAATACTAGGGTTCGATTTATACAAACTTTTACTGTAGGTTATTAAACTCGTCATGATTTGGCTAGAATATTTTAAAAGTTAATTGGGTCAATGTCGATTTGCATATTTCAAACAGCGGATGCTGAAATCCCCAACGAGTATTGCAAACTCATGGAATTCAAGCGGAAAATCACATGATCCGCGTTCCTTACACATTCTGGGTACCTGTAAATAGAAGAACCCCTTGTAGGGCAGACTGACACAATTCTGAATAAGATATATTTCTTAATGAGATATCAACTAGAATTTTTGGGCAAACAAGGCGGATAAAAATAAATTCGCAGTTACCAGAGTTCATATAAAAATAGCACGGAAATTTACACATGTCCATCTCAAAGATAAGCAGTCCGATCTTATCTTTTATGCTTATTAACACGGCAAATCTGGTTTCTAAAAAAGAAGAAAAATGACGCAATATCAGCCCGGGATTAAGTCACTCAGAAACCTAAATGAATTGGGGGTGTCGTGGCACAGAAATCTTTGGATTTAAATTTCTACGTATTAGATTATAATTCGCCTATATAGAATCTCCCCCAAGTTATTTCCTAATTTTAATGCGTCTTGGACGAAGTCCCAGTAGACAGTAATTAATTCGTCTAGTCTATATTTAGAATATTCAGACTTTGAAAACCTCTTGTCGGAAACGAGAATATCGGAAGGTACCATCCTTATCTTGGTGCCCACGCTCCTTTTGCAGGCTTTGTGATTAAATTGAATTTTATGGTTACATCACCCCTATTCCGAACCCAAATCCGGCGGGGGAGTCTGGTTCATCACTTGTCCGTCTGATATTGATAAGAGGACTCTTTTTTTGGAACCCGCCTATCACTGATAGCAAATCAAATGGCAATCATTTCAGTGCTAATTGACAGTTATTAATACGAGATTTCGTGCCGGAACAAGCGCAAAAGCACGTGCCTCCCAGTTATCAGCGGTTGATTTGAGGACATCACGTGACTGGATGACTTCAATTTTAATCAGTCCGCCGTTATTGTCTGATATGGTAATTGAGTCATCCTATGGGTCAGTCATCTGTACCTAATTTCGCTTTATAGATACAGTCGCCAAAACTTTTTGAACTGCTGTTTTGGATCTTGCACTTTAAAAATCTATGTCAATTCTATAAATCACATGTTAAGAGTTAATATTTTGAAATTGCTATATTGCGTTGGAACTAGAAGTTGATTATAAAAAAAATGAAATGTTCTTTTTCTTTAAATCATCTAACAAAATTCTTAAAACTCATTTTAAAGTCTAATAACAAATTTAAATTCCTACTAACCAAACCAGTGGGAACCCCCTGTTACTATCTAAAATCCACCAAAAGCTTTTGTGCTGGTCACACTGTTCTATAGCTGGGTCCACCTGGTCACACTGTTCCTCCAGTTGGACTGTGGGGGGCGAAAATAAAAATAAGAACAATCATGTCCACTCTGCAACTAGAATTTTCGCAGGCAATGACCGACTTCAAGAAGATGTTCCCGGACATCGACCGCGAAGTGATTGAGGCCATCCTGCGAGCGAATCTTGGGGCCGTGGACCAAACCATCGACGCCCTGTTGGCCATGTCTATTGACAACCAGGTGAGTGGAGGTGCTGTGTATACTAACGTCTATGTACTAACCAACTAACAAACGCAGAACGAGAAACTGCGCAATGAACTGGATGCTAATGTTTCGCCCCAGCAGAGCCTCATCAACCTGAACGATTCGAACAAAGACCTGCAGCTGGTGGACACCACAGACGGCGGAGGAGCGGGAGCCGTTGGAGCACCGGGTGTACCCAATACTTTGCTGCCAACAGCTGGTGCCTCGCCGAACCACCAGAACACGGGCGCTTCGCCCAAACAACGTCCATTGGGATCGGCTAACAGCAAGGGGAGCAGCCAGAACAACACGCCCACCAAGCGCAGTCGTCGCTGGAATCCGCCTATCCTTGGTCCGCTGCCGGCAGGCTTCCTGCGGATCACCCCAGCTCCCGGGCAGCAGGACTTCGAGCTGCCTGACGAACAATTCGCTTTGATGCTGCAGAACGAAGAGTTCATGAACCAGCTGCGCTGGAATCAGGACTTTATGAACGCCCTAGAAAAGGAACAGAGCGGTAAAGCCAAGGGCGAGGATGACGCCCCCTTCCAGGAGCGGCTAAAGAACATGGGCAAGATGTCGCGTAAGAAGTTCCTGCAGATGGCCCGAGTTTTCACCTGGCAGCGCAACAAGAAGGTGACCACGGCCAAGCAGATAGACTCCTTGCCGCTCCGGGAGGAACCCAGTGACGACGAGGATCACCACCACCACCAGCGGGATCAGCAACAGTCCAGCCAGCAACAATCCAGCCAACAGCAGGGTCAGTTGCAGCTGCGCAAGTGAAGCGGAACGTTCTGTTATCTTATCTCAACGGCCATAACGTGACGATCACGTGCGCAGTAATCTCTCCAAATCGTAACACAGACCCAAGTAATCTCCAGGCAAGAACGAAATCTCCTATCCCAATCTCAACACAAAGATGCGATGGTATTACCCTAGTTTTAACCTTAAGTGCAATTTTTACCCTACCGTGCAATATCTCCCCTTATATATTCCTTATTGTTTGTATACGTTTTGTTTACCCCTTTCGTTGTTGCCAAATTAGCATAGTTAAGTTTTATCCATTATTTGTAATCAAAACTCAAAGCGGAATCTATTGAGCCGCGTCTGCTAGAGAACCGCACTCATACACACGTTCGACTGATTATAGAAAGCGTTAATTAACCAAGCATCACACCAGGAATCGGAGACGAGTCCCCCTCAAGTAGAGCACTTTGCTTAGCCCAAAACCTAGTCACAAAGCGGAACTCGAGCCACTTATTGTACAGTAATCGAAAAACTACCACGTAAAACCTGTCTTTAATTCCACTTTATACATTTTAACTGCTGGCCAGAGCTTTGCCAACTTCTACGAAAAATGCATGAATTAATATTGTACACCCGCGAATCTCTCGGAACTTGCATACCATATCAGCTGTGGATACAATGCAGTTTTACTACACCTACGCCCCAACCTAACTCCGAATCGATCCTATCGCAGATCTTACAGTGAATTAATATGCGTGCTATAAACTAGCAAAATATTATAATTATAAAGAGCGGCTATTTGATTGTAATTGTATATGTATAAATATTTGAATAACCTTATATAACTATTCCAGGTATCAAATACAGATATTTCAAAACTTCAAAAATCTGTTTTATTTTGGGAAGAACATCCCAATCCTATTAATAAATACTCTCCTTAATTGAATTTATTTAATTTTTATTTTGTTTTTGCATTTCCTTTTTAATTTTTTATAAACATAATACATTTATTAATAATTAAAAGATGATCGATCCTTTTGACCTACTGCGCCGCGAATTCAGGACTACGATTGTTCTAAGATCAGAAAGACAAACAGCCCTAAAAACACGGCCAGTATGGTAACAAGTTCGAAAAAATGGTTTTACAATTACAGTTTTCACACGCTCATTATTACATTATGTTATTGTAACGGTTTGTTTGTTTATTATATTCAAAAATGATTTGTATCTTTATCATATATTTAATATATACGTTTGGGCTTAGGTTTTTATTTAGTTTTAATGTTGGTTGGCTGTGTTTAGACTTTGATTTAAGGGCATATTGGTTACTACTCGTACGCGAAGTTTATGCAATGTTTATTATGAAATATTTGTAAATTACTTCGTTTTTAGGTTTCTTTTCATTTTGGGATTGACACGACAGTTTATGTTAAACCATTTCTTATGTATTAAATATACTAGAATTTGTGGCCGTCTCTGTACTTGTTTTTGTTTTTATCAGGAAGCGGAAATGAGGAACAGCACTCCCTCTTATTTCCGCTTCCGCCTTGCTTTTTCGCTCTCTGAGAGCATGCCGGAAAGTGTCAGTGTATGTGTATGTGCGTATGTGTATGTGGGTTGGGTGTGAATGTGGGATGTGGCTGGTATGTATGTGTGCGTGTGTGTTCAATTTTGGATGCAATTGATCATGTTAAACAATTACTTGTAAATTTGTTTTAAACTAATTACTAAATGGGCTCATTACTTCTGGTTGTTTGCAACATTTTGACATCATTTGCATACAATATTTTTATAAAATATGTTCCTTATTCATGATTCATTCCTTTCTCGATTTATTTGCTCATTTCTTTCGTGGAATTTTTTATCTTTTAGGCGTACAATTTAGTTTAGCTTAATTTGATTTTGTTTTTGAATGTTTTTTTCGGTTCTATTTTAAGATATACTTGTTGTTGGTTGGGTTTTTCATGTGTATAAGTAGTTGTAGATGTGTAGAGTACAATCGAAAAGAATCAATAAATACGAATGTTTTAGTTTACGAATGTTTCACTTGTTGCATAATTTAAAAAACGGCTCAAAAACGAACGACAAATATATTTAAATATGTATATATATATAATAATTCCCCATATGTATTAATGGTTAATCAGCGAAAAATAGTACAATCATAATAGTAGTAAATGGTAATAATTACAAAAACTTGAAACAGTTAAAAACATTTGTCAGTTTAAGTTTTGTTTTGTTTGTTTTGTATATAGTAGATTGGTTATTTCAATTTTTTGACAATTGCCTTCGGATCCAAAAACGAAACGAGAATGAAAAACAATTGAAAATTTTTTACTTTACGCTTATACTTTTGCTTCTTCCTCTTCTATATTATCCTCTCTGTTTTGTTTTCTTTTCTTTGTTTTTTTTTTTTGTTTTTTGGAAGTCTTATAGCAGAACACATAGGGACTTTTTCGGCTTCTTCTGTTTCTTCTCGGGCGACTTCTTGTTGATTTGCCGGACCAGATCGTAGAAAATATCGTTCACATTCACTTTGGCTTTGGCTGAGGTCTCCATGAAGGCGCAGTTGAACTGGGTGGCCAGGTTCTTGCCCAGCTCCTTGCCGACAACACGCTCCTCCTCGAGGTCGCACTTGTTGCCCACAAGGACCATGGGCACATCATCCGTGTCCTTGACCCGGAGAATCTGCTCCCGTAGGTCCTGCAGATCGTTGAACGTCGATTGCGCCGTGATGGAGTAGACCAGCACGAATCCCTGGCCGTTCTTCATGTACAGATCGCGCATTGCGGTGAACTGCTCCGTGCCCGCCGTGTCCAGGATCTCCAGCATACACTGCTGTCCATCCACCTCCACTTGCTTCCTGTAGCTGTCCTCGATGGTCGGATCATACTTCTCCACGAAGATACACTGCACAAACTGGACCGTCAGCGCAGATTTTCCCACGCCGCCGCTTCCGAGGACCACGATTTTGTACTCACGCATGTTGGCTAATATATCCTTTATATATTTTGTGTTTTTGTGCTAAATTCTAGAGAACAGACCCAAAATGCAGGTAGGCCAGGTAGGTGGGTTTTACTTTCTAGGTGGTTCTTCCTCGAAAATCACTAGTTTTTAGGCGTTGTTCGGCGATTGCTTGTCGGTTTCAGTTGTTACTCAGTTGATTTTAGTTAATATATGCTTTATATTTAAAGTTAGTTTGTTGTTGTTGTTTCTGTTGCTTTTGCTGTTGATAACCTTTGTGCCGTGTAAGTGTGTGTATGTGTGTGTGTTGGTATTGCTGTGTGCTGGTGTTTGTGCCTCTCCCTCTCTCGCTCGCTCCTTCCGCCGAGTTGCGTGCGTTCAATTGTTGCTTTTTTGGGCGGAAATCTCCTGGTTTTCCTGTACGTTGGGACCGCCGTCACTGTTATCGAGGGAACACTGTAGGGGAGTAAGAAGAAAGGCGCTTTTTAGACACTATAAACTCTAAATTCGCTGTCTTTTTGGTTTGCGTTTTTTGGTATGCTGAGAACGAACTGCACTCCCTCTTTTCTTCGCAACTCTCTCGTTCTCGTTCTCGCTCTTATGATTCATTTTTAGAGTTGCCAGGCGGCTGCGGCGAACGCAGCGGTTCTCTGCAACGCCTTAAACTTAAATTTCCCTTCCATTTCACTTAATTCTCACTTTATATGCACTTGTCTTTCACACTGTGTGCACAATGTGTGTATATCAGCTAGCCGATTGCAGCATTAGACCACGCAAATGCACCCGCATGTCGGACGGCAGGGCAACTCTGGGTGGAGTTTTACCTGTGTTTTCCACTCGCTGTCGCAAACTGCGTTTTCCTGGGCCCGCTTCACCTGTCGCTGCTCGCGTACCGCTGCACTTTTAATTTAAAACACCGTATTTTCTTTGATTCTTTAAATTTTCGCCTTCAGCGAACAGCGAACACTCACAGACTAGGGCTGTCAAACCATGGATGGTACAATCGATAGTCCAATGCTGATGCTCGTTAATCGATACGCCCAATGCTATCGATAAGATGGTGATGGCAATTTAAAATAAATTAATTATTAAATTAATTTACGAATTGAATAAAATAAATTTGTAGCCATTCTACATAGTGTAATTATAATTGATTTACTATACAATACTTGAAAAGTACAGTTATTTAAAAAAATATACATTATGTATATAACAAACGTATTTTCACTCGCACTTTAAACAGTACGTTAATATTTAGTTGCTTGCTCAATTTAAGAACCCCTGACTTTAATTTATTTTAAAATAAGAATGCCTTCGTTTTTGTAAATTACTTTTAAATTATAAATGCGCAACAAAAGAAAACGGAGTGGAAAACAAAATTCAATATTCACTAAATAAGCAAAAACAATATTAAATACATATATCATTGAATAACTTCAGTAATAATTAAAATCTATGAAAATATACATACATATATTTTAGAATGATCACTTACGCCTTATATGTACTTACACTTCATTTGTAGGACAAAAATATTTTTTGAAAAAACTTATTCAAAATATAAGGAACAATTATGTAAAGAATCCGCTATACCTTTACTATATAAAACGTTACTATGGTAAGAAATTCGTGAATCAACGGTGATAGCTCTGCTTATTCTGCTTCTGGTTTCCAAGATATAGAAGTGATTCAACCAAATCATATTTTCATGTTATTCAAAACATAAACTGAAAAATTTTATCATTATAAACTTTTATTTTATAAAAAACAACATTTACTCACAACATTGTTCACAGTTGTTAGCAATTATTCATTTAATGATAAAACACAAAAAAAAAAAAATCGTTAAGAACAGTACTTAAATATATAATTTATATTCACCCACCCTTAGTCACACACAAATTATACAATTCAATTCCACTGCTTCAACGTCTTTTTGATTTAATCAATTCATATAAACTATGTATATTTAGCAAAACAACAAAAGTTAATATCTAACTAAAATTTCGTATAAAATTCAGCATGGCCGTTAGTCCTTTGGTCCTTAGCGGATCTTGGTGACCATTCCGGCGGCAATTGTGACACCCGCCACACGCAGCATTACGCGACCCAGCTCCTTAAAGTCCGCATACCGCTCGATGCAAATCGGTCTACTTGTCTCCAGTTCTACCAAGGCACAGGAGTTATTGCCCAAGCAGCGCGGCTTCTTCTTGACCACCTCTCCGGTACTCTTGTGGATCGAGGCGGTCAGCTTGCAGACCACGGCGGGCTCTATCAGTGATTGGTGGTGCAGTAGGACGGGAAATCCCATGGTAATAGGCACCTTGACATTGAACACAATGATGCGGGCTTGGAAACGCGTGGTCACCGGAATGGGCGTCTGAGGATCGCATATAATGCAGCCCACGGTAACGTTGTTGATATCCAAGGCGGGAAGGGTCACCGAGACTTGATCGCCGGCGAAAACACTGGTCTGAGGAAAATCGTTCATGGCCAAGGACTTGACTTGCGCCTGCTCTCGGCTGGCTCCCACTAGAACCTTATCGTTCAGGCAGAGCACTCCAGTTTCCACTCGTCCAGAGATACAAAATCCTGAGCCAGTTCCCTTGTAAATATCCGAGACTGACATGCGTAGCGGTCTGTCAATAGCTCTTTCAGGGATCTTGAAGTTCTCTATAACATCCAGCAGGTGCGGACCAGTGTACCAGCTGGTCAGTGCGGATTCCTGGGCATTCTTGGTGAGATTCTCGCCGGTTAGTCCGGAGCAGGGCGTAAAACTCACATCGGACTCCTTGAAGCCCGCCTGTTTGAGAAAGGACTTCAGCTTGGATACAATCTCCGCGAAGCGCTCTTGTGACCAACCAACAGTGTCCAGTTTGTTGATGACCACTCCTAATTGGTTAACACCTAGGGATCTCACAAGGATTGCATGTTCCCTCGTCTGTCCCCCTAGTTCAAAACCGGATTCAAACTCCCCTCTCGTAGCATCTACAACCAGGAGAGCAACATCTGCCTGAGTGGCACCAGATATCATGTTTGGAATGAAGTCCTTGTGACCCGGAGCATCCAGTAGCGTAACGATCTTTGTCTTCGTTTCAATACGTGACTGACCCACGTCCATGGTAATTCCGCGGGACCGTTCCTCGCCCGTCTCGTCTAGAACCCAGGCGTACATAAAGCTTTGCTTGCCAATCTTTTTGGACTCTTGCTCGTGCTTATGCATAACGCGCTGCGAAACGTTTCCAGTGTCATACAAAAGATGGCCCATTAACGTGCTCTTCCCGGCATCCACGTGACCTATGACAATCATATGTATGTGGCTTTTTTGGTCTGCACGTTCTTTTTCGTATAGCTGGCGGGCGTTGCGCAATGCCTGCTCTTTGGACACCTTGAAGAGGGAAGCTGAGCTGCGGGAAACGTCATCGGCGGCAGTGTCGACGGGAGTATTTCTGCCCGAGACCACAGGCGATGAGGGTATCTTTGGTGAGGCTATTTCGAAGCCTCTGCGGGGCTCCTTACCGCTTATCTTTGGCGGAGGTGTTGGCGCCGTTTTGCTGGAGGATTTGGGCAGCACCGGAACAGCGGGCACCTTCATCCGATTCGCTGCTGGCTTCTCAGACTTCTTGGTCTCTTCGTTGAGGATTTCGTCCAGGATTTTCTGCATATCGTAGTCAAGCTTCATGGAGGTTTCCACGATGCGGCGCTCAGAGACGGAATCGCCCACCACGCTACGTACTTCGTCCACGCATGAGCTAAGCTTGGCCTGTTCGATCTCGTCAAGCTGCGGCATCTGGAAACTCTCAGAGTCGCGGCGTGCCTTCTCAAAGGCGGCATCCTCTGCCTCCTCCTCGTCAGCTTCCTCCTCTATGTTTTTGTTCTTGCTTATGAATCCTGAGATGCTCTGTTGGCCACGGGCACGGTCATAGAGCCACTGTTGTGCATCTGTAGGCGAGATGCAGTGATCATCATCTACCGAGTGCCCGTAGATGTCGTCGTACCCATCGTACTCATCGTTGTAGTCCATGGTGCGCACTATCCGGTGACGCGACATTTTGAGGACTTTTTGTTTTCTTTATTTCACAATATTCGAAAAGGGTCAGAATTTCATCAAAAGTAATAGAGGTGCGTGCAGGTGTGACTGTCTTTTAGAGTGTTTGGTATTTTTAATGTTATTTTATATACGGACTATTCGATTTTTTGTAGGTATCGGTATTTAATTATGAGCCACTCTACATAAATAATGAATACATTACTATAAAGTATTTAATTATTAATACTTGTTGTTAAGGGCTTTCATTTTAAATCGGCTAAGTTCAAAGCAAAAGTTTACTTTTATATTAATTTTACCTTAATATTATTATAGTTATGAAAGTCAATGTAATGCGAATAACCTAATGTTGCTACAGATGCGGTCCTATTTGAATACCTTGTTATTGGAAAAAATAGTGTAAGCAGGCTAAAAAACACCCCCGCACGTCATTAATCCACCCTCGCGAAACGGTCACACTTCGAGTCTGCTCTGAACATTTGTCTTTTGTGTCGCGTTTTAATGTGAAAAGAAAAACACTTTTGCAACAGTTAGGGGCTGCGGAAAAAAGTGCAAAACATTGCGATTACGGAGTGCGCGACCATGTATGCGGGGCAGCATTAAATCGGAGCCGCATATCCCCCGATTTCCGCGTGCAAATGCGAGGCGAGCCAACGTTGGCAAACCAAAAACGAATCTCGTACACAGTCGTTTATTATTAAACAACGGGCAGGAAAAACAGAAGTTCGGGAACCAGAACCCAACCCAGAAAACATGTACAACAACGGGGCCAGGGGCTTCTCTATTCATGACGCCTTCGAGGAAGAGACCGACGAGGCGATACGTGTTTATGGGTCCACCGTAATATCCACGCCCATGAGAGGCAAGCAAGGTCGCTCCACCGAAGACGTCTCGATCCGGATTCAGGATCCCAAGTGAGTGGGATAGTTTTCTGGTGCAAACAGGTCTTTGATTTGCTTGCGTGGGCACCGATTATTGGCACCATTTTCACAGCTTTGTGCCAAACAAGGAGTTTCATTCCCATTGTGACTGTGATTCCGGTTATTATTGTGTTTATATTACACTTCGTACACACTTTGCCAGCTGTGCATCTGGTGTTCTATGCGGTTCCCACTTCCTTATTCCCGCCGGAAGCACCTGAATAGGCTAGCCGAGCGGCGCGTGCGTGATGGATACTCTACCATCTTGCTATTCCATTAGCCATGCATGGCGTGTCGCAACTACAGAAACGACTTGTAATTATGGGGATTATAAATGCAGACGTCCAGCCTAATTTGGCATTCAATTGTAAAAATCATTGCGCATAAATTTCGTCATAAGGGTCTGCGGCGTCTCTAGATGGGATCAAGGGGCGAGGAGGAGGTGGCCTTCGCCTGCGGTCAGCTGGAACCAGTTAGCAAGCCCAGCAGCAAGCCAAAACCAGCCACAAGCTCATCGCCGTTTGCACTTGTCGGGCTTCTCTTGCCAATATAATCGAGTGGTAAACGCAAAATTGATTGCGTCTCGTTTTTGGCGGCAATCCAACCCCGCGATAACCCCTCAAATAGTTGATAAGGGTCCTAAAGTCCATATTTTGCAAAACGTGAAAGCCTACTTGGCTGGCGAGGCTTTGGATACCGCACAAGTTCATGATTTTGTTCAGGGCATTTAGGCTTTTATCTTGGTTGAATATGATTCAATCTAGGAAAATCATCATAGTACTGCGATAAGCCTCAAAACCTGTTTTAAAGAAGAAAGATGATCTGTTAAGTCGTCAAAAAACACGAGAAATTTATCATCAAAATGCTGATTAACTTATTCAAATATATGATGAACTTTTATTGAGGTTTGGTTTATCTTTAGTCAGCTTATGCATATTTATTTTATCAATCTTAATGATCTGCTTTATTTATCCAATAAACTGTAGGCACTTACAGATAGTTATACAACATAAATAAACAACATGAATATAAATTCTGCAAAAACCCTTTGCTCAAGCTAAGACCATCTTGAAATAAGTGGGTCAAAATCGTCAGTCAAAACCGGCTTTAATTGTACAACTCGCAAGGCTATTAAACGCTTTTCCCTTTAACTAACTGACCATCTTCTGTCTCCCCAGGGGCTACAACAAGTATGCCGAGGACACAACCTCCAGGGACAGCGACTCGCTAATCCAGGAGTATGGCAACCTACCCACGGAGGAGACTAACACATACTGCTGGCGGCACCCAAAAGTGCGTGAAAACTGGCGCACCGTGCTGGCCGCCTTCACGCTCCTTGTCGTGGGCACGGGCCTCTTTGTGATGGGCACTTTCGCCATCGCCGATCCGCAGAACACGTCGCAGGGAGTCGTGTTCTTTGTGGCCGGACTCATCTGCTTCATACCTGGGGCCTACCACGTCGTGTACATCTGGCTGGCAGCCAAAGGATATCGAGGGTTCGACTTCTATCACCTGCCGCTGTTCACATAAACGGACACCTGGGCAGTTCAACTGGTTGATCCAAGGACAGATAGAGCAAGATAGCGAGGGAGGGGAGTGGGAGATCCCCGTCTATATAATATAAATCTATATGTTTGTTTATATTTGTATAAACAATTTATTTTCTATATCGTAATTCTAATTAACCCGAAACTCGGTTTGTGTAACGTACTTTTTGTGTTTAGCTGCAAAAATTTCGTTTAGACAAATCCCCCCTGAAACCCGAATCGAAATTTAGCAATATATAGATTATATATTTTACAATATTTTCTATTTATGTACTCGATAAAGTGTTTTGTATACCCTGATCCCGACCCCAAAAAGTGCAAAACATTCATACGTACACTCGAAATTTACTTAAACAAAAGAGAAAAAACAAACGAAAGACTTTGTATATGATGCTAACATGTTGAGGAAGCGCTAGAGTTATAACGTATACTATATATAAATTGTAATTGTAATTTATTGAAATTTAATTGCACCAAATACGCTGGCAAGCGTACGAAAATGTTTTAAGATTTTCAAAACCAACACTCAAGAAACAAAAACAAAAACTAAAACTAAAAAAAAAAAGATTAACAACAACCGTACACCCACGAATCTATGTATTTGATTAGTGAGCGTCTGTCCAGGGATGCGCCTTAAAGAACTAGATCTAGACTTTAGTCAACGTCGAATTATGATTATGTTTAAACTTTAAACCTAATCAATTGCAACGAGGGACTTCTCGAGCAAACCATGATAATACCAAGCTACTAGTGATGTAAGACGATGCGCCGATATTGCAATACGTTCTTTTATAGCTATAGTAATGACGCGACTCTTTTCCGCTGACCTTTACCCCGTCCTTTAATGAAATTACATCTCACACAGTCATTCACATTTCTAAAAACTAATCACTCACCTCATCTGCCGTTTAGTTGTTAATGTCGTATAATTTCTTTTTTAAGAAATGCTGAATATGGTTGTATTAAAACAAAAATAATTATTACACGCAAAAAACTAAAAAATCAAACAATAAATTTACTTAAAAAACTTATAAATACGATTTATGGCTAATACAGGACGATTCTTTTTTTCAAAATTTACATAAAACCTAATTTGTAGCTGTAACTTTGTGACTTTTGTATGTATTTTCCCACTGAATGTTGGTTTTTATTCAAATTAAACATATTATTTTTGAACATTTTCGTTTGTTTTTATTAAAGGGGATTTCGAATGCCATTGCCTGTGTCCCAATCTTAATATGATGTGATTATCAATTCTTTATGGTTTTTGAACGTGATTAATGGCTTTTATTTTTATATTTAGCATTTTGGTGGGAATTGATTTCATTCCTTAACGCAGCTTAAGTTGGGCGATAAAATTTATCTTTCTTTTGCGGCATGCCCATTGAACTGTATCAGACTCCATCATTATCAATTTCATTCCCAACAACTCCATAGTGCGTTTCGAGACTAAGATAGGAATTAAATTATACCAGCCGGAATAATTCTATAAATGATTCATGTTAATCTTTTTTATATGTTGTTATTTTTTAATGAGTGACTTACGATTAGTCTTTGTGTCGTTTCAAGCTGACCTTACTCTATTACTTTTCGATAACCTTGCAATTATAGAGGCACTTAGCCTTTGTCCTACAGCCACGAAACGCACTGTCGACCAGCTCCAGCTCTTAACCAATCCCGAACTCCTCTTGGTTTAATGGATTCGATTGCCTGCGGCTAATGGCTAATGGCAATGCAAATGAGATGAAGTGAAATGTTAGAAACAATCAAATCGGCAATGGAATAGGATAGATACTTGCTCAATATACGAAGTTAACGACGGCTCTAATAGGTTTAATTATATTGGTGTTGTGCGCCTCCCCGAATCGATTATTTTTGTAGCTTTGAACTTATTTGAATTGAATTTAAATAATTGTTGCCTCGACTCCACTCGATTCGATTCGATTTGATCCGAACCGATTTGTTTTGCCTCGGTTCGACCGTTGATGATTAAGCTTTAAATGTGCTTAGTGAAGTAAGTGTGGAAATGGAATAAAGTGCATGAAAATTAAACTCCAAACAATGTTTGTTGATTCACCCCCTTAAAGGTCCCAGTACCCTGGCAGAGGTGGATACCATTTGGGGGCTTGTACCTGTACTTATTGTTTTATCTTTTCACACCTTTTACCTTATCTTGTACGAGTATATAATTTTACTGTGAATATATTTTAAAAGAATTTGAAAACTGCGTTAGCAACTACGACAAATGTAATCTTGAACCCCTCCTAGGTACCTCCAAACTTGTAGCTTTTCAATCGCTTACCCCGCCTCTGCTTTTTCGGAGAGACAATTTGTCACCCAGGCATCGATCAAACACAGGACATCGGAGTGGCCTGGCAACGGGCGCCATTGAAACCAGGATGGCAGGCCATAACCACAAGGGAACGGAGTGGTGCCGCTAATGTCTGGAGTGCACATCCAAGTTCATTAGATTTGGATGGGTGCGGAAAAGCTGCTCGACACGAAATGGAAAGTTTTGGCGAAGTTTCCCGCTGGTGAATCGTCGTAAATCGCAGTGCGAAAAGCTGAGGGTCTAAAAATATCCCGGCACTCGAAGCCAATCGATGTGCCCGCAGCTGGCAGAGATGGGCGAGCGCGAGCCAGAGTCGGACGAGGACTGCGAGGTCTATTGTAAGTCGTTGCCTGTATGTCGACAGGAACATGTCCCTACTCATGGATTATTCCGCAGTCCTGAAACCGGTCAACGAGTACAACATTGTGGACAGGATCTAGGAAGCCAACAAGGAGCTCTTTGCGCCGGATGATGAGGGTTCGAATGGTAGCGGTAAGGTGACCAAGGTAAAATTCGCCTTGAATCTGGAGGATTACGAGCCCACAGAGCAGCAGAAGGATCTGAGTCCAAGTCCGCCGGATGAGCTGCTGCAGCAGTTGACGCAGCTGAAGCTAAAGCCCATTGCAGAGGAGGAACAAGCAGCGCCAGAAGTGACCAAGGTGGTAGAAGTACCCCCTCCTGACGAGGAACCCGAAGCAGAGGAGGAGATATGCGAAGAAATTCTAGACTTGAGTGAAGTACCACAAGAGCCTGTTGTGCAGGAAAGCGTTCCCATAGATGATGAAGACGATTTCTCTGGAGTGGATGAAGCAGATCTAGATGATGATTCTCCAGCAAAGGATTCCTCCATTCCCGCTTCCCTCCAACTGAGGCAGAGCACCTTTGACCAGGATGACTCCGACCAGAAGAGCCTGACCAATCTCCTAACTGAATCCGACTGTGAGGAGGAGGAACGCACCTTGAATGAGGCTCGCCAGAAGCTGAGGGATGCCTATAAGAATCTTTATAAAACTTTAGATCCCAAGCAGCAGGCAACCATCGACAGACTGACGGGTGCCGAAAGTGAAGTTCCACTGCCAGCACCTGTGGCTGCTCCAGCTGAACCCGACGAGGAGGATGACCTTTCCGTTATTGTGGCCAGCTATATTCCAGATGACTTTGAGCTCAACGAGCAGAGCATTTACTACAAGAAGGAGGAGGAACCCGAGGAAGTCAAGGGATCCTGCACCACGTGCCCCAAGGCCACTTCCAAGACCTTTTTCACTTCGCGCAGTTTTAGCTTTCGGCGCCGTCCCAAGCCCACGCCCACTCCATCCTCTGCATCGGCTTCTACGACATCTCCTTCCATCCGAATGAATTACAAGATCTGCTGCGAGCACCGTCATTCGATACAAGGGAAGTTACCCAGGTATACGGGTTACATGTCGGAATATGGTTTGACCGCCCAGCAACTTCAGCGCCGGGATCAACAGCTAAGACGAAAACAGCGCTTCTCCATGGAGCAAACAATCAACCGCAACGAGCAGGAGTTGAAGAAGATGCAGGACAATGAGCGGGCTTTCACCACCTGGCTCAAAAATAAGATGCGCTATCCAATCAACAAAACCCGCAACATGTTTGATGCCCACAAAAGGCGAGGCAGCGTGGCAGCCGCAGGAAGTCCCCGCCAGCATCCAAAAGCTCACCAGCACCTCCACCAGGAGCCAGAGCAGCGCGGAGGACGTCGAAGGCGTCGACGAGACAGCGGAGAAGAGGAGGTACACGCCTATCGACACCTGCTCGGAAGCTGGAACAAGTAGTAGTAATGTAGATCTTACATTAGTTTATTACATAAATGTATCGTATTATATTTAATTTGTAATACAACTTTTGAAGCGTGAAAAAATGAGTGGTTCGGGATCGGAGAGGGCGGGTCTTTTAACAGATAGACAATGATAACAGGAAAGTTAAATTACGAACGGAGTGGCTCAAAGACTTGAAACAACTCTCTTCAATGACGCGACTTCTTCGACTTGTGACCGTTGTCGCGGCTGTCGTCCCGCGAGCGCTTGCGATCCTTGTCCTTGCTGCTGCTCTTGTGTCCAGACGACGAGGAGGAATGATGCTTGTCCCGGCTGTGGTACTTGTCCTTGGACGATTTCGATGGGCTTTAAAATAAGACAAGAGTTTGGGATAGTGTTAAAAAAGGGTTTCATCAAATTTGGACTGCGGTTACAAAATTTTGAGCAAGCAGAAGTGTGATGTTTGTTTATATTGTTTGAAATTTTGGAGAATCTAAATAAAACCCTTAACTAAAAATCATCAAAAATAATTTGGAAAAACAAAAACGATTCAAATGGAGAGAAAAACTAGAATCATTATAAAAGTTGAAAAACCAAAACCAGAAATACCTAAACAATTTTGGAAATTCTCCTCTAAAAGAAGTAAGAAAGTCTTCTTCCTAAAACTCAAGTTACTTGAACTATTTTTCTATAATGAAATCAGTGAAGGGACTTATATTAAATTTTGATATCGTTGGGAATTTGTTTTGTGTGTGAGTGTGATATGTGGAAAGCACTTGCATTAAGCCTTATGGTTGGGTATTAGGTGTTTTGGGCTTTCGATAACAAACCTAGATGAGCTGGCATGTTTGGAGCTGGAGGATTTTAAATGCGAAGAGGAGGAGGAAGAGTTCGACTTATGCTTTTTACTGTGCGACGACGATCGAGCCTCCTCACGGTCGCGGCGACTGTGTTGAAATAGTTTCAAATGGGGGAGAACGATTGATATAGATAAAACAAAGGAGATCTTGTCTACGGTGGTCGATCGGATCGGTTCTCATACCTGTGCTTGGAACTTTTGCCGTGCTTCTTGGACTCGAATTTCCCGTTGCGTGGTTTGTCGTCGGTGGCATAATCATGGTTGCGGTCTTCTTCGGCAGCCTCGCGCTCCAGATCGGACCAGTCCTTTCCGGATTCCTCATCAGAGCCAAGGTCCTCTGTGAATGTTGATAAAAACATATTATTAACTTGTGTAATGCACGGGTTTCCAGAGCATTATACCATCGCTTTCTTCGCTGTCTTCTGATGCCTCTGAGTACTCGGAATCTTCGTCCGACTCATCATCTGATTCAGCATCTGTGGGATTGTAGGCCTCATCCTCCTCGGACTCGGCGGTTTCGTTCTCGCCTTCACTGCCCGATTCGGGGTCCAAGAAAGTCCAGCCGCCTTGATCGAAGAATCCCTCAGGATCGTCTGTGATGGTCTTCATGATCTTTTGCCAGTTTAGAGACTGTACACCCTCCGAATAACGAATGTCACAGGAGCTAAAGGAATACGCAATAGTAAGAACCCAATTTATAGATACAAAATATATAAACTTACTTGAGCCATTCCTTGACGTGATCCAGCATGTTCATGGGAATGGCGTTCACCATGGCCACCTTTTTGTTGTACTCCTTGAACACAAATATCATGTCGAAATTGCGCAAATGGAACTGTACGCGCTCAAAGTGTACCAGTTCCACGTCGTCCAGTGTGATCACGAATGGCGGCCATTCGGTGAGATTGACCAGGGAGCCCGAGGTGGGTTGCAGCGTCACCGTGCTGCGGAAGGGTGCTCCGGGGAAGCCCAACTCACGGAACGGTGTGTCGAACTCCACCACCGATTTAGTCATAGTTTCCACCTTCTCGCAGAAACTCTTAAAGGCCGTTTTTAGCTTGTGGCGCAGCTCTCGTTCTGCCTGCTCAGCAGCCAAATCGTCGCGGTCGTGCATGTGCTGGTGCTTGCCCAGATCCGTGGTGATCTCTCCTACCTCCGTATAGAACTGAACGTCCACATGTTTCTTCTTACCAAACATGATGGCGTACTTCAAATGGAAATGCAGAAGGATAATCATTTCGCCGTCACAGGGCTGGAAAAATGCGCTCTTGATGTTGTTGTACAGGATGTCCACTTTGTCGCCGCGTACGGAGATGTAGCGGAATCCGTTAGTGTGTGCCTCCAGACTGCCCGTCATGCGTTTGGTCACTATGTTGGGCCGAATGTAAAGATCCTTCAGCTTGGGATTGCCCTTGTTCTGGGACAAAATTAGGGTGTCCTGCTTCACAAGATCCTCTTTTTCGCGCTCCTCTGCCTCGCGGGTCTTGAATCGCTTCTGCACCTCCTTGATCAATCGGAAGGCGTTGTTCAGATTCGCAGATGGAGCGCCAACTTCACCGTGTTCTTTGACATTGGAGCTGCGGTAGGTGCTGAACATAGAAAGCTATTTTTAGTTTTTAGTTACTGGGGACAAAAGATAATACTCACACTTCTTTGACGAACGTGGCCTCTGGCTGAGGATATAGTCCACCTTCGTTGCGACCCATCGTGGCACCGGGATGGAAGAAGTTGATTCGCAAGTACGTGTACTCGCCTTCCACCGACTGCGAGATGTTCTTAATGGTCGATATGTGGAACGGCACCTGGATACCGAATACAGGCATAATGACGGTCTCATACTTCTTGTCCACGTAAAGTTTTAGGTCCTTGACCTCTGGCTCGCGTGGCATTTGGCTAATAGACTTGTAGGAGACTGTATTCTTGCGGACTTTCTCCACCTCCTTGGAATTACCCTGCTTGGCCAGACGATCTTTAGCCCGCTCGTTCAGCTGTTGGGCCAGCTCGCGCTGGTGCTCCTTGCGCTTCTCCTCCGTGTTGATCTCGTTTCGAAGCTTCGACTCTAGCACCGCATTCCGCTTGCTTCGCCCCAGAATCTCGGTTCCTTGATCTTCCTTGGTGGTCTTTTTGTCATCTACATCCTCTTCGTCACTGTCGTCCTTGATGAAGATGCCTACGTTCTTTATCTTCTTCTTGGACGGAGTCATCAAAGTGGCTGGGGATTGCTCGCCAACAAGGACAGTGTCCCCAATAAAGAGAGCATAGTTTTTACCCTCTTTGTCGGTGGCATCGGGATTGGTCAAATTCGAGATGCCCACATGAAGATTAAAGACCATATTTTTCTTAAGTAAAGCCTGGCATTTGGGCCCAATGACAATGGAGTTCTCCCGGAATTCCAATCCCATAGCGAAGCCGAAGCTCTTGGGCAAGTTATCCACCATACTGGGTTTCTCCTTCTTGACGTAGTCAAGCGTCTTTTCGTAGACCTCGCACAATTTGGTGCCCGGTACCAGTAGCTTGAGGATCTCCTCCTGCACACTCACCAAAAATGTGTAGTTCTCCTGCATAGCTTCGGTGGGATTAACCAGGAAGGTTCGAGAAATATTTGAGCAGTACGACTTATATCGGGCTCCCAGAGAGCAAACGATCACGCCGAAATGTAGAGGATTCTTATCCGCCACAGCGGAAAACTTCAGACTGTAAGCTCCTCCCGATTGAATGATCGGTGGATAGGCCATGTCGAGAAGTCTAGGATCCAGACCACTGGTGTACTTCTTCTCACCGATGGCCGACTCGCAGCCATCAGAGAGCTTGTTGTGCTTGACTTTCTGTGGGTTTAATGTTATACTTGAATAGGGAGATGCCAGACAATATAACTATAGCCCAAACTCACCCTATCCGAATCGATAATATCCATTATCTCATCTTTCAAATACTTGTTGAAAATTTCCATGGACACTAGCGATGCCTTGCGGATATTGTTGATCTCCGACTCATCTTTGGGGCACATAAGGTAGGCTATTATAGTGCTGATGTCTACATGTTCAAACTTGGAGGCCGTTAGGGATTTTTTCCAGGCCTCGCTGAATTCTCCAGGATATGCATCCTTGGTAAAGACGCCCAGTCGTTTGCCCTTTTTGGAGTTTTGCAGTGCTTTGATGAGTTTCTCAAAGTTTCCCTGATCTTTGTCCGTCTTTTGATGGATTAATAAGAGAGATTAGAAGAGTTTTGAGCTGAAGGATGCCTTGCCACTCACCCGATCCCTCACTAGGAGCTTAACCTCCGGAAATCCCTCTTCCGTAATGTTTTGTGTTTGTTTCAGAAACTCTATTTTCTTTTTGCTGGTGAGGAAGTATATGGCATCTGAGGCAAACACGGAGATGGTGTCCGTCAGCTCGTAGCCCAGAAGCCAGAGCTGCAGTGCCATGGACTTAGAGTAAAGCACATCCTCCTCGACACCGACGACGCTCATAATGCAGTCCAGATTGCTGAGGGCATCATCGTGTCCGATGCTGGGTGCCTTTAGAAAACAAAGAAATTGAGATCACTTTGGTCCAAAGCATTTTTCCCGCCTAATGGAGTAAGATTTCGTGGTCTATATGTACTTAATTTCACCACATTTACTAATGCCCCACTATCTCTGTCCCCAAGTAGAGACTCCACATGCTTGCCGGGGCTCCTGCAGGCACAAAAGCCGGAGATTGCCGACCGGCGGACGGACTCACCTTCCATTCCGTGTATAGGCGCTTTACGCGGCGTACAAACGCCTCCTTGTCCAGCACAAAGCTCGACATTTTGCTGTCGACTCTATGAAAATAATTGCGGTACCGCACGTATTAAACTGCGCTTTTAAATTAAAATTGCATTTGCAAATTCCGCCGGATGAAAAAATTGCGCGGCGCGACGAGATGAAGAAGAAGAATCAGCGTCAGCGTGAGCTAGAGGTGGAATGCGAATATCGATGTGTCGATAGCTGATTGAATAAGCAAAGCAACCTTGTTTGACAATCCATTTCGGGGATTACACAGCACTAAAAGTAAGGGCGCATTTCCAAAACTGAATTCAATTTAACCGCCAAATTTTCATAGTTCCGTCTGTTGTTAAGTATTACAATTCGAACAGATTTTTTAGAGATTTCAAAGAAAGACAGGTTCGTTTAAATATAGTTAAGTTTATTATTGTTTTCCTTCAGTATTATCAACATTTGCAATTACGTACTGTGACGGCTAATATGTGAGTTCGTTGAACTTGATTCATTGGTTTTTAGCAAAGTCTAAGAGTTCAGAGCTGGGTTAATTTTTTGTGCCCGCCGGACTTTCGGCCTCATCCGGCAGGGCCACCTGCAGATACTCCTGTATGTCATAATCAAACAGCTCAAAGTCGTATCTGTGGGTGAAAAAATGAATTTAAAATATATTTTCTAAACTTAATACTACCTACTTGTAATACTCGTAAAGCTCCAGCATTTCCTGACGGGTCAGCTGAGCGTAAAACTGCTGCTGGAGCTCGTGCGTTTTGCGGCCCTTGCCCATGTTACGCCACACGGGCGCTATAACCCGCTTCAGGCCAGTCTTTTCGATTAGATATAATTGATCCTCCGCCAGCGACTCGAACTTCAGTATCATGTCGAACCGGATGAGGCAGGGTGTGCAGAAGGAGGTGGCGGCCACGAAGTGCATGTCGATGAAGCTGCCGCGCTTCACCTGGTCGAGCAGCCAGTGCACAAACTCCGGGAACGAGGGGAACTTCGTGTTGGCCGCCCGAGCAGCCAACGAGGGCTTATTATGAAAATATAATAAATATGATATATTCTTAGTTTAAATTTAAAAAAGTCTATTCAAAAACTTACCTTCTTGCGATAATTGCGCACAATACTCCGTCCCAACTTATCGTGGAAGGAGTAGGGAAGGGCAAACACCATCTTGTCCCGATAAGCACTTAACAGCCGCTCGAAGGGATCGCGTGCGATGATGAAGGTCAGCGAGTAGTTCTGTGCCTCACGCAGCTGTCACCCAAAAAGGAACCAAATTAAATTGTAATTCGATAGGAAACGGTAAGCAATCCATTGACACCCACCTCGTCGAGGGTCACCCGGGGATAACGCTCCCTGGCCAGATTGAGGAGAATCTTTTTCGTTTTGCGCAAATAGCTGGGTGAGTATCCGGCCAGGACATTGAAGTTGAACATCCAGGACGAAGATGCTGCCTTAAAGACATTGCACCTGCATAAAAGATAAAATTTTATATATTGGTAATCTACGGATTATTATTTAAATTAAAGGAAAATTGCTAAGTAGGACATCATTATTCGAAAGCTAAATATTTGTCTAACGAACTAAAATAGAATCGTTGAAAAGTGAATAAAGTTCACACCCACCAGATAATGTGATACTTTTTGTTGACCAAAAATTCCCACGTGTTTGGGGTGTGCCAGGAGTCGTGACCTGTAAGTAAGAGATGTACGATAGATAGGGAGAACCAAACCCAAAATGGAAGCCAAAGGACCCACCTAGGACATCCAGGCCGTAGGCGGAGCATTTGTCCTTCAGCCGCTCCCTGCGCTGGTCCATCCGCTGCTCCACCTGGAGCATTTCCTGCGGCGTAAGTGTCTGCACGGCATACTCGGGGATGAGGGGCAGGAGCGTCTGGTTGCTGTCCTGTGCGAAGGACAAACATGCAGAAAGGTGAGCCAAATTGAAACCCGGGACGCTAGCTCGATGGGAATGGGGGTAGAGAATGGGAGTGGGGTGCCCAAATGCCTGCCAATGCGACTCGCTAATGCGCAATCAATTTGGCTATCTGAATTTTATTTAGCCGCTCTGTTTACATCATTAATTATACGAGCCTGTGAGTTGAAGTGTTTGTTGTGTGTGTGGTGTGGCGTGGGGTGTTGTGTTTATGGTGTATGGTGTATGGTGTTTGTGCGGGTTACATATTTACTTTATCAACATAGCGCCACTTGTTCTTGGTCTTGCCCGTTGCCACGACGGTCAGGTCCTTGTTCTTGTTCTTGTTGAGCAGCAGCACCGGATACCGGACCACCGGGTACGGAAACTGGCCATGCTGCTGCGGCTGCTGCTGCTCCTGCTGCTGTTGCTGTTGCTGCTGCGGCTGCTGTGGCGACTGCTGCTGCACATTAAAGGCCTAGAAAATCAGTTGCAGTTGCTTTGTGGATAAGGATTTGGACTGGGTGTTTGCTATTTGGGTTAAGAGGCAGGCGGGGATGACGTGGCGTATGCGCAATTTACAAGCATTCGGTCTAGGTCCAAGGTCGCCGCCCCCGCACATTCTACATTTCACATTTCATATTCCACTGTTAAATCTCAATCTCAAGCCCAATCCCAATTAAAAGCCCAGACGCCAGTGTCAACTGTCATCTGGAAAATGGCCACATGAATCAAGTGGTTGCGGCTACTCTGCGGATGGGTTGGCGTCATCGTGGCAGGCACTTTGCATTTGATTCGCGTACGCTACCCACTTTGCAATACTGCCCTGTTTGACACACTATATGCTACATATATATATGAACACTTATACCCTTCGAGGGATAGAGACTTTCCCTTCGGGAGGAGGACGGAACTGGCACATGAATGCCTGGTTCAGATAAGATTGATTAATGGTCTTGGCCGGGCACTGGGACTGAATAAAGAATGTGATACTTCTGTAAATGTTTTGGCACTCTTGATGGCTTGTCTAAGCTTTTTGATGCTCTTAGCTTAATTGGTTTGTCCCAAGTTTATTTCTTTATGAATTTGACTTTAAGAGTTAAGGAATTTACAAGTAATTACAAAATTGTCAAAAGCTTTAATGTTAAAAGTATGAAGAGTATGTTATATATAAACAACTTTCTAGTAAAACAGGAAATAAACTTTGATGTTTTCTTAATTTAATATATGATAAATTCTTATTTCATTTTGCAAATATATGTAAAGCAAGAGTATTGAGTTCTCACATATTAAAATCTATCAAAATCTACTTATTTACGACTAAAGTGGCGCTATGAGCATGAAGTGAACTGTATGCTATTATGATGGCTAGGCTTTTAGGTTCTATTAGGGTGGACCACTCTCGGTACGAGTGTGGGTATGCGAGTGTGCCTGCAATTTGCTGTGCTTAATTATGCGTGTATGCCGAGCGAAACAAACAAAAAACACAACAGTTTACTGGGACACAACACGGCGTATGCGTGTCTTAATGTGCTTATATTATTTTTCGGTCCGAATAAGCATGTGTCATTTGGGTAATGTAATGCAAATTAGCAGTGGACAAGCGCATATTGATTGAGGTGCCAGCGGGCCGTGAATCGATATTCTCCGGCCCCCGTTGATGACTTTTTCATGATGCCACACGCAATTAAGTGTAATTTGTGCGAAAGTTTTCCTTTTTCGCAAGCCATTTGCCCAAGGCCGATGGACGGGCGCCCAAGAGTCTCTGGCGACCACGCAACAACGATTTCCCAGCCGTCGACACTTGAAAATGTGATACTTTTACATACTCAATGCAACAAATGGCTCTAAAAGGGAGGGACAATATGTTTGAATTCCAAAACTTCTAAACCTCTTTTTGGCCCTATTAAAAGGGATTTTAACTCCATAGATGGTGTAACCCCGATTTGTGAACTGAAAAATCGGGGTTACACCATCAGTTTCTGGGCGTATGACTGTTGAATTAACCTTAATAATTTGTATTAATTTAAAAGTTTATTATTTTCCAATTAAAATTGCAAATAGAAAGCATTAAAAATATATTATAAATCTCAAAAGCTTTTATTTGCAAATTTTTCTTTGTGTAATCGGCTTAGGCCACGCCAAAGGGTTGTCCGGGCCAAAAGAGGCGTGACCGGTGGGCGGTCGGCCAGCTTATGTGATTATAAGCCAAGAACGCTTTCCCTACGTCCACGTCCGTCTCCGCGTGTAAGTGTGTGTGTCTAACATGTGTGTGCAGTAGGTGTGACGCTGGAATATTCCGTCTTTATTTGGCATTTGCTCAATTTCAAGCACAAATAGGCGATAAAGTCAGCAAAAGCCCGCCGCTAATTTCGCATTAATTTGCACCCAATCAAGCGTACAGATAATACCCAGAAAGCCAGTTCAAATACTGCAGTACACGTTCAGTTCCCCGGTGAGAATTAAGGCGATAAACGTGCAGTTCCCAAGTGCGAAAAGCGAAACAATGAAATATGCTAAAATCTCTAAAGAACTTGGATAAATAAATAGCAGCGAGATGCTTTCGATTTTAGCCATTTATCGGGTATTAATAGCCATTGCTGCTAATTGGCGTGTATGTTTTTGTTCTCGGCTCTTTCCAAATGCCCTTCACAAAGTTTGTTTATAGAATTAGATGATTGTTCATTAGATGATTGCCAGCTGATAAGTTTGTTGATTTGGTTTCCAGTTTATGGTAATTCATTTTAATTGCTTTTTTTTGTTTCGATTTTGTTGGGTTTTGGTTTTTAGTTGCCTCCTACGATGGCCTGAAACCGAGTCAGGCAATCGATGGCCTGCAATTTGTTTGTTGTCAGGCGATGAGGGGTGGGCGGGGCAGGCGGTTGGGCGGCAACTACAAGCGACTATATCTACAGCGAAGTACACTCAGAAAAAATGACTAGCAAATTGGTTAAATGAATTTTTGTATTACGTTTTCAAGGCACTCAAATGTTATTAGATGGATTGATCAGTTATTATTATCTTCTATATTTCAATATAACCAATTGGATATCCATTTTCTTTCAGTGTACTTGTTCAAGCGATTTGTTCGGCAGATGTTTGCCGGGCACTCAAAGGGCTACGGAGGGGAGGTTCTACTACCGGGTCATGCTACCTATAGCACCCTGCTCCCACTGCCAAAACCACTCCCAGTGGCAACCCGGCATTGGCTCTTCGCCTCCACTCACCTCGAATCCTCGGATCTTCTGCAGCTGCTCGTTCCACACCAGGTAAACCAGGGAGAGGGGCAGGAGCAGCAGAGATACGGCCGTGAAGATGAGCAAATAGCGCCGGATGGCGCGACAGTTTGCCAGGCTCTTGCTCAATTTCATTTAAACTCGGATATAGCTGCATAGGAACTGATGCGGATTCTCCTCTTTGGCTCTTGCTTCTGCTCTGTATTGGTTTGATTCGACTTGGTTTTTGTTTTGGATTTGGATTGATTTTGGGCAGAGAAGCGAGTCTGCTATTGATAGTCGTGGGACATTTCCTGCTGCTACGCGGCCGCAAAGTTTGCCTGCAGTTGGCGACAGATTTTGTAAGTTCTCATCGCTGTTGACGTCGTGCTGGCTAAATTTAGTTTGCTGTGCTAAATGTTCTTAACCAAGAAACGAAAAAAAATGAAAGAACATAAACCAAAAGGAAAAAACAAGAGCGGAAACCAAAAATATATTGAGTGAGCTGGGCGGATGACAGTTTTTTCTTTATGGTCGAGTGGCTTTCGACCAAAATTGTGTCACTGCAGTTTGTCGAATATTTCTGGGCAAAACAATTGATTCGCTTCCGCTATTGTTCTACTGCTTTGTTGGTTTTTGGGGGTGTGCCTTTTGGGCCTTCTGCTTTTTGGCTGCAAGTCAGGAAGCGAGCAAAAGGAAGTCGTATATTGATTTTCTGCTCACTTCAAACTCCTTTCTCGGCAGTGCAACTTGAGGTATTGTTGAGTTTATGGAAAAAGCACCCCTACATAAATTACTTCACTCTTCGTTTTGTTTGGCTGCTAACTCTTTTCACTTTGTTTTCTTTTATTTCATTGTTTATTATGTTGTTAATTATCTGCCCTTTATGAAATGCATTCGTCTGTTTGTTTTTTCAGTCATTGTTCAGCTTATATTACCAGCAAGCTGTTGACTTTTCGTTTGTTTTTTATTTTTGTTATTGATTTTCTGCTCACTTCAAACTCCATTCTGTGGGCCTACTAAAGCAAAAACACCCTTAAACATTTCCCTGCTCTTCGTTTTGTCTGTTTATGTTTATAAAGTCTCGTTTTCATTTTGCCAGCTTTCGACTTTTTATTCGGCTGCCATTTCGCGTCTTTTCTGCTGACCTTAAACTTTTTATAAATAGTACATGCTAAGCACTTTCTATATACATTTTCATGTTTTTTTTTTTTTATTTTGTTATTGTTTATTTGGATCTGAACTTTATAGCACTTGGTTCTTTAAACATTCTGTTCCAAAATTGATTCCTCGTTTTTGTTTTACGAGTTTCATATTAAAAGAATAATTCAGCGATACAAAAATGATTTTTAAGCTATTTAGAAAGATTTTGGTAATTTGTTTTTCATATTTTAAGCAATTACAATTACTTCTAACACTGTTATGCACTTTTATCAGAGATGAAAAGCTTTATAAGCTATACATTTGGCTTTGTTTATGTTCACTTTCTCTGTTTCTTTTATTGTCTTCCTGCCTTTTAGGTCATCAAATAAATTGCTCAGCAATGTTTCTCTTTTTTGCATTTAATTGTTTTTTTTTATTAATTTTATACACACTGCAGCACACACCAAACTTGGCAAACAAATGCTAAGTGCGGGGCGTAAGAGGCGTATACGTAACGTGCTGTCAATTGCCGTGCTTTATGTGGCCTCTCTCTTCCTCTCTTGTTCCACCCTGTCCCGCTCTCGTTCACTCTTTTCACAACAATAAATAACAACAAATACGGGATGAGATGAGCCTCCGTTAATGGAGGGCAAAATACTATTTGTTGTTATTCAATTGTTTGCCAATTGAAGAAAAGCGCGCAATCAATATCAATTCGCCAGGCGTGCTTTGATAAATTTTTTGTATTTTTTGTTAGGTTTGGGGGAGGGGGTTTGTTAGGAGAACACAACAAACACTAACCGTTAGCGTCATCACCGCACAACGCACATTTCACGAGTGAAATCAAAATCAAATGCGAAATGAGCACAAACGGCGGACAGCGACGTTGGCTGCGCGGCAGCAGCGCAGTTTCAGTTTTCGGTTTCATTTCGCCAGTCCTCATGCTCTCTTCCTTCTCCTTTTTGTTTGCCATTCCTCAGCTCCTTGATTCCTTGATTCCTCCTTGAGCAGAGTTTACCTGTGTGTTTGTTGCTATTTTTGGGTGGCCTTTCTTGGGGGTGGTTGCTTTGCCACCTTTGATTTGTTTATCAACGGGCGGGGGCGGAAATTCCTCACAATTCTGGGTTAACGCAGCACAACAATTTTTGTTTATTGCTGAGCAAAAGCGCCGGTAACGGTAAACGAGAGAGCACAGAGAGAGCAAATGCAAAGAGAGTGCAGTAAGTGCGCAGTGAGAGAGCGGCATGCAAAAGGTTTGCGGCCAGGGTTGCGTGGGTGAATTGTAAAGTTTCGAAGCTAAAAATAGAACAGAAGCATTTCGATTTAAAATTTTTGAAAATGTTTGCTTTAAGGGCTCATTTTGACTTAAATTTTATTTTATAACATACTCTTAGGAGTACTAAGTAAATACAGACTATTGATATTGAGTGGCAAATACCTCAAAAATATATGTTTGATAGGTTATCCAAAAATAGCATGAGATGTATAATTTATTTTTATTTGCCTATGATCCCTTTTACTTCATTTTCTGTTAAAAATCTAATATCGTCAATTAAAATAAAAATGCCCCTCCATTCTTATCAGTTCATAGTCAACACAAAACTAGCTAATTTACAAGTTCCATTAAAAGATTAAATCCCTCCGTTATCATTTCCAAATATATATATTTTATAAAAATATGCCTCAGTTTTATATTATGTTAATATATCAAAGTTGGTATAAAAATTTGCTATTTGAAAAGCCCCCTTGAGAGGTAGTAAGTAAATGCAAATGTGGAAGGTCTTCGTCACAATTTGATTAACTCTCAGTACTTGATAAGGGAATGTACTTTTCCATCCAGCTTCTTGCGACCCTCCAGGCCAACTAGTTCTATGACCACCAAGCTTTCCACGACAATGCCACCTACTTTGCGAATAAGTTCGGACGCAGCAAATAAGGAACCACCTGTGGCTAGGAGATCATCTACGATTACCACCTTCTGGCCTGGCTGAATGGCGGATCGTTGCAGTTCAAAGGTGTCCTGGAAAAGAAAAATGTATCTTAATAAGATAATTTCAATATATTATAAGACATGTACTCCGTGATATATCATAAAGTAAGTTATAAGATGTTTCTAAGTGCTTAAAATATATTAAACGGTACTTACACTACCGTACTCGAGTTTGTATTCCACGGACACCACTTCTCCCGCCAGTTTGCCCTTCTTTCGAATCGGAGCACATCCCACACCCAACTCAGTGGCTATGAGAAGATTGAAGAGGAATCCCCGTGAGTCCAGTCCCACGATAATCTCTGCCTCTGGAACGCTTTCCCGGATGTGTTCCACGAGCAAATCCCTTAAGTAAACACAGGCCTTGGCATCGGTCAGGGCTCCGAAAATGTCGCTGATGTTGTACATGGAAACAATGGGTTCTACACATTAACAACCTGATAAGAGCTCGTTTGTTTGCCCATAAATATCATTGCAGCACCATTAGTGCCCCAATCAGATAACCTCGTGCGATGGCAGCTCACCGGAATAGAATGCCCTCCTTCGGAAAGTTCGGATACTCGCCAATCTTGGACTTCACGTAGTTTAGTTTCTCTTCCGCACTGATTGAGCTCATCTTTTTGGTTCTGTTTTATTTGTTAACTTATTTATAGGGGAAATTTACAGAGGTAAATGATTTAAGAACTACGTGAGTGCGTGCCCAACTGTGGATTGATTGAAGGGAACAGCTGATAAGTCAGCTGCTATCGCGGGAGGTGGTTGCTATAGATGGGAGATACTCACCACGGCACACGACAGTGTGTTGAGTTTGTTGGGCGGGCGATTTAAAATTTAAGTGGATAAGGAATTAAAGTGTTTATTTTAATAATGAATAAGAAGAAAGAGGGCATTTATTAAAAAGAGAGGTTGAAAAGGAAATATGTAAAACTTCAATGACTCAAATTGTTTCCGAAATATTTTTAATACAAATTTTTGAAGAATCTTTTTTTATAATGAAAATGAAATCCTTTTAAATAGCAATGGTAAATTAGATAAAACATGATATGACAGTGTTCCTTTTCCTTTAAGAAGTTAGGAACTACCTAATTTCCTTTCCCTTGATCAATCCGCATTGTTCCATGTTTGTTGTCACCTTTATCTCTGAGTTCTGATATCTCACACATGCTGGTTAGTTATTTCCAAACCAAACATTTGTATTAGCATTTCTTGCACAAAGAAAGCATTTCGAAGAATTCAGCAAACATCCTGCAGGTAGCAAAGAAAACCTCCCCCGAATTTTTACCGCCTCGCTGAGTTTTCCACTAGATCTCAATGCTATCTAAACGATAAGTGGAGAAATCTCAGCAATTCTTCGAGGGAAAGACAGTCATTGCTGCATTATTTATCAAGCAAAATGATTGAAAAGAAATGCCAACTATTTTCGCTGCACTTATCAAAGGCGGGCCAAGATCGGGAACTCTCACCTGGACTTCTCTCTTTTCTTTATCTCTCTTTCTCCCACTCGCACACACACATACTTAAAGACTCAGGTGAACTACAGGTAAGCCCAGGTTTATGTGAGTATCTATGTGGCTGTATGTTAGACTCCCAATGCCAAGAAATATTCAGTTCGTTTCTTAGCGCCGAACGCGACGGTTCAGTTTTAGCGGTTTCTTCCGAAGAAGCGGATCGAATTCTCAGCCCGCGAATTTTTCAATAATTAATGCAAACTCGCGAACAATAGTAGTAAATTAAAATAGCAACAATAATCAACACCCAAGTCCAGTTAAAACCGAAACCTGTTCTCGTTCGACGTAAGCCAAATAACGTATGGAAAAGCAAGAGTTTGCAAATCCTCAAATTAAATTCGATCTTAACGGCAAAAGTAAATGTCAGCCGACAAAACTGCGCCCCGTTTTTGCCATTTAAAAAGTCGGAAAACGACTATAAAGCCAGCCATAAGCAACAACCATATTGCAGTTACAACAATAACAACTGAAACAACAAAGTTCAAACAACATAAAAACGTGAAAACCTACAAAAAATGATTATATACATATATATGCAACATTAGACTCAAATTCACATTCACATTCGCACACATGCAGCCAAACCCCTAAAAAAATATTGCCCCTTTAGGTAATGAAAGAAAAGCAAGATTAAGGAACAGTTTAAATATAAATTTTTTATAAAAAAAGGAGTTTCAATTTTTTAAATATTTAAGTTATGTTAGCTAACTATTAACAGACCCTTAATCTATTTAAAATTAAGGGAGTTTTTTTCACTGTACTCAGACACACATACCTATATATCTTGGCAATGTGAAGACGTGCGTACTAAAACTGCAACAGCAGCAACAACAACTGCTGCAACTGCAACTGCAACAACAACAACTGCTGCAGCGGCAGAAACCGCGCGCCCGAGTAACGTGAAAAACCAGAAAGAGGCACAGTTTTTTTTTTTGTTTTTCTGTTGGGTTTTGTTTTTATATTTTTCTTTTTTGAGGCAAACGAGCATCTCGACTGAAACTTCTGCGGCTGCGCGGTGGCGGCCTTCGTAGTGAAGGGCATGGAAATAGGGCGCTTGGAAAACTGAAAAAAAGGGAAATTTATGGCCGAACTTTGGAGGATTTATTGTATTACTTTGGAAACTTCAATAAGGGAAAATCAGTTGAAATTTATGAAAAATACAAAGAAAAGTGTTTTATACCTCTATATACCTTATGGTATGCTTTAATTCTAGCGTTTAATTCTAGAGGAACTTGTTCAATATAGACTATTCATCCAAAAGACTTTTTAATGAAAAGGAATTTAAGGGATTTATTTATTAAATAATAAGTCGGATTCTTTCGAAAATCCCCCTAAATTAGCCAGCAGAACCTTTAGCCGCTCCTGACTTTCGTAGGCCAAAGCTGAGTGAAGAATCTCGGAGTGAGTTACTATTATGCATAGACCCCCATTGTAGTTGTGGGCCCGTTCATCGTGCTGGCTCTTGGTATGCGCGAATGTTTGCTAACATCCAAATCGTGATCTAATAAAAAACGTAGAAAAACAGAGACACATACCTCAGGCCCACGAGCGAGTGAATGAGTGAGCGGACCAGCTTCGGATGGGATCGGGTCGGATGGGAGACTCTTCAAAGGGGCCGTGTGGTGGATGTGGATGCCACCAACTTTCGCAAAAAAAAAGTAAACTCAAAAAAAGCGGGCTTCTCCCAATATGGATGGCAGCTGTTAAGGCTGTCAATACGTTGAGTAACTGACCGCAAAAAAAGTAAAGTTTCGCCGGTTCTCCTGGTCTTCCAACCCGTTCCGTTCCGTTTTGTGGTTCTCAAAAGGTGGACAAAATAAAAAAGAAATCGTCTGTTCGGAACAAAATATATTCAGAAACGATTGTTGTATCAAAAAAATAACAAAAAGCGTACCCGAAAGAAATGGTCAGAAGCGAAAAAATTCGAAATAAAAACATGGAACAAGAGCCACTTTTAACGCCATTTCCGCATAATTCTGAAATGTAGGAACCAGTTTCCATGGTGGTGGTTGAAATTTAGCAACTTTTTTGAGAAACTACGAACGTGTTAATCAAGCCACTGGCACCAGTGTCTTCAACGTGTTTTAGGTTCCACTTTGTTGGCCAAACAAACCATAACAAGCTGGTTACATATGCGTTTCCCTGATCGCCAAGCGGAACAATGAGAGATTTTCCCCCGCTTAGCCAAAACGGAGAAAAGCTGAAAATGTGAAAATTAATTACAAGTGTGTGGCCAATTGGTCGGTGTTTTATATTTTTGTTAGTCTCTCGAGGTGAGGGAACCCCCATTTCAAAGCCAAAAGCCGCTCCAGACACGGGGTACTCACCTCTCGGTCGTCTGTGCCTAATGTGAAATTTATGTTTATGAAGTAGAAAGTCATCTGAGGCTCTGGGAGATGGAATGACCAATGTTGGTAATTGGTAGTGGAAGAGAAAAGAAAGCCAATCTCAGTTTGGAGTGCAGTTTTCGCAACTGCAACTGCAACTGCATTTCTCAGTTAGCCGCTAGCCATGTTTAAGGTATTGCCATTACCCAACTGACCTTATTTCGTCGCTCATACGAGTATCTGCAGTCTTGGCTAAAAAGTCGCCGTAATTGCTGAGATAGCAGTTCACCCATGGCAGTTAATTTCAGTTTGTTTCTTTTTTGGATATTTATTGCAGTGCACAGGAAACAATACCGTGTTATGATATGGCAGTCGAAGTAAAGCTTAATCAGCTGACTTTACATTTTGTATATAATTTTAATATTTCTGTATCTTAATTTGAAGCTACTACCTTGGAATAACAAATGCAAGTATTTGTAGGTCAAAAGAAAACAAGAAAAATAAGTAACTTATGATAATATATGACTACTTAGGAAACTTCAGTTTTCTTAGGACTTTTGAGCTTTGTTACTGCAACTTTATTTGCTGGTATTTTCTATATATATATATACAAACATAATGTACCCATCTCTAATCTCGATCCCTTTGTTCCGAAATATTTCTTGCTGTGCAAGTGAAACTCGTCCAAAAAGTGGGAACACTCCGCCGCCGGCCGGTGAGCGGATGTAACCCAAGTCGGGCCAGACTCCACCGATTGTGCTGCGTCATACGAACGGTTGGAAGGCTCTCCGTTGGTCACTTTCTTTTTGGTCACGTTCGAATCCGAAAAACCATCAGAGCAGTTAAGTCTTACACGCCCAACAACCACTGTAAAACCAACTGCAAATTACGAATTACACCACAGAAAACTCCAACGGTGATAAAGGAAGTTATTAGACGTCTGCGGTTAGTCTGTCTGGTCCACTGTAATTTTCCCGAGACTCGCTTTTCAGGCTCTCGATGAGTCATATACAAGATTTTCCATCGATTTGAATTGTTAAAGCCATGTTATCACGTGCCGGCAGGAAAGTTTTCTTTATGTTACTGGGTTGGGCTAGCTTGTTTGTTTATTCTTCTGGCCCGACTCTCTCTTTTGTTGTTAGCATTGTTGTGTTAATCGATTCCACTTTTGCCTTGGACTTCAACATCCAACAGCCATCAGACAACTTCCAACTCCCATAATTGAGTCTTATTCTCTTTGTTTGCCATAGCTTTAATTCACCTTAATGAATCAATCTTGACCAGATTCCTTTTGTTGTACTTCTCACGGGCCTTTGGATTTCGTCTGTTTTGTGTTACAGTTTCCTCGGTTTCAACATAAAAATAAATATGATAAATTAAGCGTGAGCAAGGCTGGGAAATCTTGATGGAAGCCCAGACAAAGCTAATGAAATTGCACTTTAGCAGCAAATTTTTCTTGTCTTTCGATAAAAATTTGAGCGAATCGGAAACAAGTTTATTGATCGCAAGCCAGTTTGGGCCATGAATCATGGCTAAAATTAGGCAGTCAAGACACACAGATTTTGCATAATGGCTCTTTCCCTTTGACATAGAATTAGTGGCAGATATGAGGCAATATTGGAAAGAGTCGTTAGCTTTTTGGCCAAATAATTGCTGATTTACATAAGCAAAACCAAAAATGTAGCCCCCAGCTATTTCTCTCTTTTTTCGCGATTATCATTCGCATTCGAATGTGTTTTGATTGAAGTGAAGGGGAAAACCTCATAAAAAACATGTTTAATGATTTGAAAATGTTTTTGAGTGGACACGACACATGCAGATGGATGGAAAGTTATTATTTACTAGACATATTTGTCCGCCTCTTGCATCAGAGTTCCCTGACTCAGATCCATTTATTTCAGCGAGGTCATCAAACTAAAAGCTGGCCAATTTAAGCAGCTTAAGTAAAAAGTCCCCACAAACCGATTTATGACCAACAAAAACGCAATTGTTTAAGTTGCCCTGGTTGTTGCTTTGGTTCCATCTTCCAATTATAGCCCACGAAGTTGGTCGCCAAACACTTAACCGCGCTCGATTCCACTCCATCCATTCACAGGCAAACAAAGCATTCCCCACTCTTTCTCGAAAATGGGAACGAAGATCGAGTACGTGGACACCACGCATCTGTACGCCTCCAAGTACATCCGCAACTCCAAAGCGATCGGCGTGCTGTGGGCCATCTTCACCATCTGCTATGCCATCATTGGCATCGTGGCATTCGTGACGCCAGGTGGGTTTATTCTTGATTTTATTTATTGGAAATGGTCTGGTAAATGATCTGTATTCTCTCATTCAACCCAGAGTGGATCGGTGATCCGGATAACGATGGAGCAGGTCGTTTGGGGCTGTGGCAGCAATGCCAGCGGGACGAGATCTTTGACAACTGCCGCCGACGATGGGAGAGCATCTTTGAAGTGCCCACATTCTCATTTCAGGTAAAAAAGTTAATATTTTTATATGTTATTTTAAAATATGTTAACAACTTATCAAGCACCTAAAACTTAAACTACTTGACATGTTCTTATTTGACAATTTTCTCACTTTTTTACTCATTTTCAGTTGGCCACATTCTTCATGCTGGCCGCCATAGCGCTGGCCTTGTTGACCATATTTTTCTTGGTTTGTTTGCTGTTTATGAAGTCAACGCGTGTTTTCCACCTTTGCGGTTGGATGCAAATTATATCAGGTATGCTGACCTATCTCCCACTCTATCTCTTGCCTTCAATAGTTAACAATATCGAAAACATCACGTTCTCGTGTATACAAACTGTTTCGATGTTTTCCTTTGTAGATAGTTTTTCGATTAGTTTTTTTATGAATAGTTATTTATTTATTCCAGCTATTTGTATGATTGTGGCCTGTGCGGCGTTTCCTTTTGGCTGGAACTCGGACGATTTCCGTAAGATCTGCGGCCCAGAAGCGAATCGCTTTGAGCTGGGCTTGTGTGGCATCCGCTGGGCTTATCCACTGGCCATAATCGGTTGCATAGATGGCGTGGTCTTGGCCACCTTGGCGTTTATCTTGGCCACGAGGCACGTGCGCCTGCAGCCAGATCCGATATATCAGAATTCTCTATACAAAGGTAAGCAATGCGATACCCCTCTTCCCATGAATACTTTATCTATAAATTGTTTGTTTTCCGCAGGTGAAATCAATAATGCGTACCTCACAGATGCCATTAGTTTGGCGGGTTCGAGGAAATCAAATCCACGGATTACTGGCTTGAATTTGCAGCCCATTCTGTTGGTGGCCCCGCCAAATGAGGATAGCATATCGCAGTTTTCTCGTTATCACTGAGGAAACCATTCAAACAGCCAGGACAACAACCAATCAAGCTTAGTACGCGCAAGAACCTGGGGTGAAACTCAGCTTCAAGTTTTTCCTAAAGAGTTTGAGTTGTACTTTTAACCGATTTTCGCCGCAGACTTAAGCTGGAATTATGAAATTGTGTGTATTTGTATGAAAGTCAAGGAGTGAATGATTTTGTATATGCCACTTTGCCCGACTGAATGCCAACTTGTAGTTGTAAGCTTGAACTCTAAACTTTAATTTAACATTTCGTGTGAATAGCTTGTGCCTAAGTATATGCGTCGATTAAGTTAAAAAATAGAAGAGCTACTCAAAAGCTCTGCCTGTAAATTATATACCCATAAACAATAAACATGTACAAATATTAAACATAAAATCAATGTTTATTTCGACCACAAATAGCCGCCTCAATTATGCCATCATCATCATCATCAAGGTCAGCAACTTTTGGACTAGGGAAAATTAAATTATGACCACCCCCCCTCCACACAGAAACCCATAACGGGCAACTTAGCGCCCAATTTGTTTGTCCTTAATCTGGATTCGGTTCTGCCTCCGCTCCCCCTTTCAATAACCATTTGGCACATACTTTTCCAATAAAGTATTTCCAACAGGGCCGGGGATTTCCTCCCCAATCCGTGGGAGGCAATTGAAATATCCCGGGCACAAAGATCCGTGGCAAGTGCAAGTGGCTCTCCGGGCACGTTTTAATATTCTTGTATAATTCATAAGCAATTCCATCACGGGCCTAAGTGGCCAACCAGCTGACGCCGAGCAAATCGCTCCAGATTCGACAGGGAATCCACCCTGAGTCCGGACTTCACTTCTTGGAATACCCTTTATGGGGTTGGTTATAACCAAAAATAAATATATTTTTGTTTTAAACTTATTACTTGTAGAAATTTAATTTAAAATACTAAATACTGAAAGTAAACCCAACCAAGGGAATTTCTTTAAAAATGATAGTCTGCTTTTAGGCACTTGTCCAGAGCATTCAAAACTTCGGTTTGGGCCAAGCCGTCAAACTTTGATTGTTTTTATTTACTTGAGCCATTTCTTTTGCCATCTTTTTGCCGCCTGCAACATATGGCTAAAATTTTTCCAATTGTACTCACGCATTTTCCAGACCACCCCTGAAAAGGAAACCCCACCCCAGCCCATTGGCAATGAAGATCTCGGGTATTTCTGTGTTGATTTTGATGTGCCAATTGTTTTTATTCGATTTTATGGAGCGCCATAAACGAATTTTTAACTTTTGTTGTCCTTGAGGTTTGGCGGCCATTTCATTGGGAATATTGGAGGACACAGGGAGTGGGACCTTTAAGGGTGGATATGTGTGGCTTACATTTATGACGCTTTTGGCAGCATATGTTGCCGGCGAATATTAGTTTATCACTCGCCATTTTATGGATTTCCAAGTGGCTGAGGCAAATTAGAGAAGCATATAAACTTTTTCATGGTTTATTCGTGGATATTTGGTATTATGATATCTGGCCACGCCCTCAGCCGCAGCATTCCGTTACAATCCTCCCAGGCAAATCCGAAGAAAATGTAACCCCCTTTTCGTGTACAAAGGAGGCGAAATGAATTGCGCCTTTAAGGTTTTCGTTTAAGTGAAATGTCAGCAACAGAAATTGAATCGAAAATTGTAAAATTGGTTTTGTATAAACATTTTTGCCAAATGAAATGAAAACGCTTTTCTTACGACTTGTGCCGCTCGGTGCTTGCTGCTTGCCGCTTGCCTCCTGCCTGCCATGAAATTTCATTCTTTTGATTCGTTTTCCACTTTTCCGTTTTCCTTGGCTCCAGAACAAACATTGCAAAACATCATATTTCTTGTGCCTGTTTTTTATTTCCGAAACAAAAGCCCAGTCAACTGGTCTAAACTAGCCACCCCCTCCGCCCTCTTTCTATGTCTTGTGTATAATTTATTGCTCATACGACCCGTGTGTGTGTTTCCTATTTGCAGGAAGGGAGAAGCGGAAAGTGGTTGGCTGTGTGGAATTGTGAAAACGTCAAAAGTGCGTCAATCAACAAAACCTTCAAGGCAACGCAATGCCACTCCTTCTGTTTATTTTCTAGTGCATTTTTGCAGAGCTCTGAGTTTTTTATTTACTTTGATTTATAAGAGTCGGGAATTGTTCTGCGAACTGCCAAAGCTTGGAGCTGGAGAATCTGCTGTTAACAAGCAGATTTATGCTTAAAGCCCGGATTTATGGGGCCCAAAGACATTTTTAAGAAATATGAGAGCTCAAGGGAATAGTAAAGCTTTAAAATCCAGAATTAAAAGACTTGCAACTTCTCATTTATATTACATAATTTCGTACATCCTCAGCCTAAACATTATTTAACAAATACATAGAATATAGTTAATGTCTACGACTAACTTAGAGTTAAGGCTATCGAAACTAGAAATGAGTGCTTGCATTTTTCACATTGTAATCATTGACTAGTGAACTATTTGTAGCATTCCATTGACAAAAATGTATACAAATTCATACGTCTATCTACAAGATACAAGTTACTAGCAAACCCGTTTGGCGTTGGTAGCAGCAAGATGGAAAATGATTGATTGCTTCGATGTGGAAACTGAGTAATGATAATGTTTATGCAGTGGCAAGAACGTCAAGTATATGCCACGATTTTGGCCAGAACGAAACTAAAATTAAATTAAACTCAAACACACACACTCTCGCAGACTCAGACTCATTCACACCTTAAGGATCTAGCTAACTCTATATCTGCATCTAAGCTACTATGACTCCTGACTGATTCCCGCGCTGAGGCTTTCGTCGATGATGGGCTGCGAGTCTTCCTCCTGATTGCCCTCCCCCAAACAGGTGGCAATAGGTCCATGTCGCAGCAAGGAGTAGCTGTCCCTATGATGAATGAGTAATCTGTGCTGCTGATGGGCTATAAAACTGCTGCCCCTCCTCAAGGACCTCCTGCCCATCTCGAGGATCTCCAGTGTGGGATCCTGGGCGAACACAAAGTTCTGATAGGCTCTTACAAAGCTGAATATGATGGCAAAGGCTCCGCCTAGGATCATCAGGTAGGATCCTATGGGCACGGCACTCGGAGCTATAACTGTGCCCAAATAAATCCAACGTTTGATGGCAGGTGTCAGCTCAGAGATGCCCTAAGATGTACAGAGTTTTATTGGCATTCAGGTGTGTTCTAAACCTTAGTGACTCACCTCTTCCAGCCACATGACCGGAAAGACAAAGTCTCGAAAATCACGCACTGGATAGACGTCCTTGGCACGCGTCACCTTTAGATTCAGCTGTATCCGCACTTTACCCTCCAGAGGTACTCCAAGTTTCTAAGTCAGAACCGAAAATAAATTAGAATTGCGGGCCAGAAGAGTAAACAAACTAATTAAAAATGTCATGTTTCTACGTTTAATACAGTTTTCAAGATGACTTTTGGATCTGTTTGGAAACTATAAGAACTGGAAACTCAAAACTCACCGGTTGTATTTTGAAGTACGTTTCGTGCCTCTCTCGTTCTGGCTTTAGCCCTTCAACAGAATTGAGAAGATCAGGGTGTGACTCGAAGAAGTGCGGATTAGAAATGTAAACAGGGGCGCCATATTGGCAGGGGCTGATATTCTGGAGACCCTGTATTGGCTCATACTCGCTGGTATCGTAGCACTTGTTCTCGGGATTGTGAGCGGAGTCTCCGTAGGAATTATTGGGCAACCTAAAAAGATCTGCTGCTATGCCATCCTTGACAACGCTCTCTGAATACTTCAGTGGGATAATCCTGCAGAGGTCCTTGTCGTAGATATGAACAGTCTCCGCTTTCGTAAGTTCTCGAGGTGGGAAGAAGGATCCCTCCGATCCCGCTATGCTTGTGCAGGGCGGTTCACTCCAGTGTGGCAGATGATCCATGCCATTCAGCTGGTCTATGTATCCAAACTGATCCATGCTATCCATGCCCGTCTTGACGGAGGACACCTCCGTGAGGGTGCCATTGCGACCCAGAAGCAGACCCATCCTCTCCATCGGTCTCATGTGCTTCGGATAAAACCTATGGGCCAGACTGACTAAGGCATCGTCATAGCCAAAGGCCAACTGCTCGGCAGTGACATTGATAAAGGGTTTGAACCCTGCAGCCGTGACCACCACGGATATGGTCTTGGACAGGAGATATCCCAGTTTCGGGCTGAGACTGGTGAGGGTCTAAATAGGAGAGGTGTTATACTAAAGATGTTTCTAATGTCTAGTTAAGTTTTAATCCTTACCAGCAACGGAATGTTGGGCGTGACTATGGGCGTGTCCTTATCAATACTCAGTTCAGGAACAAATTGCAGTATCTTCTTATGCTGATATGACACGGTGTAGTTATTCTCGTGAAACTTCACATTCACCTTCTGCATGTCTTCCCTGTAAAAGCAAAGAGAAATCGTAGTTCATCTTATCATTAATCGGCACGTGCTGCTGACTCGGTTTCGTGGTCCAAAGTCAGGGGCGGCCAGCAAAGAGCCAAAGCAATTGAATGTCAAGTTCAGCTTCGGTTTGGGCCAGAGAAAACACAAAACACAAAACAAAAAACAAGTCGAAAGCAACATAAAAAGTAACAGCGGATGACGGGCACTTTGGGCCTCGATTTGTCATTATGGCCACATTTTTAACTTATCATCGCCATGTGAGATTCCTAGGCTAATTTGTATAAAAACTTGTGATCCGATGATTGATTAGTTTGAACCGAACCCTCTCAGGTTATCCTTCATTTAAACGGGTTCACCGATAGTCTATAGAGAGGCCTATCATTAAAAATTGCATTACATTTGCACGAGCTCTAGATGTTGCAATCTCAATCAGCGGAAACTCGCCTTCAAGAGTGCCCCGGGCTGTGAGCTCATGGTTTAATTGGCCAACTAATTGCACGGCGGCTCACGGCTGTTGGCCATCTTGATTGGGTGTTAAAATCCGAAGAGATAATTCAATTGTTTGCACAGCGCTTGGGCTTATGGTCAAGCTTAGTTTAATCTGATTTTAATAAGCTAATGCTGGTTAAGTGATTAATAATGTTAAGAGATAATACAGGCATTTAAGTACTCCTTAAAACTTACTTTAAATAACTTGTATTAGCAATAGTTTCTGCTAACTTTTTAACTATAATTACCTTCCAGTTAACAGTAAAATACTGAATTCACATTCTTTATGTAACAGAAAGAAATCAGAAATCAGATATCATTTCCAAAGCCCCTAATTATCCCTTCTAGAAGTTCAATAAGTTAACCATTGACCGTTTCCGTAGCTAATATTTTTAGCCACTTGAATTGCTGTTAGCTACTTGCGATTCTAATTACAGGCATTAAGACTTCAACTTCCCAACAAGCCATGACCAATGGGAGTGCTGTGCTAAAGCCACCGTGCAAATTTATCTATGCACAAAGGTTTCCCAGCTTAGGTGTCAGAAAAGGCGTAGCGGATTTTTCAATTGCCATGATTTATGGCCAAAATGCTGCTACTAGTGGGCTTACCTGTAGACAAAAGGACCGACTTCTTGGAGGTGGGGCTTCTCCCCTCGCAGGAAGCCATCTGGATTGGTCACATTGTAGATGTAGAGCTTGGTCAGTCGGATGACTCCAGGCCTTTGCCAATAATGATAGCTCAGCGTATCATTCCACAGCCTTAAGTTCTGTAAGTACAGATTTTATTATGTATATTTTAATTTAATTTTTAAGGGGCAACCCACCTTTAGTATAAAATAATCCAGCCAGGGCATGGATGATAAAATTATGCCTAAGGTTAAAGTAATTATTCCAATAATTATCACAGCTAGTCTATCTGGAAGAATAAAAGAAGAGTTTAAATATTAATATTTGATTAAGAAATATGAGATGAAGCTAGCCAACTTATCTTATAAACATTACCTAACACTTAGAGAAGGAGATCTTAGAAAGCAAAGCTAAACTCTCAAATTATTTTACACAATTTTGTCGGCTGAAATATTACGAACATTTCCCCCACTGCGGGATTTAATACTCCACTTTTAATGCCAGTTTTTATATGGAATTTCGTAAGGTAAATAAAACGAAATTATTTGCGAATTTCACGGTGCAATTTCACGGATGTCACATGCAATTACAGTGGTCAACACTCGGGTTTGCCATCTCGCGGGGGCAGTCAATCGCGATCTTGGCCGACTTATCGCCAGCGGACGAACGAGCATATGACAGCTGCCAAAATTTACGATCCTCTCTTATCACTAATTGAAACTTAATCTCGACCGATGCAATGTTAATTGGCCCATGCACTTAGTCTCTGGACATTGGACGTCCGCAGCATCAACATCAACATCAACATCACCTTGCTGGCATTTCCAGGCGGTGGGCGTGGTTAACAGCATCTGGGTTGACGAATCTGAATCCGAATCTGATGACTATAATGATAATGACTATGATGATGATGATGGGCATACAATGCCAACGGGTTCTGAGTATCTTTTCAGGGGTTTTTCTGCACTTGTGGCGATCAGTCAACGAACTGCTCGCCACGCCGATCAAGAAAAACTGTTTTCGCTATCAAGTTTCGCCGAAACGCCGCCGCCCCGAAAAAGTGCAAGGTGAAGCGATTTTGAAACAACATAAATTTCAATTTTATTTATTATTTATTATCTTTTGAAATGCATTTCGGCGCTGCTTCGATTTTTGCAGGTCACTAAGTCAAAAACTGCGACGTCAGCGATAAGGTCGAAAAAAAGGTGGAGATGGAAGAAGGCAGCTGGTTGGATGTAACTTGGAGATACCCTTTAGGGTATTTTGGATTTGAGATTTTATTGTTTAATAAATATGCTTTAAAGTGAAAGTATTTCTTTGTCTTAATCATTACTTAACACCGATTAAGTATATAATCTCTTTTAAATAAGAAAGAAAGAAGATCATAAATTGAAACAAGAAGACCATTTGATGATTATGAAACCTACTTGTAGGGCATAATAAAGCAGCAAGGGGCACAGAGATCTACATTGTGAGTGCCATAAATCAGATTGGAATTCATTAAACCCATATTGAAACTGGACGCGATAATTGCTGTCAAAATATTATTTTTTGCCAGGCAAAGTTCAGACGGCTTCTTTTTGGTGTTCCACTGACCCTGAGCAGCCCGGTGACCATAAACTCTGAGACCCAGAGAAAGTTACGCAAAAAAAAGGAGAGTCAAGTAAAAAAAGTGAAAAAGCCGAAAAAACGACGTCAAGTGTCATAAAACGAGGCACATAACATTTCGGAGACCAAGGTCAAGGGAAGACAGCGCCTCAACGGAAGGCTTTATTCGGTTGTTCAGTTTTCCTAAGCTATAATGTTACTGCAATCGAACGGCGATTGCAAATCGGGTTTCAGAGGAAGACAGAGAGAGATAGATATGGCCATATAGCCGTGGCGATATGGTCACTAAACATTTGGCACACAATTGATACGTCAGCGAGCCAAGACTGTTGACAATTATGCTGATCCCAAAGTAAGTTACTCACTGCTTACATTGTTGGGTTTTTTCTGTTTTTTTTTCGATGAATCTTTTTTGTTTTCATTTACCTGTTTATACGGGCGGTGAAGTTTTGAGTTACAAGAAAAGCAGAAGCTGTGTTAAGGGGGTTTACTAAGCTAAACTAATGCTTTTTAAAATATTTTGCTCGTTCGTTTTCTTAAGTAGATCATCATACATTGTTTGTTTTTTCCTGAGTAACTTTAAAAATCTTATTTACATTTTAAAAACGAGTATAGCTAACCCCCTTGCCATACGCCCCTGCTGAATTGGATTTGGCCACTGGTGTCATATGCTCGTTTCGACTGAAAATTACAGCTGAGCACGCGATATTCATATTTGCAAGCTTCTTGACTCGACAGCTATCCGAAAACCACGCACAGAGTTATTTCTTAAAAAATAGTTAAAACCACAATAATTGAGAAGCGAGAAAAACTTAAGAGCACTGCAATTGCCGTTGAGGTTTAAACAGCGTTTGGGTGAAACAATTTAAATGGCGAGTATTATTAGCTGGGAGGTCCAAGTTAACCATTTACTGGTTGGGAGGTCTCTACAGCCTGGTTTTTTATTTTCGGCTTAAGCTTGGCCCCAAAAATAGCAAAACAAAACACAGACGAAAAAGAATAAACTTAAGTTTCCCAATTGCCTGTTAAAATTAACGCTCACAATTACCGGCCGTAAAGCTGCAGCTGCTTCGCAGCTCTTGGCCAACAAAAAGCGGCGGCAAAAAGGCAACAAAGCGTGCTGGTCATATACCATTTCAATAGACAGTTTCTAGTCCCGCGTACACAATACTATGCTATATCCATTAACAATGCAGCTAAACAGTTGCAATGTCCGAGACAATCGAGTCGAGATTTCGCCCAAGAACGTGCCGCTGTAATAACAATAATCCAAGACCTGATCCGGCTGCCCTCACCTCCGCCTCTTATCTTTATGACCATGTAATCACTTTTGTTTAAGTAAATAATGGCAATTCCTTACGGTCCGAGTTCACTTCCTCGTACGCGTTACAATTTGCATCACGTGACCGCATCTCCTTTGCATCTTCTCTTCTGATGTGTGTACTGCAGATCCCTTAGTGGCTTAGCACTGCCCAATTAGCCGAAACAAAGGGCAATGGCTATGGGCATGTCCCACAAAAAAAAAGCACACTGCAACCGGTTTCTTGCCACCGGGACGTGCCTTCGCAGCAATTTTGCATTTAAGTTATCGCATCCCGGCCCTTAATTAAAGCATTTACAACTGATTTTCGGTGTGGATAAGGACCTGAATGGAGGGTATGTAAAAGGAGAAGCGCCGGCCGAAGGTTAGGAACTGGATCTGGAAAGTTTGCCCCGAGATGAAAGGGAAAAATTGTGAAGGCTCGTTGCGGAAATCCTGGGGAGAAACCCATAATGGAAAGTGAACTAGAATTTCAGCCCGACTGAGTCAGCTGAGAAATGAAAGAATGTTATTTTCTTATTGTTAGTACTCCAATCAATGTTTTACTGTTTAGAAAACTTAATATTTATTTTGGCTTCTGGTTGGCTGAATTCTGTGTCAACATCTTAAAAATTCCGACGCAGAGTAACCGAAGCTGCAGCACGATCTTGGCCAGGCCTTAATGCCAGCATCTGGTTATATAATCGCAAAGCACACTCACAGACGTGATTCGGTGTTGCCAAAGAGTCCGCTGCAGTCGGGAACTCTTCTTCTTCGGCTGAGCTGAGCTGAGCCACTTCAATCGCTGCAGCGACCACAACACCGCGCCTGTTTCTGTTTGAGCCGGCCAAACAAATGGCCAAAACCAAAAGCCCGCTTTTGCAGCCCCCCCACTTAAGACATGGAATTGGCCAAAAGCAACCTGCATGTGTTAATTTATGCTCACTCTCTCGATCCGGCATCCACGGCGGCTACTTGATTTCGTACTCGTGGCTGCGAGTCCACTCACTGTCGCTATCACTGGCCCCTTGAATCCACTCGGAACCCACTCGTTCACTCATTTAGCCTCAGTTACACAGGGAGAAATCATTTAATGGTCTTAAAACATAATACATACCTAATACTTAAGAAATAGGATAGATTAGTTAACAAATAGTTATACTCGTAGATTTACGGTTATAGATTCCAGCTCCGAGAAATTCATAGAAAATTATTGGAGTACCAAGCTCGATTGTTTTCTATGTGGTTATTTCGCCTCGCTCCCCTCTCTTAATGTCTTGTGCATTGATTTGGCAACATTTTCATATTTGCTTTGAATAAGCTAGTGGCTATTTGCTGGTATTGGTCTTCGCAGGTCCAAGTATCTGGCAGTTAGTAGTGCTAGTGCTAGTGTTGTTCGCCGCAGAGTTTTCAATTGCGAATTTTCGGTTTTTAATACAGCTTGTTGTTTGCCTGCTGCTGTTTGCCATGCTCAGGCATTGCAATAGAATTGCCCAAGCAAAATGTTAGAAAATCCGAGAGAAACCTGCTAGAGATCAGCCAGCTTCCTCAATAAAAGAAGTGGCCTAACAGCTACTCATCTTATCAGTTTTATCAGCTATAGTCATTATATATGCCAATAAAAAACTTAACTATTTCTGTCTTAAGTTCCCCACTCTAGTTGGCTATCCTTCTGCGATCAGCACGTCTCATAGAAGTACCCATAATTGCCCCTGGCCAAACAGCATCCCCTAGAAGTCCAATAGCAAGGCACTTGGCCAACATGGCAATAAAGCCAGGCCAATAGTCAAGTGCAAAGCGCTTAAAATATAATTCTATATAAGCGACAATCGAAAATCGAAAATGCCTCGAAAATCAAGTGAAACCAAAAACCAGAAAACACAAAAAAAAATCAGAAAAAAATAGAGAAAATCGAGAAACGTAAACAAACGGAGCCTGGGCGCAGTCTAAGCCAAGTTCAGTTAGCTGCCGTCCCTCTCTGGCAAATGTTCTTGGCCATGGTTACTGTTTGCTGGCTTGCTGTTTGCACACTTGGCTGCCTTCGAGCTGGCTTGGCTTGGCGAACTCGGCGTATACGCAATGTCGGCCATTGCAAAGAACGCTACAGTCTCCGCTTGAATTCGAATTCGAGTTCGTGTCTGTGTGTTTCCTTGATTTACATCTGCGCTTAGTTAGCTGCTTAGTTTAGCTGATTTCCACTTTTCGTTTTCAAGTCTGCCTTTAAATTGTTTTTTTTATATCATTTTTTTTTGGATTTTTATTGCCGCTTGGTTTTTTCTTTCGGCCAAAGACTCGTTTTTCAATTTTTCGGTTGCAGTTCTTGGATGACCAGTTTTGTATACAACATTTTGCGGTATTTTTCAGGCGGTTGCTAGTATGGGTATGGGCTTTGCTTTCAGCCAACGTAACAAGCCTCTGACCAATTTGGCAGTTGATATTGACTTTTAGTTAGCTAATTGAGCATTTAATAACATTTTTCCTTAGTTCGCTCTTTTGGTCGATTGTCAGAGGCGATAAGAACTTGAGGAGTTGTCAATCAAGGCAATTCCTTTTTGGGAAAGTTTGCCAAAAGTTGATAGATGATAGTTTGAAGAATAATTTGGCTAGAAGAGCTTGCTTAAAGAAGATAGACTTTAATGTTTTCAAGAATATTGTAGTATATCTAGATATTTTCATAAATCTTCCATAAATCTAATTGATGTCTTGCTTCATGCTGAAATAGAACAACTAATTGTTTTTCTTGTTTACACATCGCTGTTCATTATTCATTAGAAATATTCCATGCGGATGACTGGCATGTTTTGCGGTATAATTAAGTTGGTTGTACTTACTATTGCTAATCCTAACTCCATTTGATATCAGCATGGAGAGCGGCGTTCCCCTGTGTGTCACATGGGGGCGTGACCTCCGCCCTGTGGCAGTTGATCCCTGTAATGGCGGTGCATGTTGCTGCTGCTGCTGCTGCTGGGGAGGCTGTGTTTGCTGTTGCAGTTGCTGATGTTGCTGTTGTTGATGTTGCTGTCGTCGACCACGCCCACAGGTGGCCCAGTCAAGGAGGTGATCTCTAGCGGTGCGTCCATATCGCAGGTAATGTTTTTCCAAGCCCATAATTCAAGTCTATCGGTGATAGTGGCAATAAAAGCGGTTGAGGTGGATTAGTTCAACGGCAATAGGGGACAACAACATATTTATGGAAAGCAATTAAAACTTAATTAGCCTGCCGTGTGCCGTGTCGGTCAAGTACTTCCTGGGGTCGTTTCTCCAAGCTGTGAATATTTGTGAAGAATTTCTAGAACCTGACTTGAGTAGCCTTGGCATACTCCTCCAAAGATTTGGCTGTGATTAGCTGCATTTTCAAGCGGACCTACGGCAACCGCAATGAATCGTGCCATAAATTCAGTTTCAACAGTATAATAATACATGTTTTTATTAGCCCGGTGGCTGATAAATGTTCCATGGCGTAAATACATTTGTCACTCGGTACGTGAGTGCCGGGGAACCCTCTCCGCCGGCAGGTCGTTACCTGGAGCCACAGACAATATGCTAATTGGCCACCGACCACCGGTCACCGGCCACCGGCACAGTTTCATTTGCTTACTAATTGAAAATGCAGCAAAAATAAAATGGAATTTATCAGTGGGCCCCCAGGAAAACGTGAAGAGCTCCGTGAGGGATCTCATTGTATTAATCAGCCAAAGCGGAATTAAACTCAAGTCGATGCACGTGATCAATTGAAAGTCAATTGGAATCAGATCATATTCAAATCCAGAAGTCCTATTGATTTATGTTTTCATTATAAACTGTGTTTAAATTAAACTAAAAACAACTTATGCAAGATATTTGAACTAAACTGTTATGGAAATTTAAAATTTACTTTGGAACTTCTCCATAAATCCACTTGGTAAATGGCTTCATGCTAAAACTGTTCCACTAATTGTTTTTATGTGGCTTGTTAGTCCCTTATAGTTATTTTCACTCATTAGAAAAATGCTAATTAATGCAAATAACTAAAATAATAAAATGGAAATGATTAGAGAAGCCTGGGAAGCGTAGAGATCTTAGTCGCAGCCCAGGCACGTGACCACTAGTAAAGCTCACTAGCAGTGACACTTGGATTTTAATAGTGCAAAAACAGAAAAATTCCATGCAAAGTACGGAAAGCAAAACAAATGACTGAGGCAACGAACTTTGCATACCCGGACTTATGCTTGGAGTGGACTCTCTGGTCTCCAGTCTATATTTTGGTCGCTCCGAGTGTGAGCTCATAACCCATTTGGTCATTTACCAAGATTTTCATTTAAGCCGCATCTCAAGTGAGGGCAAATTATATTTAATTGACTTCTGACATAACTGAAATGTTAGTTAAACTGCTGTCACAATTGAGCGATTTTGGTTTATGAACAAAGTTGTGTAAAGGTGGACACAGAAAATAAAAACTAAAGACAACGTAAACAAAAATATTTAAACCCAATTAATGACATTTATATTTTGTACTTTGTCTTGCCTCTTTTTGCGTATCTCTTTTAATTGCAGCCAGATTGTAAACCGCTTTGGGCCGCAGAGGGGCTGCCTTAATTTGTGGCATTTTGGCAGGGCAAATACTTAGCCGTACGCTTAATGAGCATAAAATAATTAAGGCCGCATTTAATTTGCCAACTTGCCAGCTTCCCAAGGGTATCCAAAGGGAAAGGATGCGGAAGCGAGCGAGGTTCTGGATAACGACTTCATTCGAAGTTCAGCAGTCGGAAGTGGTTATTATTTATCATCTCGTGACACTCCTCCCCCATTAACCCCTTGTTGCACACTCCTTGGCCACAGTTCACGCCTCAACAGCCATCGCCAATCCATTAAGAAGTCCCCCTCCGCCCAACCAACTCGCCGATGAAGAAAAACACTAAATAAAGTGGTAAAAATCGAGGAGGGAGAAATATAAGAGTGAAACACGTTTTTACAATTTTGCTTATTGTGCTTATTGGCCACGGCTTGGTCACCTGGCTTCTTTGGCACATTATGCAATCTGAAAATGAGACACCAGCACAGTGGAACTCTGGACTGGATTGGCTTGGTTAGAAAATCATTAAAAAATAGCACAAGCATTTGCGTAAAGAAATTTCAAAATGCCAAATGCGAAATTTGATTGACCTAAATACGGTTTTATAATAGCCATATATCCCCGACCAGACCAGAGGTGTATAAGGCAACTGGATGTGTTGCAACTGCCTTATGCCTCATGCCACATGCCACTGGAGCACCATGTCCAGCTCCGCCAGCGAAGCTTTCTAACAGCTGACGACGACGATACCCAACCCGATTCCATAGCTATATATCTATTTGCTCAGTTCAGTCGCTCAGCCTCACTTTCGATTGCTGTTGCTGTTGCAGTTGCAGTTGCAGTCGAGGCAGCAAAAGCAGTGCCAGAAGTAGGTTGCTTGGCCAGCAGGCTACTAAGCCACTGAGCCGCTCCGTGTAAAGCGTTCGTTGGCATTTGCCGAAAATCTACCTTCCCGCTTGCACCTGTTGCATGTTGCTGCTGCTGCTTTTGTTGATGTTGCTGCTGCTCGCGTGCATTGCTAAGTGTGAGTCAAGAGCTGCGCCTTCTTTGGCGGGTATTGTGATAAATTCACTGGGAGGATATCAATTTCGGAAAAACCCACATTTTAGCTATGGTTTCATGAACTTTAAATGGGTAAACACATTAAGCAAGCATTGGCATTAGCTGGCGGGGATTCTGGAATAACCAGTTTGTTTTTCCTTTTCGTTAAGGAAAACTTTAATTAATTAGGTTTCAAGCTAAATAATCTGAATTAACAGCTTTTCCGATACATATCCGAAACATATCTTATGCAAATTTCAATGCAAATTCTGCCAGAAAAATACTATTAAATATTTTCTTAGTGCACTTCGTTTGCCTTCCCCACATATTACCACATATTGGCCCCTTAAGTGCCGTCGAGTGTATCTCAAGTTCGCTGCTTTCCTTGACTTGCTCGGCGATGTTGCCTCTTGCCAAACAGTAGCCACCAGCTGGAGTGGCTGTTGCTCCGCCTGGCTGTCTCCGATGTCTCATGTCGCTCCTCTGCACTTGTTTGTTTTGGTTTCTTGGCAGTGCAGTTGTGACTGCTGTTGTTGCCGCCGCTGCTGCTGCTGCTGCCGCTGCTGCTGCCAATTTAATAATTTCACACAGCCTCAGTTACAGGTTGGTGTGGACTTTTCGGTTTTTGCTCAGTAGTGCGAAGGTCACGCGCCACTTTTCTCTTTCCCGCATTCACATTTTGCCATGCAACAGGCCATCGCCATCCTCAGCTGCATTCGGTTACCAGTTTTTGGTCGGAGTGCGAGATTTCGGCCTGTTTTATGCATTTTTAATAAATTTCTGCTTAATTTTTGGCAGCCAACGCTTTATAATTTTATGGTCGTTATTATTTTTTTCTGTTTTTTGTTTCTTCTTTTTCTTGATCTTTTATTACATATATAAAATATCAATTTTTTGGAATCATCAGCTGCTGCGCTTCCTTTTCCTCCTTGGCCGGCGGGACTTGAATGGCTTCATAAGCCATGGCCAAGAGGCTGCGCCCACAAAAGGGCGAGCACATGGACAAGGGCCTGGCATTCCATAATTGGCATCTTTGGGAACGCGTTGATTGGCAAATTGTATGCAATTATTGAAACTGTGGGTTGCCTCTCTTCGTTCGATTTCACATGCGAAAGGTTCGTTCATCTTTTCCGCTGTTGACATTGAGACAAACATAAAAATCTTTACGGAAGTCTCCATCCGAACCAGAAGTGCTCTCTCATTTAGCTCTAATTGCAGCTTACATGCGGGGCAGGGCATTTATTTGGCTATGCCCCCATCAGCATAACGGCTACGTGCACAGGGGAAAAACTTGAGTGTGTTTTTAGAGCTCTAATGATTATAATTTAAGTTCAGGAAGGGTTTTGAGAAATTCGATTTTTAATGGTGAAGGGATCTCTAAAAATAGTTACTTTTATGCAATTTGTATTTTAAGTTTTTTGACTACGAGTGAATGTTCCTCTTTTATTATCCATTTTCAGCTTTTTCTTTCTGTGCGGGAGTTTTCCGCTTCGCAGCCCCACACTTTCCTTGGCGGGGAGTCTACTCCCTCGCAGTCTTAATATATTATGCCATCGTTTTGTTCAGCTCAATTAAGACACAACGCATCGAGAGCGAAAGCGATGGGTATATTTACATGTGCATACTCATAGCTCATCTAGCCAGGCCAAGCGCAACAAATCATTCTCTAAATGCCCCAACAGCAACAACCACGACAGGAGCGATGTAAACAATTTAAATGGCATTAAGTAATTCAGCATTAACATTAAACTTCATGTCTTGGTAATTGTTGTTTTAGGAATTGGAAAAGTAGAGCAATTTATGGCTGGAAAGGGAAACTAGGTGAAGCCTAAACGAAAGACTTAGGCAACGAACTTGACATTGTGAATTGGATTTGTAGGGGGTTATGTTCTTGGTAGTTTTCAGATAAGTCAAATCGATCAATATACTATATCTTTTCAGCAAAGCTGTCATAAAATCCTCTACTTAAACCCCCTTAAAGCCAATTTTTCGATAACTGATCATTTCGGATGCCCTAATTGAGCTCTCATCTTCCAAATCACTTGATTAGCTGAATGCCTGGGCGTTTGACACGCGTTCACATAAAGCTGAGAGAGGCAGAAACCACTAACAAGATTACTGTGAACGTCATGGAGTCTGGACGCAGTTGCAGTCCCCGACTAAGTCGCAGACTAGGCTAAAACCGTGGCCAATCACTGAAGCGTTGCCGGCCGCTCCATCAACAGCAAATTTATTGGCAAATATTTTCCAATACGCGGCAGCAGCTGCGTCGAATGTTGTAATTTATACGTACACACTCTCCCGCTGTCTATTTTTGGGAACATTTTATGGGCCATTTTCAGTTGCTTTTATTTGGGTTTTGTTTTTGTTTTTAGTTTTTTGTTTTTTTTGGCGAAATCACTCGCGAAATGCTCCAATTACGGCCGAGAATTTCCATTAAATCAAAAAAGCCCTTTTCGAGCTGGCATTTTATGCGAGTCATGAATCAATTTCGCTCGCTTTTGAGAAGGGTCTTACCTGTTTGTCAGAGAAATAAAGACGGCAAGGTCGTGCCCGAGTGTGTGTGTGGGCCGGCAACTTCAATCCTGACCTAAGTCACTATAAAGCACATAAGCAGTGTATATAGCCGATTCGCTTGTCTCGCCTGCGGGCGAAATTAGCGATTGATGGCTTTCTCGCACTTTAAGCCGCCAAATGGCAATTTGCCAATTTCTCGGTCTTATCAGGGGGTTCCAATCAGTTGGTTATTAAAGAGCATGGCCCGCTCATTATGTAAACCTATCTGCCAGATATTGTATGTTCGCGTTATTAGCAAGTGTGCCTGCCCCGGGCCTCAACCAAATGAATCAGAAAAAAGCATATTCACATCGCACGAAACTTGTGTCAATATTTCAATTTAACGGTTAGGAAAACGCCAAACTAAGGCAACAAAAAGCCGTCTTTTGTGTGACGTCTATGACTCTTAAAGGTTTTTTCGACGCTCGCGGTTAATTTAAGACAACTTCTGTGTCCACGTTTAAGTCTGGCCAATTGGTGGGCGGACAAATGGTTTGTTCGATGGATGGGTGGGTGCTATTAGGATGAGTGCCTAGCTGGCTGTCCCAACTAAGTGCTGTGGAAGGTGTAGACAGCGTTGGAAATTTCTCGTAAATTGTTGTCTGCGGTTCACTTGAAAGTGAAACTGATGGGGCCCAAGCAAAGAAGTGGCGTGATTAAATGGGGTTAAAAGAGGAGGCGGGCTAAGGTTAAAGACCTGATTACCATTCAGATCTTATGAGAAATACAATTACCGAAAAGTTAAAATTTATGAACCGGATGAAATTTCTATTAGGTTTACCCCAAGATTATTCTCTATTATTTTGCTGTTTAAAAATGTTAATTTTAAGGGTGTAATTTTTAATTACCAGCTAAAAATGTTTTATGGGAAAGTACAAAATATGAACTTTGTAAGAGCATTTAATTTAATAAACAACTTTGTATTTTTAAATGTTTTTCAAGACAAGCTAATAGGGTTCACTTGCTTAACAGAATATGTCAGTAATATTTTCAAAATTATCAATAAATGAGAGAGAAAACTAAACTAATTTCTTATAATTATATTTATTACAAATCCCCTAAACTAACGTCAAAAAAAGTTTGTTGTTGGTCAACCCAGCCGACCTTCAAGACTCGACAGTTGATTTAGCACTTTTAATTCTACGTAAACTGTTTGCGCTGACCCCTAAATTTCACACCATTTCACATACGAATGTCTCAATTTTATTACTTTTATTTCCCTGAAGTCTCTCAGCCAAATAACTGTTGCTGGGGTCATAAACACTATTTTGCAAGATCTGCCCAAATGCCAAAGGAACTCCTCAAAGACTTGTCAACAATCAATAGCGATATTTGACAGATAAACTAGAAAGATCTATGCCAGCTAGTTCCAACGAAAGGGAAATTCACAGACGTACTTAGATGACCTTACCTCTGTTTCTCTTTCAATTTCACCTTAACATTGACCCGAACTCGGCGTGCATTTGGGTCAAACTTAATCAGAGGTGGGTAAAACGCATCATTGCGGGGCTTTCGGTACGTGTCTGCGGTTGCATATTTGCGAAATCCCCCACCACATGGAAATAAACCAAAAACAGATCGACAGACTCCAAAAATATGCATTTGGCCAAGAGACAAACACACGAGAAATGACCACTCATAACCACATTGCCGTTATTTTGCATAACTTGCAAAATGTTTACACTTAATTGCAGACTGCAAAACTGAACCAAAAAGCCAAGAAAAAACACACACAAAACCGTTTATAAATTAAAGCAAACAACCTAAGAGCCGTTGGGCAAGGGCTTCTCTGAATAGTCTAGATTTTTTGACATCTCATTGATAAGGCAGTCCCCGGCCGGCTGTCCAGCCGATTTTTGCAATCAGCTTAATTGATTTGCTCTCGTCTGGCGAATAAAATGATATTTTTGACAGCTCCGTTAATGTTTTTAATCCAATTAAATGCGCACATTGAACCGCGTTTCGATTAAAAAGGTGCAGGGGCTTGCCTATTTGAATTTATATAAGTGCATGCCGCTGATTAAACTGATAAATTGATAATTAAATTAAACAAAAATAACCTTTTAATTGATAATTGATAAAATATTAATTGGCGACCGAATTATTGGAAAAACCTTTTAGTGATAATTTACTTTTGGAATCTATATTCTTTCTCTAGGTGTAAAACTTTCTAATGATTTTAGAAAAACTAGAAAGGTTTCCTTTTTTTCAAAATCAAGTTTGTAGAAGGCAATGAGACAAGGAAACTGTTATGTTTAAATTAATAAATAAATATCACAAAAATTACATAAAAAAACATTTTAACTCAATAAAAAAATCTCAAAAAATTAAAAATGTTTTATGCTTTATCACTGGTTAAAAACATGTTCCCTTATCGATTTATAATTCAGCAAGCAAAATAAATTGCAGACCATTTATTATTTAGCACTTAATGAAAATATTACAGTCAGTCCGCGGAACCTTTAACAGAAGCACATTAATAAAAATTCCGTACTTCACACGGGTAATATAATTAATGAAACCATATTGAATATTTATTATTTCGTCCGGCACAGAATATTGCACATACGCCCTCAAACCATAACTCATACGCCCCGTTTGACACTTACGTTTCGAAAATTCTCAGAGGCTGCACGGCTAATCCAAAGTTTGTCTTTCGCTAGGGAAATTCTCGATTAGTTTTTTCGGTCAAATGTAAGTCTTTTGCATGTTCACTGCCGCAAACTAATTGATTTTGTGCCAATTAGGATTTGTTTTTGTTCGATTTACGATCGATCTGAAGAACTCATACTCGCATTATCCTTCGCACAGACACTCGTCGAACTGTGTGGATTTATTTAGCCGCATTTACTGACGATCGCCCCGCTGGCGAGAGCATGTGTCGTTTTAAGTTGACGCGTCGGAATGAAAAACTCGCATGAATGGACCGTCGTCTGGGCAAGACGTTTTTGTTTAAAACCCCCAAGACTTTAGTCGACTTCGGCAGCGATCGCCGACTAAGTACGAGCGCTTTTTAAACTGAGCCGATCGTTCAGCTCTGCGTATCTGTATCTGTGAGATACTCGTACTAGTGCTAGAGAGTGCTGCAATCCTCGCCGCCGTTTAGATTTAAGGTAACAGAAGCAGAAGCAGAAATTTGGCAATTGGCCAAGACGCATGCGCAGCCAGTGAGGTGAGTTTCCCCTATGTTGAGTTTTCCCTCACCGTTCCTCGGCAGGTAATTGGCCTGATTGGAGCTGGGGGGGTTTTTTTTACTTCGCATTTCGCCTTTATGCTGAGTCACCTGTACTTTGGGTTACTTCTCTTGTTGATTTTACTTTGTTTTCTCGCTTTTTATCGCCGTTGGTGGTTCTAGTTAAGTGAACTTGACGCCGTTTTATAGCTTCCTTAGTATTTCCGACTTTTGGGGTTTTTCTGAGGGATATGCGATGCGACGGTTCGGAAAGAGATGCCTTTTACCCAGGATTGCATGCAGAGAGAGAAAATATTGTTACTTTTAAGCTATTGATATTTTATGATATTAACTGAGGTGAAGTTTTAATTTGATTTCTTTTAGTGCATTAACCATAAAACCAAGGCTAATTTCGAATGGATGATCCCATTTAAAACCATGCTTTATCAATTACAAATAATAAACCCGAATTATCCACCTTGAAGGCAATGGTTGGTTGTGAAAAACTCCCCATTTGCCATAAACCGAAGTGGAAAATTTTCCAGACGGCGCAATTGTTTTTATGTGTCTAAATAAACTGGCCAGATCAGGGGCTTGACTGCCCTCGCTAGACTGTATTCAGACCGATCTAGCAAATACAAATCTCTGATCACGCACTGACGTCAGTAAAGTATAGTAAAACCTTTTGTTGATCTCACCTGACGGGATCTGAACTCTTCAATTAGAGACAGAGACCTGTATGTAGATGGAAATTACTTTTACGGCCAAGAACTTGGTCATAAATTTAATGGAATTGATTAATTCGCCGTTTGATGAAGGACATCAACAAGCTAAATCGATCATAACTTTCTTTGGCTATAAATACCTCAACGTAATTAGCATAGAATACTAGTAAATCCGCCTTGAGCTACGACGAGCTTTACATATTGCATTGCGGTGGCTCAGGTTCTAGTAGTGATGATGATGATAGATGACACCTTGCTTACTTTAGATTTCAGCACATTAAACAGCATGACCGACCGACCGGAAACTGGTCTTTTGTAGAACGATTTGCCGCCACAAAGGAAGCTCTCCCGCAGTTCAATGCGATTGCAGTGGGTCAAAATCCGAAAGCACTTGTAAATCCTCAAGTGTTCGGCAAACTTCGTAGTCGGAAATAACTGGAATTCACGCGCGGCTCACAGGTGACACAGTTACCCATTTACAGGCCCAAGGATGCCACTGCAGTTACTTGGCCCAAAGACCTTAATCTAATATACAGCACTAGCAGCCCCGAAGGTTGCAGTTGACAAGAACGACTTAATTGCAGTTGTGAAACTCAAACTAAGGCACAGCAAAATGCCTTTACATTTGACAACAATAAGTTGAGACCGGGCTACACATGTTATGGGACAAGTTGTGGTCGTTTTTGGACAACCAAAATTTTAATTTATATTGTTTATAATTATAATTGCCAGCATTTTGCGGAAAAGGCCACGGGGGACATTAAAAGTATTCAAACTGCCTCGGCAGACGCTCCACTTGAATGGCAAGAGGAATTTACCATTTTTGAATGACTTAAGTCTCGTTTACAGAGGCCAGTAATGTCCACTCATCACAAGTTCAAGTTTGCCAGACGGAGTCGCAGCTTAAATGGGTGATTAGTTAACGGCACGTTCGATTTAATTGCCCTGCGACAAAGATCTTAACTGCATGATCATGTTCGGTACTTGGTACTGAGATCAAAAACCCAAAAAAATTCCAACATGAAGGTGGTTTTTGGATAAACAAGAAATAACAAAGTGTAAACAAATTAAGTTTGTTTTTAAAGTGTTAAATCATTTTTCAAGAATAAATAATCATGGACTTAATTATGCAGGCAAATTATTTGTAAAGTCATAAAATTGTTCTGAAGAAAAGAAATTTTGATTCGAAATTATTTATAAATCCTGATTTCAACTTGGGAATATTAAAGGTGTGGAAATGTGTGAAATATTTTCCAATATTGATATTTAAGTAGTTCCAGAACTAATGACATAGCCATAAAAGTCACTAGTTTATATGTTTGTGATTACCTTTTTACAACTAACAAATAAAAAGGTCCGGCTTCTACCCTTAGCACTAAACTGATAATTCTGATTGCAGGTAGTTACAGGAAAATCAGCGTTAATGCTTACTTGCTAGAATTTTCTACGTCTCGATTTGCTTCCTTAAAATTACACAAAAAAAAACATTCTGAGATAGTAAAAATCACATATTAACGCTAAGATCACAAATTAACTATTTGATCAAGATTGAACTGTAATTCCCCGCACTTCGAACTGGCCAAGCCCTGATTTTGGATAGGCCCTTTCGTATGATTTTCGCAAACTTTTTAATTTGTTTGTCAGACTCTCGGTGCTTAAGTTGGGCAAACAGGGCTAAGGGCCTGAATTTATGTGGATATCGCAATCTGAGATCAACAAAGTACGTCTGGAATGAAACGAACTTTGAACCTGGGACACATTTTGAGTTATTTAATGGTGATTCGCTTTTTCGAGGAGGGTGTGACCAGAACGAGACACCATCCTTCACATTGAAAGTTGATTCACCTGAACGACAACCAAAACAAGTCTCAAGTGTCGCTATCCAACCTAGAGAGGTTACTACAAGTCCCCAGCCCAAAAACCCAGCCAGAAAGATTGAGAAGATCAAACGGCATCTCATTGCCAACTAAATCGGAAATCAGACAGCACGAGCCATACCCATGAAATATGACCTAGCTGAAACAATATGTGCGCCGTACTGGCTGGTTATGGCTATAAACTTATTGCCAAAAAGATGACGTGAAGTGCAGAAATTTTTACATATCCATTTATTCAATTATTCACTGCCCGGACGGTTAACAGGCTTACAAAACACAGTGTTCCAAGGGCCATAATTCACAGACGACTGGCCTAGAAGCGGTCGCAGCCCGAGGAGTTGGCCCATCTACCGCATTGCCCAACTTTATATATTTTTCTTTCAATTACCGGCATGAAGGACAACCGCAGGCTTGCAGGGTTCTGCGCAATCGTGGCCAAAACGAATCCAACTCAGCCAGACTAAGGCAGACAAATCTCTTCGTGATGGCCAAGAAAATGAAAAGTTTTCGCCTTGCTGTTGGAGGCGTTGGAATGGAAATAATTACCCGCAGACTTAATGTTTTTAATTTGTGGAGAATGCTTTGAGGATTTTTCATTCGAGTTCATATAGCTTGGGGATTAATTGCGGCTTAATTGGAAATTATAATGCAGAGGAAAAAGAAGGGGTAAGTCTAGGGAGGGAAATATAAAGTAAAAATCGTAAAAATAAATAATTATTATTTAATTTCTTAAGAAATGTAATATGTTAACCGTGAATAACAGGAAAGTCATTTATTCACTTAACAGAGCACTGCCAGCAACATAATGAGATTATGTTAAGTTGAAATAAACTGCTGCATACTTTTGGGTAGATATATGATATTACCAATGCAAGATCAGCTTAATTGATATTATTTGGTTACCTTAAAAACGTTTAGCTTTCTTGTAGTAAAACAAAAGTTAAAATCAATTCCCATCGAAATATTACTTAACTGCAAGCTATCAATTTTCTACATGGAAATCACGGTTCTACAGAGAAAAGGGCGTTACCTGACAAATGATCTAAAAAGAAAAACAAGGCTTTCCCTGATTGCCCCACCTTTGATTTGCCTCCCCATTAATTCCCAACAAGATTTCCATTGCAATTACCAATTACTGTCAAGGCTACTAATCTCGACCCAACTACTTGAATAATAATAATAGTTTTTAGAGGGGCTTCACGGCGATCGCATTGCGGAAAGCTCCTCTTCATTTACAGTTTAATTGATCCAACTGTAAACTAACTACAAATGGTCTTAAAATAAAACATTTACATTAATTGAAACTGGTTTGGGGGCACAGTCTTGTTTTATGACGTCAGGCCATAAAAAGATTGCACTGTGCCCAGTTCAGGCACCAAACGGTTGAGCTATATAACTTCAGGTCGAGGGTCTTCTGACCTCGGTTCACTTACGGCCTGTTAAAGGTCAACAAATTGCGGCAAAGCTCGTTGTATTTATTGCACTTTTTCTCTGTACTCAATCAATTGTCATTCAGTTTGATCGATATATGCACTTCACTTACCCCTGGCAGGTCCTTGCCTGAAATCGCGATGATTAACTGGCTCATTGCATGCTGTTTAATTATGCCGCAATTTCTGCGTAATTATTATGCCATAGTTTTTTATTGTTTTCCTTTTTTTGTGGATGTTTCTGTGGAGTCAGTCACTGCACTTGATTAATTTTATGTGAATAACTTTTTATTTACTGGCAGAAAAACATTATTCATGGTGTTTGATGGTTGTGTAGTTTTATTCTTTATGTATTTCCAGAAATCATATTATATGGTTGTCTACGCACAAAGCCTCGAAGTCAACTGAATGGCCTGGGAAATGTGGAAAGAGGCTGTGGCCCTTAGTTTACTCAATTTCAGATTTCTTTTCGCAACATCAGGAGCGGATTGTGGGTCTAGAGTTAGTCAAAAGAATGATGTTAAGATGATTCTTAATTGTTAAGTCTTATTCATATATTAAGAACATAAAATTAATTCACAGAACAAACATCATGTGCTTTTTTGAGAAGCTTTAAACCCCTGCTCCGCTCCTGATTTTTGGAGCATATTTAATAAGTCTTAATTGAACTGTGCGGTTGACCTGTTGGCATGCGTATATAGAAGCATACCAGGCAGTCA